ACGGGCCACGCCCCTTCTCCACGGCGGCTGTAAACGCCGTCGCGCACAAGGGCCTCGCTGTCCCAGTCCGCGACTTAGCGGCCGCTTAGACCGGCCTCGTCGCTGGTTGCTGGTAACTACTGGGTAGGTACCGGACTTGCTGTCTCAAAATCTCCTTTCCCCATCGTGGTGTCCTCGCTCCCCATACCCCCATTAAGTAGTCGTCTGCAGCGACACCGTCGAGGCTCGATCTGGCCTCGTCCTTCGCTCTGCCCTCCTTTCGACTCGTTTTCCTTGTGTTCTCCTGTCTCTCCCTTAGTTCTCCATTTTCGGGTCACACTTGCCTAACTCTCCTCTGGCGATCAGTCACTCGTTCCTTTTCCCACTCGCTGATAATAGTACACTCCTTTGGCTCAGTCTCTCCTTGACCAACCCACTAGTCTTCTGATAATCTTAGGACATTTACTGCCTATTTCCTCCTTGATCTCATTGTATCAAATACTACGCTCTTTTTTTGTGTGTCGTTTGAATTGCCCATTTCTCCTCCAGCCGTTCAATGGTTCCTCGATGAGATAAGTGCCTGTTTGTCTCAGCTGCCACCAGTGCAGCCCTCCCAAAGTCTTCTTGTGGCCGTCCAGCGATCCCTTCATACCCCCGTCGACCGTTTTCAGCGACAGCAACAACCATGAGTTATATCCATCCTTCATACGCCTACGGCGGCCATGCCGGAGTCCCACTGGAGCAGCCCATCGTCTGCGGTCCGCCCATGGCTCACCCGGCCATGGTTGGTCCCATGGATGGTTATCTGGTCCCCCGTCCTCCTTACGAGATGCCTGAATACTATGCTCCTATGCCTATCATGGAGGACCGTCATGAAGAATACACGGAGAATATGTCGCGGCCGCGTCTGACCAAGGAACAAGTCGAGACGCTGGAGGCCCAGTTCCAGGCTCATCCCAAGCCCAACAGCAATATCAAGCGTCAGCTGGCCGTGCAGACAAATCTCAGCCTTCCTCGAGTCGCGGTTGGTTTGATCCTGGTGTGACAGTTGCGATCCCGTTTCATGCTAACAGCCACTGTATGCAGAATTGGTTCCAGAACCGACGCGCAAAGGCCAAGCAACAGAAGCGCCAGGAAGAGTTCGAAAGGATGCAACGGGAAGCGAAGGAGAAAGAGGAACGGGAGAAAGCTAAAGCCGAAGAAGAGAAGTCCAAATCGGAGTCTGACCAATCTAGCCAGACGAACGACAAGACGGATAGCCAGGAAAACAGTCAGTCGAACAGCCAGCCAGATAATCAGTCCAACAGCCAGTCAGACAATCAGTCCAACAACAATCAATCGAACACTCAGTTTGACGAGACGAACAGCCAAACGAATAACCAGACGAACAGAACACCCGGGCCAGAGAAGGACCAAACTTCGACTCCCAAGCAGGACTCGACTGCCTCGGCATCTAATGACCCTAATGATCGGGTAAACACTCCTGCCAGCTCGTCATCAAGGTCAAGACACCAAAAGACGCCTAGTGAGGCTGCTCGAGAAGCAACCTTCGCTTCCCTGCAAAGGGCCCTTAATCAGGCGGTGGCCGCTCGAGATCAGTTCAATCAGCAACCGGACGGCAACGTCCTGGTGGGAAGTTCTGAGATGCCCATGAACCTCCCGACCTCGACCTTACCTCCGGCCGGCAATGGCCCCCAGAGCTCGCTTAACCCTGGATTTTCCGAATGGGGAGGTAGTCGAGATTCCTCGATGGCGTGGACACCGTCCCAGAGTCCCCAGGGAGGGTTTGAGTTTGGCAGTTTGAACGCGATGCAATTTGCTTCTCCGGATAATAATCATCTCACGGGCCCTTCGATGGAGGGCCCAACGAACCCGAACCCGGATATGACGGGTACGGCTGCCTTTGGCAACGTCCAGATGTCTCAACAATCCCAGGCTTGGGATGGACAGTTGCAGGGACAGACAAATGCCCTCCCGGAGGGTCAGCCAGGCTCTGAGTCAATGTATGGATCTCTCCAATTTTCCTCCCTGCAGCCGCCGGAAGGTCCAGTCGAGAGGCGTGCCTCTTCGTCGGAGGAGCTCACGGAATCGATGGGGAACATTGGGATCACGTCGATGTCGCCTTCACAACAGACCATGCAACAGCCCTCCGATCAGATGGATGGCCCGGTCTGGAGACGGCCTGAGAAGGAGTTGGACATTGCAGCCCGTCGGAAACGACCCCGACCAGCTGCCATTGGCACCACCAGTTCGACTAGGCCCTTGGTAGGACCATCGTCGATGTCGCCCACGACGAGAGTTCCAAACTTTGGCGGTGCCCATCCGTTACGGCACGCCAAATCGTCTCACGCCCTGGGTGCACGGTATGCTGGGGTGAGGAAGATCTCCGCACCTCAGCGTTCCCCCCTTGGCTTCTCGACTTTCGCCGAAGCGGCTTCGGCCAACGCGGACACGAAACGAAGATTGCAGACGTCTGCATCGGCTGGTAATCTGGCTCCACCGACACCTCTCACGCCGGAAGACTTACAGCACCTGATGCCGTCGACGCCCCGGGACAATCAATACAATCTGTCCGCCGCTCAACGTCCTGCGGAGGGGCAACTTTTCCCAACCACACAGCCGATGCAGATCAACGTTGCATCTCCACCGGCAACGCCCATGTCGGTGGATTTGCTCTCCATGCAGTATCAGAACCTCGCGCCTCCCTTGTCTGCGCCGGCCCACTACTCGACGTTCCCGGAATACTCGCCAGGATCGAGCGGACAGATGACGGGTGTCAGCTGGGCTGATATGCAAGGTCTTCCCTCGCCCGATACGTCGTCGTTTCAGTCGAACATGCAAATGCCCCAGGCTAATTATGTTTCTGCGGTTTCTTATGAGCAAGACGTCGACAAAGACGGCCAGGCGGCGGCTCAATGGACCATGCCGGACAATTCCCCGATGTACGGCACGGTCAAGGACTCGAGCACGCCTCCTGCGACCGTGGTCATTAACGAAGATCAGAAAGTGACGCAGTTCCACATTCACGAATTCCCTCAGCAGCAGGAGGCTCACCGGTCTGTCGCGCAACAGCTGCCGCCTCAGAAACCCAAGAACTATACTTTTTCTCATCAGACTCCTAGCGACTTTTAATCTTAATTCTTAATCGGCTTTAATGAATGATATCACCTTCCGGCTGTTTTGCAGTTTATTTTCTTTGGCCAGGGGAAGGCAATGTAACTACACCGGATTTCACGTGTCTCTATACGAGTTGTTGCACATCTAGACCCTTTAATGTTGGGTTTTTCATTCTTTAGTTTCATATATTTTCCCCTCTCATATATCTGGCTGCTTTCACTATACGCAGGGCCTGGGGAGTGTGTTCTGATTTGCATAAACTTTTTTTTCCCTTTTTTCTTGGATCGTCCACGGCGATAGGACGGTCTGGTATATTGTGGGTTGGTCTTGTCTAACCCTTTTTCTGGTGTTTGGATTTTCAGCGAACTAGGTGCATCTGGTTCATGTCTATTATCATCGATATGTCAACTAATCTAACTAATACATACAAATGACATGTGGACAGAAGTTTAGCAGAATCAATCAGCTGTCCTTGGCTAGTAGAAGCATTGCTTGATGTTGTCGTTGTCTAACTTGGACTGTTAGTATTAGTATCCTATCGTCCTTCGTAGGTGCGAGTCAGGAGTAAGTCACTAACTAGCAGTACTCGGTACTGTATGACCCAGACGTGCCGGGCACCCCGGACTAAGTATATACTTAAAACCCACGTGCAGCACTGGTTGGCGGGCCGGACCATCCAGACCGAATTAACCTAAAGTTAACGTTGCAACGGCCAGGAATCTAACATAGCGTTATTGCGGAGTAGAGTAACAGCAGCAACAACGACTACTCCGGCCGAGCCATAGACATCATATATAGAGAGAGAGATTTCTATCTCATCATGGGCCCAGACCCAGACTCAGATCAGAGCGAGCAGCAATCCGGTCTCAGCGCTGCTCCTGTCGTTTTTTTTTTGCTTCAATTGAGTTGAGTTCAAAGTAACTAAACTAGGTACCTACCTCAGCCTTTATTTATTTTATAAACCATGGCTGCTGCTGCTGCTGCTCTCCGTTGGTTGGCATTGGCGCTGATCGCCGGGTTGACGAATGCTGCGTCATCATCATCATCGTCATCCTACGTGAAATATTCCACCGTAACGGGGTATTTCCTTCAGGATCTAAACACGACAGATGCGTCTACGTTTGATTATGTGAGTAGTAGTAGAACCAACCCTCTCAAACCAAAACTCAAAACAAAGAGAAGAAAAGAAGAAATCTCACATGAATATGACTGACTGATTGAATCCTCCAGACAGCGGTAAACTTCGGCCTCATTAACCGCACCTACGACGCTGATCGGTTCGACCCTCCTCCATCCAGCCGTAGTCTGACCCAATGGGAGCGGTTCTACCGCCAGGTCGTCTATCTCAATGAGCATTCGCCGGAGAATGTCGAGTACAAGGTTCTCTTCATGGGACGGCATGGGGAAGGATGGCACAATGCTGCGGAGAGTTATTATGGGACGCCGGCTTGGAATGTACGTTTCACCTAAGTATATATAAACAAGCCTTTAACGACTCGCTCCGCTCACCTAGTATATATTGACTGACTGCGTCTGAATTCAGTGCTACTGGGCCGAACTAGACGGCAACGGAACAGCGTCCTGGTCCGACGCCCATCTGACGAGCAACGGCATCGCCCAAGCGCAGAAAGCGCACGACTTCTGGCAGCGCGAGATCGATGAGCAGCGCATCCATCCGCCGGACAGATACTTCGTCAGCCCGCTGTTCCGGACGCTGCAGACGGCGCAGATCACGTTCGAGGGGTTGCGCCGCCTGCCCGCCGACGCGGCCAAGTTCGCGCCCTTAATCCTGGAGAAGCTCCGCGAGAACATCAGCATCCACACGTGCGACCGGCGGAGTAACCGGAGCGTTATCCAGCAAGCGTTCCCGTTTTCGACCTGGCGCTTTGAACCGGGCTTCACCGAGTGCGACGAGCTATGGAACGGGGTCACGGGCGAAACGGCGTCGTCCGAGGCGGTGCGGTCGAAAGAGGTCCTGGATCAGATCTTCTCCTTCTCCAGAACCTCCTCCGCGGGCAAGAAGGATAACGGCCTCTTCATCTCCATCACCAGCCACTCGGGCGAGATTGCCTCGCTTCTCAGCGTCCTGGGTCATCGCCCCTTCAGCCTCAATACTGGCGCTGTGATCCCCGTCCTTGTCAAGGCGGAAACTGTCTACTACCATCCTTCACCGACGACGACTACGCAGCCCTGGACGACGAGTCCTCATTGTACCGTGCCGCCTGTCACCTCTGTCTCGGCTTGTCTGTGTCCTTCGTCGGCGGCTCCGGTGACGACTCCCCTGGTTCCTACCAGTGGGTGCAACTGAATACGATGTATACCTAGTTCGAATGGATTCATAGAGTCATCACAAGAGGATAGGACGATGTCTAGGACGATAACGATCGCAGGTCAAGACTACAGCGCATGCCAATAGTATGTCGTTGATGAGGGGGAGATTCAATTCATAGAATTCAGATAACCGACACAGACAGTAACACAAAAACTTATATAAACAAGTACATACGTTGAAGGGGTCTCAAAAACAAAAGAAAAAAAAAAAGAATAGCAAATACAATGATCCTACAGACCCAAAAAATACACCGCAGCAAGACAATCCTATAATGCAGAGCCTTAAACGATACTAAGCGTGTCACATTGCAAATTCTCCTATCACCCAAAGCCGTCTCCTGCCCGCAAATCACTCGACATTGACCCATCCTAGGGAAAACACTTCAAATACCATTCCCACAAGTTGACTAGACTGAAATGATCATAATCTGACACGAACAAAAATATGAACATCGAAGAAAAAAAAATGAAGTTCTCATTCAACAACAGCAGGGCGTGCCGTCGCCAGACATAAACATTGTGGAAAACGTAACAACGCCCAGGGCAGAAAGATGGAAGAGAAAATGATAAATAACAAAACAGGTTAGGCTGAAGGCAAATGAGACAATGACAACGACAACACCCACATAGAACGACGGCTGAACGACGGCTGAAGGATTCGTCATGCAGATAACAGAGCAAGCAGAATTGCAAAGCCATGTCGCCGGCCCTCACTCATCCGCCTGCCGTAATGACAAACCCGACTTCCGGAATATCAATAAAGACAAACAACTGGGTATAGCACTAAGGGCCCACTGGGACTACCATTAACGATTACCCTCCATGCAAGTGCCAAGGAACGTTGTAAACCAGGGGGTATATGAGAAATAAAAACATGTGCCTGAAATCAACCCTAAGCAAATCCGCTGTTCTGATCATCCCTGACATGCCCGCCAAGAATACCGCTCTGTGGGACAGAGAAAGAAAAAAAGAGACGAGAAAAGAAAAGAAAAAAAAAGGGGGAAGACATGACGATTGATAACGCTCTAGTAGCCTGACCATCCTCCTAATGGACTGCCCGACTGGCCTTGCTGAGGTTGACCAGGCTGCATGTGTCCACCAGCAGGTGAGGGCCAACCAGGCATTCCTACCCCAGCGCCCATCCCCATGTTCATTCCCGGCTGTTGCAGAAATTGTTGGTTGGGATTTTGCCCTGACGGATACATAGCCCGGGTGCCCATGTTGGAATACCCGCCCTGATACCCAAGCGACGCCATGCCCGGCGCCTGCGGTACCTGTGGGTGCATCTGCATGGACTGTGGCATCTGCTGTGCGGGACGGGGCTGACTGTGAGGCGACTGTGACGGATGCGGTTGCTGCTGCTGGGGAAGAGGCGACGGGCTTTGCTGAGGGTGCATCGGCGACGCATACTGAGGCATTCCCATGTGCGGAGAGGCAGTCATCGGCTGCGGTTGCGGCGGCGGCTGACCCCACATTTGCTGCGTCTGCGACGGGTATACAAACGGCGCTGTTTGAGCCGAAGTAGCAGACGACAATGCAGGGTTGGAGGTTCGCTGCTGTAAGACATCCGGTCGAATGCCTTGCGGGACTCCTCGAACCGGAGACTGCGCGACATGGGTTTGCTGATGTGGCTGTTGAGAGTAGCCTCCTTGAGACGAGGTCAGCATCGACGCCGGCTGGGAGAGAACATTCTGCTGCTGCGCCTGGCTGGGATTGATCAGCCCCGATGATGTCGACATCTGAGGTGACTGGAGCGCCTGAGAGACTACGGGAGCGGTGACATCGATCTGTCCTGGTTGAGACTGCGACGCGGTGGTGACGGGAATGTCTCGTTGACTGGCGTAAAACTCCTCGAGTCCCTTCTGCCTGAAGGCGCGCTGAGAATTCAGAATCTTGTTGAAGTCGGCCGTCTGCGACGCCTGGTTCAGAATCTCCGAAGCGCTGCTGGGTTGGGTGCGGTCCTGGTACGGCTGGCCCGTGATTTCCTGTCGGGGTCGTGGGATGCTGCTGAATTCTCGTAGCCGGGGGTCATCTGTAGTTGGCGTGAGATGGATCATGGGCAGAGGCGCCAACGTAGCGGCATGAGGGCTAAGACCGGGTGGAAGGCCATGCGGCAACCCTTCCATCGTGTTACTGTAAACGACGTCGCCATGGCCGAGATTCGGTAACATTCCTGCTGTCGCAGCAGCCTCCGCTGCGGCGGCATCCCGGGCTTTGGCTCCCCCCGGTCGTTTCTCTCCGGCGAGATCGTCTTCGGTGAAGCCCTGCTTTCTCGCTTTGCTCTCCCAGTAGTCATCGCGCACTCGCCGCCCATTCACAATGACCCTGCTCCCGAATTGCCGAAACATCGACTTGGCGGTGACGATGGCGATCTGGCGGGACCGGTAAGAGTAGGGCAGAATGTCCTGCTGAATCAGGTCATCCTTTTCGGCCTGGGTTGCGATGATCTTGTAGAGCGACCGATTCTTGTTGAACAGCAGGTACGAGTCGCGATATCCCAGGACGCGCGCGCACTCGGTTGCCAACATGAAGAGCTTGTTGCCGCGATTGGGAACGCGGAACGTCCGACATTTGTACTCGCGGCCATCTTGCGGGTAACCAAGCGCATCAACCTTCTTCTCACCGGCCTCGTCAAACTCCTTGGGAATGTATTCGTCACCGTCGGCATTGAGTTGGTCCGTCGTGTGATCCCTCACCGTGGGCAGCGCCTTGACCACTGACTTTGTCGGGGTCGTTTTGGTAGGGGGGGATGTTTGCGGCGGAGAAACGTCGCTTTGCTGGGGCAACGACTGCGACGACATCTGAGGTGTCTGAGCTGGAGCAGGCACGGGTGCCGTCTGTTGGGAGGTCGTGGTCGAGGTGCCGTTACCGGACGGGCGAGGGGTTTTCGGCGGTCGCCCGCGTTTCCGGCGACCTTGTTCGTCTGCGCGAATTAGGCAAAACGTCAGCTCTGAATCCGGGTCGGGAAAAAAAAAGGACAGATTGCTTGCGCGTGCCGGCCGCGCGAGCGCACAAAGACACCGTCAAGAAGCAGGATGGGCAGTGGTCAAAACATACCATCTTCGTGTTCACCCTCGACAGTCACGTCGCCATACTGGTCCGGAGAGCGACTACGCTTCACACCTCGCGGACTGGAGTTTGGGGCTGGGACGGGGGTCGAAGGAAGAGGAGCTAGCGACACAGAGAACCATCAGCATCGACATTTCTTGATAAAACACCATTGGCAAGGAGAGGAAGCTATTCTGCGATGCGCGATCGTCGTTCACGCAGAGTAGCCTGCCATCGCATGACTGGGAGTGCGGTCGCGAAAAGCACAACATCGGAGAAAACCAAGCATACCGGCATTGTTCAAGGCAGCGGGATTGATGGTCCCAGAACCATCCGCGAGCTCTCCGCCCATGCCGTTCATTGGAGCGGAGACGGAATGGGAAGTGCTGTACATGGTGGGCGACAGGTCGCACAGAGGAGACAAAGGCCGTGAAGGCCTGGGTCGCGCGTTCTCGGACGCGATTGCAGTCAGCGCGTTTGCGAAAGCGATCGGGGGAGGACAATGCCGCAGAGAGAGAGAGCGAAGGCGATGATGTCAGGACGCAGGCAAATCAGCGATGGATGGGGCGGGCGTCGCATGCAGGATCGAAACCGAGGTGGAAGCAGGAAGGCGGATCACGATGAACTGGCTCGATTGCAAATCGGCCAAGCCAGTTGAGGCGGACGGGAAGACAGAAGAGGGGCTGGTGAGCTGCTGTGGCAAGGGCGGCCAGGGCTGCACCGCCACAGGAGGCTGAGGCCGGGCTGGGGGGAAGTTTCTTCAGGCTGCTGGGCTGGTCTGGTCTGGTCTGGGGTCGCTGCCGCGCGGGCGGGCGAGCGGTCAGAGCGGCACGAGTCGTTTATGGCAGAGGGACGACACGCGGGTTATGCCCTGCAGGAGACGGGGGGTCGCGAAACCAGACGCTCAGCGAGCGAAGGGTGGGGAGGGGTGGTTGTTTTGAGGAGGGGGAAGCGGCTGTGGAAAAGAAAACAAAGACAAGGCCTGCTGCAGTCGCGAAGCTGGGACGGGCGAGGGTGAAAAGCTGCGAAGGCGCCGTGGCAGCACGGCTTCCGGTCGGCGGATGGCCGTGATTGGCGCAGCGGACGAGCCGGAACAAGCGGCGCGCGAAAGGAATCACCCGCAAGCAACCACGATAAGGGTGCCGTGGATGCCTTGCGGAGGGGGAGAGGGGAGGAAGGGAGGAGACGAAGCGCTTGCGCAATCGAGCGACTAAGCTTAGATAGATAAACACGGCGCTGGCGTCAGAAGGAAGGGAAATGGGACGAGGGGGGAGGGCACGCGGGTGGTGGTTGGCCCAAAAAGAGGAACGCTGCGGACGCGTGCGGTTGTTTGGGATGCGGTCGGCTTCTCCGGCGGTTCTGTCGCTGCCCGCAGACGCGCCCGTTGGCGGCGCAACAGCAGACACGGACCAGACACCTTTGTTTCTTCTAGTCTTCTTGCCACTGTCGACAGCCTGGCGGGGCTAGCAGTCGCATGCCGACAGGGTCTGAATTCTGAAAGAGAGAGACGAAGGAGAGACGCCCGATGGATTGGCTGGTGAGGGGTTTCTCGTTCGACTTGCCGAGTGGGACACGAGCGATCAAGAGACCCCCTTTGGGCTTTATCCTTGGGGAAGGGCCGGCACGCTACCACGACCAGGCATGGGCAGTTGCAACGATGGAAACCAGAAGGCAGCAAAGGTTGCTGACTGCCTAGTACTCTACCAGTCGTTTTTCAACCAGAGTTCAAAAAAACTCTAGAGATTTTACTTTGCAGGCCCAAGGCTGATGGGGCATTCTGTTGGAAAAAAAAAGCTGAAGACAAAAAAACTTCTCAAGTAGCAATACTCTACCAAGTACAGCGTAGTCAATCCATACTCCGTCGGAGCCCTTGAAAAACCGATCAAGAGCCACAGGGCTGCAGACTGCAGTCACAAAGGCATCTATCTAATCTAGACGATGGCTGGTGGGACAGACCAGAGGCCATCCAATGAACGAGACGGGCATCGAGTTGTAGTTTAGTCAGACAGCCATATCGTCCATTAATATCGATCAGTCGTGAGAAGGAGGGGGCGACACTGATAATGCCGCAAACTCAATCAGAGGGATATCATCATATCAGAACGCGTCTTGAGTCGTCGAGTCTCTTGACTCCAGGCTATCCGGTGATTGACGCGACCTGGCCTGTGCTCAAGCCTTGATTTGAGATCGACGGGGCAGAGTTCTCTCGGGGTATAGTCGCTGATCATCCTAACCTACTACCTCCTACATACACTTTCCCCCCGGCCGGAAGTCGAAGCTTCTTAGAAAAGTTCGATAATAATAATTAGATCTAACTTCCAGACCAGATCGTAATGACACAATAAAAAATACCTTATCATTCTCCCATCTCTACCTGTCTGTTTGTCTCCCTTTTGCAGGTAATCAGAATAATTACCCATCGACACAGCGTGTTTCCGCTTTAGGATAGGGTCACGAGATCCCCGCGACTTGCCCCTCGCTTATGACGACCGGTCACGGGGCCGACTTCCAGGTTCAACGACCACTCAGCGGCGATGCATTCCGGCTGACGGGATTAAAAATAGACAGGTGGATAAGGAGTCATTCCTTGATTATTATTACCTACCTATGTTGATAGAGTAGAATCATGGATGGATGGATGGATGGGGATATCTCCGTAAGGGAACGTACGTAGTGCTACTACACTACACCTATCTAGTTGACACTGTACGACTGGGCAGTAGCTACCTACCTACCTGGATCGATTCTCCCCCCCCGCCTGTTCGACGGACGATCATCCTTCCTTGTCTGGACCCCAAATCTAACGGTCCGCCGGCGCATTTTGCCTTGCCTAACCTAACCTAACCTAGGTAGGTAACCTTATTAGGGAGATCCTGGTAAGACCTAAAATCCGGTCTTTTTTTTGAGACTGCACTGCAGACGCTAGATAAAGTTGTGCGCTATGATCATGATGGACGGAGTACTCCACATGTGTGTATGTATGTACTGTACTACAAGGATCCATACAAAACTGGTATGACAGTATCGTCATGATTATTGATATCAAAAATAACATCAGCCTTCTCCAGCCTAGGAGGTAGAAATGATTTATTTATTTGGAATGTGCCATGCCAGCGCGTCGTCATCAAGACGTCATTCGTAAGGTTAAGCCGGGCAGGCAGACAGGCAGGCAGGCAGGCGGGCGGGCAGCCAAGTCCTGAGCAAAGACAAGAAAGAATCAAGAATGCTACTGCTATCAGTGAGTCAGTCAGGGTTCCACAGGCATGATAAGCGCCTATCGGCAGCAGACGGGCCGATTAGTATACTGTAGCTGAATCCTTCCGCTGTGCTTGCTGGGGGCCAACTATCTGTCAGCATCTGATTACAGTACTGTTCTCTGCACACTTGCAGATCCATATGGGAGATTTTGACTAGAATCGCTACTATCGTGCGGGAGAAAGTTCCTTGCCACGAGAAAGAGAAGTACATATTAGGTTAGGTACATACAGCTGGAACCAACCGTACTGTACATAAGGCTGCAAGATGCAACCTGCAACGGAATCTGCACGATCTGGACGCATTTGAAATCATAAACTATAATGGCTGCTGGACTGGACTGGACCGGTTGCAATGATCAGCCGTCGTCTCCCGAAACCTTTTCTTAACCCCACTCATTCAGCTCACTCAGCTAGCTCACTGCATGCAGATGACCTCCTGGAATAGGAAATTGTGCAGAGAAGAACTGAGTAGTAAAGTAGGCTGCATAATTACTGACGCCAGGTGCAAGGATCACATTCACAAGGAGCGAGCGGGAGCGGGAACTAAGACGTCGATCTACAAGCCCGCTGGAGACTGGAGAACGCATCAGCCATCAGCCAACCGGCTATCCGATCCGATCCGCAAGATGGATCCAGTACGGAAGAATAATAACTGCATGTATGTATGTATGCACAGACGAACCAAGAATGATAGTATGTCACGAAAAAAGAAAGGTGAAGAAAAAAAAAAAGAAAGTTACTCCGTACTGTCGCATCTGCTTGCCTGCCTGCGTCGTAGATCGTTCTACTGTAACTGAACATGACGGGTCGATCCGTAGGAATCAGGCTTATTCTCCAGTCTTCCACAGCCATGGAGGGGCAACTAACTAGCAAGGAGGTCTGCTGAATGCAGTCAGCTCAGGTCGGTAGTTTTTGTCAGGCAGACTTTTTAGTAGGAAATTAGACAGCCCAATCACAACACCAAGAGTCTTTCGACGATGAATGTGATCCTCGTGATGGCACAACAAGGCTAAGCTAAAGCAAGGCTTGCAGCAGAACTGACCAAACGGGTGGAGCATGCTGCATGCATTGTTCAAGACTATTGGCACTAAGTTAATTAACTCTTTGCAGAAAGAAAAAAAGAAGTTAAGGTCGACCCTTGGTAACCCGGGCGGAGGACGGAGTACTAAGAAGGGGCTAACACGGACCCTGTGTCTATCTACGACAAAGTATATCGTAGCGATCATTATGGCTTGTATTCATTAAATTAAATTAAATTAATGAATTAATTAACTTACTTAGTAGATTAGATTAACAGCCCATTTACGGAGTCCGGATTACTACTCCGTGGGATCTCTTCCTCTTCGCGTGAGATTATCATCACCATCATCATTATTACTCCGTATTATTAGCATCGCTGATCAGAGCGAGACGCTTTCTTCACTATGACTCGTCCATCCAATAGGAGAAAAAAAAATCGAGATGGCGCTCAGCATGCAGGTAATCATCGCCTGATTGACGCCTTCGACCTTGATTGATTGATCGATTCTTCATAATCCCCCCACTTTCCTTTCCTTCTCTCGGAATCCTGGCCCGGCTAATCATTAGGATTAATTAGGTTGCGGCGGGTAGGCTGCATTATGGATGCATACTATGCACAGCATACGATGCACTGACATTTAGGTGTTATTTATTTATTTAGTGATGACTCTTTGCAAGTCGGGTAGTTTCCAATCGGATTGATCAAGATTATTATTCCTTTCCTTTCCATGCTTGCTCCACTGTCTCCGCTCCCGGGAGAGTTCCATGGGTCCTTGGATCTTGGCTGACAAGTACGGAGTACTTGTAATAAGTAATGCATAAGTCGTTGTGAATGATGTGACGAGATGTCAGCCCCTGGCAGCACGAGAAGACCTCAACAAATGATGGATTGTGTTGAAGATTCCATGGTACTGAATGAGCAGGATGATGACTATCCACGAGTCTTGACTCACTGCGCCTCATTCAACGACATACCTAACATGAATCATGGACTCAGATTGAAATAATGATATGATTCGTAAGCTTGAAAATTCGAGAACAAGCAGGCAGACCTTTTTTCGCCACATTATTCCTACCTACCTACCTACCTAATCATTTCCCAAGAAAGGCATGATGAATGATGGCGATGACCTATGTACAGTACATACAGTACATACACTGCCTCTCAGTGATTACTACTTACTGACACCATGCATCAGTCGACTGACTGTTCTCTTTGGCCCACAGCCACTGATCCCCATCCTTCCTTTCAAGGCAACGCGCCGCTTCGCGAGTCCGAAAGAGGAAATCCTGACAGAGCGAAAAAACAGGGAAAGTCGAGGTGCACTGGCTGGTACGCGTGACCTTGCCTTGTAGGTTGTCTCTGTCATCCTCCCCGAGAAGTCATTAATTTTAATGGGAATGATGACATCCCCCCGATATTACTATTCACTCGATGCCGCTAGCTACCTATATCCCGACACGACACGATACGGATTGACGGGACGATTATTATACTGTATTGTATTGCCTGTTCCAGAAACAGGCGTTAGAGAAAGGCGGGAAAAAAAAACATCATCATACTGTATCGTACGTAGGTACATACGATATACGACGCGGATAAATGCGTGCATACTGTATGCAGGCGGGACCAAACACAGTTTAGCGACAACCAAGGAAGGGTAGGTAGGTATGTATGGGGAATTTTGTCCAGATGACTTGACGTGACTCGACGGTGACTCGCTCACCTTTGGTTTTTGTTTCGTCAGCGGTTGACAATTCGGATTCGGATTTTTGTATCTGCTGTCGTCATTCCATCATACGTATGAACCCTTCAGCCAGGCTATAATCTACCTAATCAAGATACCTACCTGGTAGAAACTGAAACCTAAGAGTAGTTTACTCCGAGTCTGGATTCCAAGGTTTCAACCGACGTAGCAAATCAGGATGGCGACGGTTTACCCGTGGTTCCAGAATCGTGACAATAAGTTAATTAATTATTAATGGATTTAGGATTTGAGTCAGGCGCGCATTGTGCATTAGTTTCCGCTGTCTGTGGCGATAGAGTACCTCCTACTGTAGCCTGTAGGCACAACTGGATCCGAGACATCCAGCAGTGTACTCCGTAGCAGTGAAGGCTGTCAGCAATCTAGAGAGAAGACATCTGAATGCACCCCTTGCAGGGTGAGGATGCTGACATTGATGACGAAGAGCAAAACCAACCTTCCCAAGGCAGAAGAGGTGAGCGAAAGAAGAGGACACTCGTTGATAGAGTACCTGCTGTTGGCATTGCTGCAGACTCGCTGATCTTCCAATCTCCACAGACAAGATTCCAGCCAGCCATGGACAACGGGACACAAAGTGTCCATAGGGTAATACAGTAGACAGTAGCAGACTCCGCATCCGAGCGATGAGTCAGAGGTAGATATAGCAAGACTGATGCACTGTACCACCACACACCTGGGGTGCATCATGACACCTAGGCAACATAGCATGGTCTCACTTGCGCAACCCTACCTACCTACTTACTGTCTGTGCATCTGCATCTGCATTGTGCCATCATCCTTGCTGATCAGTCCAGGGAGTCAACTATGCTCATCTGTCTATGATGCTTGTCGTAGAAATGGACAAATTCAGCTTGCTGGCAGAACTTGCAATTGACCATGGTTGCCATTCTAATATATATAGCAAGGATAATCCATAAAAATCAACTTCTGCCAAATCAAACGCCAGTACACCCCGTGTCTAGATAAGAATAACCAGAAACTAGCTTTCATCCCTAGATCGACGTGATCATTATTGAAACCTCCCATGAACGCCAACCAAGTGCAAAACCTCATATGCGTCAGTCATTACATGGCCAGTTCATCGTTGTCCCAGCCTAACTGCTCATAAATCGATTTCTCAGGGGTCATCGGTGTCCTGTTACCGCCTTTCACAGGTGTATCCAAAACGGGCGCAGGGGACGATGGCACAGTGGGAAGTGTAGCAGACACAGATCTCGGTGGGGTTTCCTGCACTGTAGGGGCGTCCGTCTCTGGCTTACTGCGACTGCCAGAAAACAGTCGTGAAGACACAGGAGTCGATGAGGCTCCAGCCGAACGAGAAACGGGAAGATTCGGCACCTTGAATAGAGCTCTTGAACATTCCAAGTCGCGCGGCGTGTCGGCGGCCTCTTTGACCATCGTTTCCAGCGGATCTGACAACTTCGAAGGTCCCCTTGATGGAGTTTCGTGGATAGAATTAATTTCGTCTCTGTCTACGTTCGGATCAGGGAAACTGGGCCGAACGGCTGAAGCAGGCACCATCGAAATATCACTCTCCAAAGCTGGAGGAGATGTGTCACGTTGCCGACTAACAGACGCTCGCGCCAGACTTTGAGGAGGCGGCGGCAGGTCCACGCCGACATCCTTCTTCCTGGAGCCCTTGGGAGTTGCCATGACCTGAACTCCTTGCCCGGGCGGATTCCGCGATGGGTTTCTCGATTTCCGCGAGCTCGTGCTTGCAATTCTCTTCTCCGTTTGCTCAGCAATCTCTCTCGCAATAAGTTCTCGGTTAGGCCTCCTGAGAGCGTTGATGGCAGCATCAAGCTCCCTCTTCTGTTCCATGAGCATGTGCATCTTCTTGATCTTCGCCTCATGCTGTTTCGCGACAGCATTGAGGTCTACCTCCCTGTTGTCCACGCGCCTAGCAACTTGAATGCCCCCTCTAACGGTCGTGTTCAAAGACGGTAGCGATGGTTCTACAGACTCACGCTTGACCTCGTGTAACGACGGTGCGGTGCTTGACCGCGCGAGCGACGGGTGTCGTCCTCTTTGCGAAGCAGCTGCCTTCTCATCAGTCAGAACCCGCTGCAATGTGCGACGGGACTTTTGAGGTTCTGGCCGTTTGGCGACAGTCCCAGGTTTCGTGCGTGATGAACTCTTGGAATGGTGCGTCGGACGGGGCGGAGAGGCAAGATTTGGACCACCGAGTTTCCGTTTGATCGACTTGCACTGCTCTGGAAGACGCGAAGCATAGAAAGGAATGATGACCTCGGTGCAAAAGTCCCGGAGCATGTCACTCTCAATTTTCTTTCCTGAGAGGTGGTTGTCCCCATTCTCTTTCACTGTATCGGGGACCACAGAATCTTCAGCGCTGACTGCGTGCCAAATGCACAGCCTATCTAGAAGCAGCTCCAGAAGAACGTTCAGATCCTGCTGCTTTGTCTTGGACTGCTTAGCGCCACCCTCGTGATCAACATGTTCTTGAGGAGCTTCTCCTGACGTTGTTGAACCCGACGTTTCCAAGGCAATTGTTTCCAGAATCAGCAGGATCTGAAGCTGGGTTTCGCGTAAACGCAGGTCGGAAATATGTCGTTTTGCCTCTTCTTCCCTCGTCACTTCTGTGGACCCTGCGTTCTCCGTCAAGTGCCGACTTTTCCACCATTTTCTGATAAAACCCTCCTCCTCCGGATACAGGCCGTTCTTGCCCAGCTTTTTCTTCTTGTTTTTGCGTTTCCTTGGACGTGAGTCTGCTTCGTCTTCGGACAGAACCAGTGCCACATTGCGGATTATCGTTGGGATGGTTTCCTTATACTTTAGATCCATTTTCTTTACGGGAAGGATAGCATCCCTGTAGAAGCTGATGAGTTCTGAAGATGTTACCGCGCCGTCTTGACCCGGCGTTTGGAATGCGTTTCGACAACGCGTCAAGGGCCCTTTGGCGAAGTAGGCAACTGATGTCTTTACCAGATAGTTAGCTTTCAAGTCGCTTTTTGTAGGCTGATGTCCAACTCACCTTCGACACGTAAAGCGCTTCAAGGTACTGTGTTCTCAAGCTGTCAAGCAGATTTTCAGTAACCTGCGTTCCTTCTGCCGTGCCGGACTGTTCATCCGTGTTCAGCTGAGGCATCTGCACGCCTTCTTCAGGCGGTGTTTGTACGTGGTTGTCCTTCTTGCTCTGCTCAGTTGTTTGAGCGATGCCATTTTCCGTATCCATCTCATGTAACACGTTATTCTGGGCCGTCTCAAACACGACAGAAACATCGAACTTCCTCCGTTTTCCAAACGGCTCGATGTCGAGGAAGCCTTCATTTACCCTCGCAGCCTCTCGCCAGTCGGCGCCTTCCTCCTTGTCAGACGCTTCGAGGTCCAACAACGGCTTCCTCCTGAGGGAATGGCGCCCTTCTTTGGCTGCGACGAGGAGGTCCCCCTCATCAACACAAGAAGCCAATCTGCAGAGAGCATATATTCCAGACTTCACCCTTTCCACTATGTACAGTGTGCCATTGGGGATCGATCGAGCAGCGAGCACGGTCGGCTCCTCCCATCCGCAAAGGTCATCTTCCAGGTCGGGGTTGTTGGTCGCAAACAAACTACCGGTCTGGATTGGAGTGGACGTGTCGAGCCATGAGAATGGCAGCCTCGAACGGAGGAGCAGAGTGATCGGTTCCAAGGTGAAGCCATTGTCTGATAATGAGGATGCAAGGCCCTGGCAACACCGGTTAGCAAGGATGGCCGGGACACAGGACCTTTGCACAATAGCAGACCTTTATACGGAATATAGATGTAGAGAGTGTTCCGGAGCTACTGTGGGACAGTTTGCGCTTCTTCAATGGCGGATGGGAACCATGCGATGCATTCAATGCCGCTGGACTCGTGGGTTCGAGAACGTCTGGAGATTCCCGAGAAGCCATCAACGCGTGTGGATACAGGGCATTATGAATCTCGACAAAACCAGCTGTGAGATATCAATGCGCGGGCAGCATTATCAAGAAATTAAGAACAATCGGATGCAAAACGCTTTTCTGCTGATAGTGCTGTGGCTCGTGCGGTAGTAGCATGCTCCAGCAGGGTTGCAGTCCTGAGGCGGGCTCGATTTGGCGTCACGCGTCGACTCACGCGTCTCGCGGTCGGCCCGCAACCGCTCGCCGAAAAAAAGCCCCGCTCCAGCTTGGGCCATTTAACAATTACGGTAACACTTTTAACAGGTGCGATTGAGCATACTTGGAGGCCCAAAGATTTGAAATTAGAGGTCTGGTAATTATATACAGGTAAAAACACGGCCTCCAGCTCTGTTTTTATTGCGCTAAGACTCCTCAACGCTCTTGCCCCAGGAGTAGTGGAAGAACTCCACCGCTCACAGTTCTGAAGCGCATTGCTCTCGATGATCCTGCAGGCAGCAGCTGAAGACACCTTGATACATCTAGATACATACAACTGATAATGTAAGAAAGGGTCCCTCTAAGCCAACAGAAGCAAAGATGTTGAAACTTTCGCTCCTCATAACGCCGTTCTTCCCATGCCGAATGATATAGTGGTATCACATGTTGAATTTTTAGCCGTCCAGCCCGACCGAAACGGGACCGCAAAATGAAAAGGAAAATCGCGAGACTTTTTATGTCTATAATAATATATGCTTTGAGTTGTTGAAACAAAGCAACGTCATGAAATTCATCACAAAACCATCGTCACACCGCGGGCAGCAAAAGGATTTGGGTTGCTCGCTTAGAACTTGAGCTCCTTGGGCTTCTCCCAGGAGAAGCTCTGGTCGGTGAAGTGACCGTTCTTGGCGGTCTTGTAGTAGATCGGCTTAGCAAGGTCGAGCTCCTTCACGATGACACCGGGACGCAGGTCGAAGTTGTCCTTGATGATCTTGACCAGCTCGTCGGAGGTCTTGGACGAGGTGCCGTAGGTCTCGACGAAGATCGACAGAGGCTCAGCAACACCAATGGCGTACGACAGCTGGACCAGGACACGACGAGCGAGCTTGGCGTGAACCAGGGACTTGGCAATCCAGCGAGCAACGTAGGCGGCGGAACGGTCGACCTTGGAGTAGTCCTTGCCGGAGAAGGCACCACCACCGTGAGCACCCCAGCCGCCGTAGGTGTCGACGATGATCTTGCGGCCGGTCAGACCAGCATCGCCCTGGGGACCACCAATGGTGAAGAGGCCGGAGGGCTGCAGGTGGTAGATGGTCCTGTCGTCCAGGAGGTGAGCAGGGATGGTCGTCTTGATGATCTTCTCCAGGAGTTCCTTTCGCACAGTCTCAGTGGTGACCTCGGGGGCGTGCTGGGCGGAGATGACGACGGTGTCCACGCGCAGGGGCTTCACAGCGCCATTGTCGTGGGCATACTCGATGGTGACCTGAGTCTTGGTGTCGGGACGGAGCCATGGAAGGGTTCCGTTAACACGAGCCTCCTTTAGGGCCCTGTTGAGCTTGTGGGCCAGAACGATGGTCAAAGGCAGCAGCTCAGGGGTCTCATCGGTGGCATAGCCGAACATGATACCCTGGTCACCGGCGCCCAGCTTCTCCAGGGCTTCATCGTAGTGAAGACCCTGGGCGATATCAGGAGACTGCTGCTCAATGGCAACCAGGACGTTGCAGGTCTTGTAGTCAAAACCCTTGGAGGAGTCGTCATAGCCAATGTCCTTGATGGTATCACGGATGATCTTCTGGTAGTCCAGCTTGGCCTTGGTGGTAATCTCACCAAAGACCATGATCATACCTAAATCGCCCGTAAGCCACTCTGGCCTCGGAAGAGACTCTTCATGCACTCCATCATTGGCTTACCAGTCTTGGTTGCTGTTTCACAGGCAACCTGTGCAAGGCATTAGCATCCTTTTCTGCTTGCCCCGCCTCCATTGGCGGAGACCAGGAGGTGAATTACCTTGGAGAGAGGGTCCTCAGCCATGCAGGCATCGAGAATGGCATCGGAGACCTGGTCACTGTTCAAGAACGCTGTCAGATGGCTAGGCGGGCAGCGATTGTGGGCGCAGAGAACGGGGTCATGCTCACGCAATCTTGTCGGGGTGGCCTTCACCGACCGACTCCGAGGTGAAGAGGAAAGTTCCCCCGTTCGAGCTCATTGTGACTGGACGCAGAAGAGGACAAAGGCTAGGAAAGGATGGAAGGAGAAGGTAAACGGGGGAAGAGGTCTACTGGGAAGACGCGAGGACGAGGCCTTGGGAGAGAAAAGTTGGTGAGAGGAGGAGGACCGGCTGGGAAATGAGGTGGGGTTTTGCCGTCTTAATAAAATGCTCGTGAGCCTTTCTCCGAGTCGGACTCGGACAGCGATTGGGCGGGTCCCCTGATGGCGCCATCGGTGCAGCGCAGGCGGTGTTGAGCAGCAGAAAGAGCTAAGCAATTAGCTGCCCGCAAAAAGAAGGCCAAAAAAAAAGACTCTTCCGACACGCACTGCCGCGACGGCTACTCACTGGTTGGAACGCTCCTGGCAGACCGCCTGTTGCTTCTGTTCCTCTCGCCTGTGATTCCTGTTAGTTTTTCTCGTATCCCCGGCCTTGTTGTTTTGTGCCTGCTGCAGCTGACAGCTCGCGGTACATCTCTGCGCCGTGTCGATTGACCCCACACCCCACCTCTCTCTATTGCGCTCCCTTCGGAACTAAATAATCATGTCGAAATTTGGGGTCCTGGTGATGGGGCCTGCGGGCGCAGGCAAGACGACGTTCTGTAACGCCTTGATCCAGCATCTCCAGAACACGCGGAGGAGCTGCTTCTATGTGAATCTGGATCCGGCGGCGGAGACGTTCAGCTATGAGCCTGACCTGGACATCCGCGAGCTGGTGACTCTGGAAGATGTCATGGAAGAGCTGGGTCTGGGCCCCAATGGGGGTCTTATCTACTGCTTTGAGTTCCTGATGCAAAACCTCGACTTTCTCACGCAGGCCCTGGAGCCGCTGAGCGAGGAGTATCTGATTATTTTTGACATGCCCGGTCAGATCGAGCTGTACACGCACATCCCGCTGCTGCCGTCGCTGGTGACGTTCCTGAGTCGCCAGGGCCCTCTGAACATCTCCCTGTGCGCGGCGTATCTCCTGGAGAGCACGTTTACCATCGACAAGGCGAAATTCTTCGCCGGCACGTTGAGCGCCATGTCCGCTATGATCATGCTCGAGATGCCGCACATCAATATTTTGAGCAAGATGGATCAGATCAAAGACACGATTGGGAAACGGCAGTTGAAGCGATACACCAACGTAGACGTGCAGCTCCTACAGGACGATGCGGGATTGGATGAAGAAAAGGCACGGGATCCGTCGTCCAAAGACTCCGTGATGAGCGGAGAATCATTCAAGCGGCTGAACAGAGCAGTTGCCCGACTGATCGATGATTTTAGTATGGTATCCTTTCTGCAGCTTGACGTACAGGACGAGGACAGTGTCGGAGCCATCCTCAGCTACATTGACGACGCCATCCAGTTCCACGACGCGCAAGAACCGCGGGAGCCGAACGACGAGAAAGAGGTGAATTGGGAGGATTCTGATATTTGAGGAAGAAAGTCGGCAAACAGATCAACTATTGCTCCATATGCCGCCGATCTTACTGCTAAATCCGTCCATTTCAATATGCTACTGTGGCATATTTATACATGCCGTCTGATGTCCTGAAAGGGTCCGGTCACCCACGAGCCAGCGATTCCTCACAGAAGGACAGCAATACTCCGCGAGAACAGTTGCGTTGAAGATACGAGCAGGACGGAAAAGTGTTCAGATTCGGAATCAGATTCGGGCGAAACTGGCGTGAGACCAGGCCGAAATCAAAACTCTTCCTGAGAAATGAGATTTGGGGAGAATAACAAACAAGGCCCGGAATGCCACCAAACAAAATCAATGCCTGTCAGAATAACAGAAAAGGGAGAGCAAAAGAGAAAAAAATAGCAGGTTGGTTGCGCTAGCCACCTTCATAGCATACCATACCATACCATACGGGAACTGCGACCAACAATCAATCGTGAATGAACCATGAACAAACAATATTCAAACATGGATGGTCAGATCAATCAATCAAGAAAGCAAGCAACAAAAAATTTCCAAGCACCAATTTCTCCAAAAGAGCATTCAGCGTGTCCAGCCGTTTCTCATAAATAAACCATAAACCATAAGAACCATAAACCGAATGAATCCCTTGATAAATAAATAAACCGTCACTTCATTTACTTTTTTTTTCTTTCACAAACCTCTTCCTCCGCGCTGGTATCTAGAATAATAATACCTCCCGTAACCACCACCACCACCACCACCACTACCGCCTCGATACGATGACCACGATGACGACGACGACCACGACGACGATGATGACTCCGCCGCCGCCGCCACAAAATCCTCAACAAACCCCTGCGCGACGCCCAAAAGCCAAGTAACATCCCTACTGGCCTTTTCCAACCCGACATTGTAGACATACAGCCCCGCCCCAATCACGCAGGACCAAAACACGAGGCGGAAGACGAGTGCGATCCAGAACATGACGACGCGGCGCGCATAGTCGAGGATGCGCAGCGAGATGTACAAGATGGCGAGGAGCAGGAGGACGGAGACGAGATCCGGCGTGGACGAGGCCAGCAGGGCGGAGAGCGGCTCGATGATGTAGGGGTCGAGGTATTCGTGACGGAGGTCGGAGAGCAAAGAAGAATATGAATATGATGATGATGATGATGATGATGATGATGTTATTGTTGAGGTTGCGGAGGCGATGAGATTCTGGAGAGAAGAGAAGAAGAAGGAATGCTCGCGGAGTAAAGGGAGGATGGTATCTAAAAGAAAAAAAATATCAGTAACGAGATCTGCTAATCATGTATATATGTATGTATGTTATTTGGAAGAAGAAATCGCGTTACGCACCTTGCAAGTACTCCATTGTTGGTAGTGGACCTGTTTCCTTTTTTTTACAGTACAAAAGATTCCTCTTCAGCAGTATGTATATAAACCGAAACTATCGTCAACAAATCGACACTTTCCTTCCACCTCCCTTATGTAGAGGCGTAGGTAGGTAGGTAGGTAGGTAGATCCTAGTGCCTGTCGGAGAGAAACGTGGTAATATAGGCAGGCTAAGCTCGGCAGGACTGTACGCTCACGCAGCACCCGACGAGAAGTAGGACTCAGAGGAGGGTTATCTGCGACACGGCAAAGAGCGTGCGCAACGGAAGGAGCTGCAGAGAAAGAACGACAACCTGATACGGTGTGTTCTCTAGGTAGGTCGACTTCTCCGATCCGAAGGTAGGGTGGAGATCAGCAAGCAGCTCAAAGCCGACGCTGGAAATCAAGACATCCTAACAAGCAAAGAAAATCCAAATCGTTGTCGCTGGCTAAAATAGTGGTCCAGCAGTTTCGAAAAGTAATAAGTTCGTGCGAGGGCATCGTTTGTGGAGGCGTATGTACTGTTTATACAGTGTCGTCCAGGAGGAGGTTAGGTAATAAGGCGGTGATGGTCGCGCGGGGATAGCGTCGGGGGCGCAAAACAGACAAACATAACAAGTCCACGTGGGAACTTGCTGCGCAACAGTTACTTTCTAAGTAAATTTATCCCAACTGCTAACCCGTATATGTACAGTACATAGTAACGTCTATTTCCTGATTTTCTATTTACCAACCAAACGCCTCCTCGAAATATTCCACTCTATATCCCTCCTTCAACATTCGATGCACAGCCAGCCGAGCATCGTCTGCCATTGCCCCCGGTCCACATACGAGGACTGCAGTCCTTACGCCATTATTAGGACCAGGCAGTCCAGTTGCCCTGACATGATCTGAGATCAGACCTTTAATATCTGGTCTTCCGAAAGCAATATCAAGACAAGGATCATCATCCGAGTAATCGACATTTCGTACGAGACTGGTATGTTCCGTTGGCGACGAGGGCGGTCCGTTCTTGGTTACGCTTCCCTGTAGAGGTAGCCTTTTGTTGCCTCTTGACGTAGCATAGAGTCTTACGTGGAAATCTTGTCGTTGAGTGGTGGACTGGAACCCATAGCGTCCGATTTCTTCGATAAACTCTCGTTGACGGGCAGTCCATATCAGTGTCACGTCTCGAGTCCTTGTATTTCGGGACCCAGGCTTGGTTGCGGGAGATGAGGTTGTTGCTCCAGAGTCGTCACTAAAATCACCGCAGGAGTTTCTACAGCGGCGAAAGTGATCTTCAATATAAGGCAGGACCCCTGCGATGCCGCTACCTCCGGCGATAAGAATGACTGTCTCATAATTGTAGAGAGGAGAGACTTGGCCGTAAGGACCCTCAAGAAGGAACGTTGAATCGACAGTGAGTCCCGGAGCGCGAAGACACTCATTCCGCAGCCGTCTCGTCCATCCGTCAAATGGTCTAATCCAGAAGATCAGTTTGCGGTCGGTAGTCGGCCTTGTTCCGGATGGCAATGGTAGAGCATCATTTGAATCACTTGAAATGTCAGCGACGAGAGAACTTGACAGCTAGGCTAAAAAAAGGATTAAACTTGCGGATACCAACCTGTCGCTGCCAGCAACAGTCCAACTCCCCAAGGTGAAGGGATGATTCTCATAACCCTTCCATCTCAGCGGCTGGTAAACGTAATAATGCTGGCCCGGTTTCGGCTCCAGTTTGTCTCCCGGAATTGTGACTTCCAGCCACAATATGTCGGATAACCTATTATATGAGAGCCGGCCTCTTGTGAGGCAGAGTCTTTTGCGGTTTATGTAGATGTGGATGTTGCAGTAGACAAGGCGCACAATCCTGGCAAGTCGATCAAGTGACCAGACCACGACAACCGGCCAGAGATAGATGTCATATCTACCGCTGAAGATAGCTGTATGACTGATCGACCATTTAGCCCTGCCCCAAAATAGGAAATACGGGAGGCGACGTCTGGCAATTTAGAAAGACTTACATAAATAGTCCGACGATGACAACCACTGAAAATGTTATATGGATGAGCAGAAACAACTCGTAGAAATTTCTGCGCAGATATATGGAAGAGAAAAGTAAGAGGAGGCTCATACACACAGTTGCCTGAGACCAGATGAGCGTGGTCCTGCATCCTAGTTTATGCAGACGGGTCAAGAGTGACATACAGCAATTCCCATATACCACCACGGGTTCGGCAAATAGAGAGCATATGTGTTTTCTTCGAATCTCGTCAGCACCCATTTAACCAGATCCTTGAACTAACTGAGCTTACTTCTCATAACCAGAACCGTATACCCTATAGAGTGAACGATAGCCTGGATAGTCGCAACTCTTGCGATTGCTCTGTGGAACAGATTGAAAGTTGAAAACTTCCACCCTGTAGCCCAGAGGAAGGGATTGTTGCGCCCGCCGAACAGCCACAGCAGACAAAGATTTGCGTATGCCAGCATGCCAGTCCTATCAGATAGATATCGCCAAAATTGCTCCGATGTGTCACGCCAACTAGGTAGACCACGTCAGATACAGCGTCTTTCCAGACAAGCAACAAGCGCTCATCCACATACTAAAGATTTCCTTCGAAGGTATCGTAACTCAAAGCCATGAATGCAAAGCTGAGCAGGTAGAACGATATTATCGGTATTGCCTCCATTCGCGTCGGGATTGAACAGTAATAATAGAGCCTCTGATGATAGGACCCAATCGCCGCAGGAATGATGAGGTTCGTTCTAATCCAGTGATATATTCTTTCAAGAGACTCGAGGACATTCTCTGGAATGTACGAAAAGTATTTCGATGGCTCGTGAAAGTATCCTTTTTCGCCGCTCCGGTGCAAATGAAACAGGTTGGTGAGGAAACGGTTCATAGTTCCGACGAGCAGTACGCCGCCCCAGAAGTAATAGGAAGCCGCCCTGGAAAAAGACACAGTCAGTCAGCATTTCCCTCTCTTGACGCTCAAGAGACACATACCCGTATGTACGATGCATGCGTGAGGTCAGAGACCAAGCCGCCTGTTCAACCGTCAGCCCGCTCTATTCTGCTCGAAAGTGAGGTCTTCTGACTGACGTTCGTTCTAAACGAAGCTTCATAGTAAGCCCTCGATATCAGAACCGGTGTATCCAGCTCTACGGCTTTCGGAACCTCAGCGTAGTCGACCACCCTCAGACTTCGGATATAGTCCTCGGTCAGTGCGGGAGCAATGTCCGCGTAAGGCGTCCGAGACAGCTCTCCCTGGCATGGTTTATTGATGTGTCTTAGACCCGGGTGGATCTCACTGGGAGCGCAGAACACTTTCACAGATGCGTAAATCGACCATGTTCGCAATGGGTTCAGGCACGAGTCGACGAGGAACGGCTGGGAATGAGACCCCGTGAAGGAGAGGTGGGTGTACGCCTCAAAAATGGCCTCGACACACCGTTCCTCATCGGAAACCTCGTCTGCTCTTGTGAAGGAAACACCGAGTGTCAACACCAGAGGGAAGAGGGCTAACAGGCGCATCTTTCTCAGACCTTGGAGAGCCGCGGGAGTTCAGAGAAGACTCTCCCGGTCCATCTGGCTAAGTATTGGAGCGACATCGGGAAATTAGGAAACAACGGGGACCAAATGAGACTCATGTGGCCGTGGCAGGCCCACAAAAACACCGGATTTCCGTGGTTGACGATAATCCATGCCCGGTGTCATTGCAACGGGCTGGGTGATTGGCAGTTGCGACCTTGGGAAATGTGGGCTGCGATTAGTTCGGGCACTAGCGCCATCAGATAACTCTATCTGTCATCTGATAAAAACCTGCACATTCCGAACCGAAAGCGACTATTAATAGGCTGCAACATGCCAGACAGAAAAGGACATCGCTCTGGGAGTCTCTGATTGGTAGCATTATTAGCAATAATTTCGAGCTCTTCCAGCTCGAGGTGTAATGCACCTAGTATATATACAGGCCCATATATCGGCAATGACTTCATCCACCCGCCCAAACTCCAATAATATATGTACAATCACATGAGATAGGATACCAACAACTTTCGAGAGTGAGAATCAAGACAACAGTTTCACCAAGATGATCAGGCCGCATTGGCGGAGTATGCAACTCGAATGAACAGGGCAGTGTTCTATGGAACCCTCCGTATCGTGACAACATCCAACGAAAGTGGTATATCCAATAGCAAAACGCCAAGTCGACGACAAACAGGAATCATTCCCAAGAGTAAAAAGTCGAAGGCGGTCATGAAATATAAAACAGAATAGTATTACATGGAAAGTCAAAGTTCAGCCCATGACGGCCTTGAGTTTCTCCCGCTCAGCCATGATTTCGGCTTCTAAGCGGCGGGTCTGACGGAGAGCCTCATCCCTAACAATGAAAGTTAGCATCGAACTTGAAAGTGGGTAGTGGTTTGGAATCATACCTGTCTGACTGGAGCTCTTCCACTTCAACTTGGGCCTTGTTCATTCGTCCCACTACCTCTTCCATCTCAAATTCAGCATCGCGGAGGGCCTTTTCAAGTTCCTTGACCCTCATTTCAAGCTTTTCCGTCTGGATCGCCTGGTGCAGGGGAACTCCTAGACCACTGGTGGTCAAGTCGAGACGCGGAGATCGGTTACCCGAGAAGGGAGATGTGGGAAGTCTAGGCGAGAGCGAAACAGGGGTTTTGATTCCATTTCTCGCACGCATGAGCTGTGCGTTGTGGCTCTCCTTGATGGCCCGAATTTCTTCCTCATGCTTCGCGATCTCTTCTTCAGAATGGTGCTGTGCGACCATCAAAGCGTCCTCCAGATTCTTGAGCTTGTCCTGCAGCTCATTGATCCGGGAAGCGGACAGCTTCTGATCTCGTTCACCCTTGGCAATCGTCTCCGCCAAACGTTGGCGCAACGCGTTGTTTGCCTCCAGCTGCTGTCGCACCTGCTCGGCAAGGGCTTCCATTCGACCCTCCTCCAGGGCGCTAGGTGCATTAGCTTCAGCGTACTCCATGTCAGCTTGCAGCTGCTTGTATGCAGCTTCCAAAGATGAGGAAGTTGCTTGCACATTTGCCAGCCCTTCCTGCGTAGCAGCAAGGTGCTCGGGGATATCAGTATCATGCTCCTGCAGTAACGCCCGCAGCGAGCTGGTTTCCTGCGCCGCACGGTCCAGATCCATCTTGAGACCAGCTAGTCCCTTCTCACATTGCCATTTCTGCATGAGAGCTTCGTCTGCGCGTCGCCTCAGACTATTGATTTCTTCCCGTAGGTTTCGGACTTCGCGCTCGTATCCTAGCTTGCGCGGGGCGCTGTTCATTTGTTTAGCCTGCTCGAGCTCAAGTTCCAGGATCTTGATGCGTTTCTCATTTTCTCGGGCCTGATAGGCCTGGCGCTCGAGCAGACTTTTCAGAGCCTTGTGTAGCGCATCACGCTGGGCTTCTACATCCTTCACTCGCTCTGCTAGCGACTCGCGGGATTCACGATCCTTGCCGGAGACGGAGTTCGATCTCGAGAGACCGCCCCCTGACCTCGGCATCCGAGCTAGCGAATTCGACCTTGAGAGTCCAATCATCGAACCTCGTTTATTATTCGAAGGGACTCCCTCTTCCTCTGCTATCGCCGCGAATCGACCCTTTTGTGCCGCGTCTCTGAAAAGATCTCGTTCATTTCGAAGTTGCTCCAGTTCGACCCTCATTGCAGTCAGTAAGTCCTCAAAGTTATCTTTCAATTGTCTCTCCTCGGTGAGTTTTCGCCGCGTGTCCTCGAGGGCGGTTTCGAGCTCTTTCGTTCGGGAAGCCAGGTTGGACGCATCGTCTCTCTCCCGGCGAAACTGCGCATCGTTAGCGGGTAGAAGGGTGAAGCGGATGGGGCGGTATATACTCACCTGTTGGAGCTGGCTTTCCAGCAGTTGCACATGAGACTCACAGGCCGTTCTCCGCGACCTCTCTTCCTGCCACCTCTGGCTCCACTCGACTTTTAACTGGGCTCGCTCCTGTTCTGCCGCCCTTTTGATTCGCTCGATATCTTCGGTCCTTACGCTTTCGGTTTTGATCGAAACTGTCCCCGAGTCTGAGAAATAGTCACTGGTTCGACGGTTCGCATCCGAGTTTGCTTCCAACTGCAGTCTCTCCACCAGGTCCTCCAGCTCCATTTCACGCTTGATTGACGCCGCTAGCTCGGTACTGACCTCCCGGAGTTCATTTTCCAGCTGCGAAAGCTTGGAAGGGAGGTCAGGATCGGCGCTAGGGACGGCGCCCAGGGAGCCCATTCGCGCGGGGTGTGGGAATCCATTGATGTGGGAGGCATCACCGGCGGCCGGAGTGGATTTCGGGGCATAGGGCGAGGTCTGAGCAGGTTGTTGGGGTAAGGGAGATGGTAACGGGGAGCGGCCGGTATCGCTGATTTCGGTACTGGTGGATTCCGCCCCGGGAGACGAAACGGTCTTCCAACCGAAGAAGGAGGTGATTTTGCTCCCAGGCGTCTTTGGGGGTTTGTCGGCAGAGCTGGACGACATACTTCGTTGATTGGCGTCGATACGGAGAGGCGGCGGTTTGCTCACAGGAGGCTGCAGGGCCATAGCCTCAGACCTCCTGGGGTCGTCGAGAGGCGGCGGAGACTTCAGCACCGGGATGACGGGTTCACTGGCGAGACGGGAATGAACGGGCGTTCCATTCGAGATGTATGCGTCGTTTTCTCCCCTCTCCAGATGCCGGGCCGGACTGGGAGGAGTCAATGGGGGAGGGGAATGAATGGAGACTGGCCACGAGGATATCTAGATCATTCACGGCAAGTGATCAGCATTCACTTCCAAGAGAGTGACTTGCTCCGACAGCCACGGGGTTACTCCGGAGTAGTAGTGACGCAGCAGCATACCGGTCAAGATCTCTTGGGACGAACGGAAGAGACTCGTCGAGAGTCTCGAGATATTTCGGGGAAGGAGGCTGGCCGGCCTGGGGATTGGAGCCGGCAGCTGGAGACGGCGCAGAGACTTGGGAGTGTCCAGGAAGCACTACGGGCGAAGCATCATCAGGAAGAGGTTTCCTTCGCACGGCGGCCGGGCCAGCTGAAGGGGGCGACGCGGCTAGGGATCTCAAGGGCGGAGGAAGGCTGGAGGTCGAGTGCTGACGGCGGAGAAAGGAGGAGGAGAAGCCGCCAGGAGCAGCAGCGATTGGCGGTGCATTGGCGCCCTCCATGAGGCCTGTCGAGCGACCTACAGCAAGGTGGTAACTGTAACAAGAATAGTGACCGAATCGATCGTCACGCTCATGTTCTCGAGCACGGGCAAGGCCACACGCGGCCAAAGGAGCGATAAAGACAAAAAAAGGAGACGCACCGGACGGGCACAATCGCGATGGTCCAGACGCCATCTCGTTGGAGGGAAGGCCGGTGGGGAACGGCGGCACACAGGCGGCAGAGCACCGTCCGGCGCAACGAACGACGCAGCAGGGATGCAGTTAGTGTTTGGCTGGACCAGGATGCAGAAGATCAGCAGCGTCGACGGACCAGCGAATGCTACTCTGGACATGCAGACTACGACGGAGTGCTCCGTACAGAGTAATTCTCAGAGAATCGAGCATCCCAGCGTGCTCTGAACGAGGCCCGGGAGGTTGGGGCACAATGCCACATTGCCAATAGTGGCCTCTGCAGCATCAGCCACCTTGCTGTGCAGGGATAGCCGGTAGACGTAACGAGCTAGAGCGCAGGATAATAATGGATATGGCTGGACTGAGTCTGGAATCCCTCTTCCAGCACGAGCCCGGATGGCGCACCGACCATTGGCCTAAAGCAGGCGGAGGGGCAAGATCTCTGGCAGGGCATTTGCCGAGTGGGCGGGCACCGTTTTTGGCCTCAGGAGTCAGGGGTTTAAACGAAGGAGCGTCCAAGTTTAGCCCGGCCTTGGCAGGAACTGCGGTTGCCGAGACCCCTGGCGCCGCTTGAGCTAATGGGCTAAGGGCTTCGGGGCGGCCTCGAGTCTCGAGTCGACGATGATGCTCGAGTGGCTGCCCCCATGGGGCCACATCCTCGCCTCCTGCTTGCTTGCAGCTTGCGACTGACTCGGTGAGGACAAGGGTTGACACTCAGAGCCTTCAGGCTTCAACGGATGATGACCAGCGGCTGATATGGTTATTAGCATGATTATTCCCCCAGCCTGACAAAGGCTGTTTCTGCAAACAATTTCACTGAATGGAACAGCCAGACTATACGAACCACGAACGACAAAAGATGGTGAGGCTTAGGGTTATCAAAGAACGTATGGAGTACGAAGTTCGGTCCAGAGACGTCTAACGTCTAACAAAGAGCTCTCCGGCAATGACATCTCCGTCTTACGCGTCGAATTCGATCAAAGAGCCGGGTAGCCGCTTTCGCTAACGGCAAAGAAACCGTGTCTTGGATCTGGCGGCTGGGGCGGTCAAACACTGTGAACTTCCAAGGATCGAGCAGGAAGATCGGTGTAGCCTGATGTTTCATATCAGTCTCTCACGTTTTGTCTTGTCTTGTCTCGAGTTGAAACCTCAGCGGCCATCGATAGATCATGCCTCCGTTGTCATGTTGACTACCTGGATGGTTGTGTCTTGCAGATGGATTTTCTGCAGTAATAACGATCAACCGACGTCTGTCCAACGGTCCAACCTATGACATTATTCGCGCGCTGACTGACGGTGGAGCGTGCAGACTAGCTCAAAGTCAATAATGACCCGCAGACGGAGGGGAAAAGGTTGAGGCGCAAAGGATGATGATCAACTACCTAGGTAGTCAATGGTCACTGATCTTCTGCTGCGGAACCCTCGTTGGCTTGTTGGTTAACTTGGTTCGTGCTCGCCATCCAGAGTTCGACGGTGCGGCGGGAACCCAAGACCGCGCCGTACCTAACTTGGTAGATCGCTGCGCCAGTCGATCGTACAGTACGAGGTGGTCCGTACTCTGTAGATTATTCCGTACAGAGTACGGAGTACAGTGGTGTCAATGGACAGGCTGCCTTCGAAATGGGATAATCTCCGGAGTAAGGTTCTGTCAAAGTGACAAGCAGCCAGTTTTCAGTGTCACGGGCCTTGCTGGTCTGGTAAGCTATCTAGTAGCCAATCAAAGAGTGACAGCAACTTGTCTACACTGTCGATTGAATGCACTTGATAACGTAATTCCCAACCGAACCGGACACCCGACCGAACCGGACACCAACATCGAATTCTGACCGCGGTCGAAAACTTGAAGCTATACACAACAACCAAAACACGTGTATTCATTGAGTTCTATATATTTAGACGTGTAGGACAACCAGTTCTAATATGTCCCTGAATATGGCAATTAGAACATGTTGGTGGAGCACGTCTTGGCGCGTTGGAAGGTAGAGATGCAGAACCCATAGCTATCTCCTGTATCTCATCTCCTTGCTCGTTTCTCTGGTGTATGAGATCTCTCGCTTCCTGTACAGAAAGGCCTTGATTAGGAGACATCTGGCGCCTTGATCGCCCTCGTTTCTGCTTCTCTTTCTCGTTTGCCATACGGAGATCGTGGTTTTCCTGTGCTAGAATAGCAGCGTTGTATAGAGCTATCTCACAACCCTTTATTATCTGCTGTAGCGCCCGTTTTGAAGGTGTTGAAGGACTTTGAGAACCCTTTTTGAGTAGCTTCTTGACTGAGGAAGCCTGCTTATGTAGTTGACGGATTGTATGAGGTGTAGCTAGCGTTGAGGAGCTTGTAGAGTGCCCGCTACGGCTTCCTGGGGGGGTAGGAGTAGATAGCTTAATATTAAGCTTATCAAGCACCCTCTGTGGATCAAAAGGATAGATACCAGCTGCAGCGAAGCCGTTTTGAATGTTCTGAGCCTTAAAGACTTCCTGGCGAGCTATAGGATAGGCCTTTAGAAAGTCAAGCTTGTCAATATGGTTGAATCCAAGGCGCATCTTTGACTCCACAAGACCTCCATACGCCCGCTTTAAGGGACCAAAACAACCAACATCAAGAGGCTGTAGGAGATGAGAAGAATGAGGAGGCATGCAGATAGCTATAATATTGTTGTCGCTGCATGCTTTATCAAAGGCAGGTGTGAGATGGCTTCCATGGCCATCTAAAACAAGCAATCGATATCGACCAACTGTACGGCTGCTGGTTGAAGGAATAAAGACTTTTTGAAGCCACCGGAGGCCTATCTCATCTGTTGTCCAACCATTCTGACTGATTTCAATCCTCCAATCACTTGGTAGAAGGCCTTCGTCAAACCATCCTTCAATATGGACCTTTCCTTTGAAGATAATGCATGAAGGAAGACTCCAACCACTTGAATTGATACACTCGATTGTTGTCACCCATTCCCGATTGCCTGGTTGAATAAGATGAGGTTTTCCAGGCATATTGGACCTAGATACTACCTTAGTAGTAGCTATTACGCCCATTGCAAAGCCCGTTTCGTCAAAGTTGAAGATATCCTCATCTAGGATACCATATTGTAATCGAACCTTCTGTAGTTGCTCAAACCACTGTTGTATAACCTTAGGATCCTCACATTTCGCTCGCTCGTAATTATATTTTCGTGCAAATTGACTTCTGATCTCGTCACGGCGTTTGATAAGGGCTGATACCCAGTTCTTGCCTATAGGTGTGTATCCAGTTGGATTATCGGTTCGAAGAATAATATTAGCCATCTCCTGTACATGGGAAGGCCTAGGAGGTACTCCACGTGAATCCCTAGATAGTATCCATTGTATCAAAGCATCTTCCTGAGTTTGAGATAGCCTGTGGCCATTGGCACGTTGTTCGATTCGAAAATGGTGGCCAGTCAGTCGGTCATGAAGTGTAGATTTAGGCACATTAAAAACCTCCGCTGCACGACGAACACTTGGGATTTCGTTGTTTTTTAAAGCAGAAATCGCGAGTTGGATCCTCCCCTCTTGTTCCACCAAGTCTCGAGACGATAGACGCGATTTTGGTGGCATGGTGGTTGTTTGAATAGCTTCAGTATCCTAAACGCGTGGACTTTGGATGGGGTGTCCGGCTCGGTCGGGTGTCCGGTTCGGTTGGGAATTACGTTACGTTAACTGCTGCTTTGGCAGATAACCATTCAAGAGCATCGAACGCAATCTAAGCCCTACTCTGTATAAAGATCAGAATTACACCGGGAGCCCTTGAAAAATATAAACAAATTAAAAACAGTGAGATCCAATTGCCGTGGTACCCGTCTCTTGCGCTCATCGGGAAGTGTATATCAATATCGATGCTATGCTATATAATCGGTAGCGTACATACGTACACGCTACGTATGACAAGAACCACGGAAACAAGTAATATCGCTCCGAGACCTTGTCTCAGATTATCCAGTCAATGTCAGTTTCTAACAATCAACTGTAGTACGAGTCAGAAAGAGAGGAAGAAGAAACGTGGTGGGCTAAACCCTCGGAAACCTTCATATCCTTCCAAAAAAGGAAACAGCAACAACAACAACACAGGTGACGAAAGGGGGAAAAAAAACTTCTGATACGGGGTGCCGTCCCTCCCGCAGCACCCCCGCGGATTTGTTAGGTAACTGGGATTTTTATGTTTTTGGAACCCAGAGGGATCGAACGCGGGGTGTTTTTTTTTCTTGACAGTCTGTTTACCAGTCCTGCTGCAGGTGCAGACCTAACCGCTCCACCATTACCCCCCGCGTTCGTTGACAGGTAGGGAGAAAAAGGCATTATATGGGCCATTTGTCTACGGGGTGATTTGCTGGTGGTAGGCAGGATGAGTCAGGTGCGTGTTGAATGGCCAGTGCAAACGTGATAGACGATGCAAAGAGGCAAATGGCTAGAAGGTGTTTGTTTCTCTAATATGGTTGTCTCTCAGATCTAGCTTCCTATACCAGATTTTTTTCTTTCGTGCACACGTTCCATTCTTTCTTGCTTGCTAGCAAACTCCAAAGCAGCTCAATGTCCGAACCATATCAGCACTCTTGTCACTGGCTCTCTGTTATTCGAATCCTTCCAGATGGCGTGGTGTGATCTCTTTCATTTCAACTCATTTCCATAATTAACTCCCAAACAATGATGCCATTTAGATTCCCACGCCCAAGCAGAAAGCCAAGCAACATACCTAGATTAGTACCTCTCAATCAGATTTAGTATTGGCATGACTACTCCTTCCATTCTCTTCCATTCTCCCAATAGCTTCCGACATGGACAAGGCTTGATTCGCTGAAGAAAGACAGCCGTCATGAAACCGAATTGTTAAGTTCGAAGATCATGTGGAAACCCAGCTGTTATTTTCGCCAATTCAGGCCTCGCAGGTCAGCGAAATGGGGATAGAGATAGGTTAGGTAGGGACGTTTGAACACGTGACAGACACCTTCACTGCTGCTCCCATATTCGCAGACGGTAATAGATAACACTTTTCATCAATGATCAGATCAACTTTGCTTTGCGACTTGTCGAGGTTTGAATAGGTAGAATCCAGGGAGGTTATATATACAACGGCTGGAGGACTTTGGCGGGATATAAATGTGCTTTGCCAATCATCTTGGACTGAATAAAAGGCTGGAATGACAGATATGACCTTCATATGCCTGACTTTATATTAGTTGTATCCTGTCGAATCATCCCTGACTGTTGCGTCGCAGTTCTCGTCCCTCATCTCGTCCAAGTTAGCTAAAGCTCAGTAGTTTCCTGTACTTTATATATATAAGCAAACAGAAAACTCAAATTAAGCGTCTTTTTTTTATTGTTTCTCGTTGGCAGAAAAAAAAACTTCTTATTAGTCCAAGACCAATAAATTGGTCCCCATGTCGTGATTATTATCAGTAAGGGTTATCGGAAACCCGGGTACTCGGGAATCGGGAATCGGATCCACGATCACGATTATGGTTATGGAGCCTCAGCATCAGACGCTCCAATTACACGCCACGGTGCCATCAAGAGGTCCGTGCCGAATGGAGATCTTAGATAATAAGGTCTATGGCATCATTTACGGCAGAACTGATGCTAGATCAAGCAAATCATAGAGATTCGCTCGAGTACATGATATTGTACAGTACATACCTACATAAATGTACCATGGACCACGCAGGGCATGGAACTTGGTTATCCACGATGGTCTTTAATAGCAGCTGATTGATATACCACGAACTCGCCTATTGCTATTACTACAGTCCCGGTCAGGTTCAGAAATCTACTATACTTCCTACTGAGAAAACCACCATGTTCCGCACCAAAGTCTCTCGCCACATCGTCAGATCCAGCAGCAGTAGTGTCCGGCTACCACCGCGATCCTCTCCCCGTCAATTCTCCAGCTCCCCAATCGCCCGGCAAAAAGTGCCCTTCCGGATCGACGCCGAAGGCACAGGAGTCGCCCAGACGGTCTCCGTCCAGGGAAGCCCGCACAAGATCTCCGTGGACGCATATCCATCCTTCGGCGGCAAGGACACCGCCCCGACGCCACTCGCCTACTCGCTCACGAGCCTGAGCTCCTGCTCCCAGGTGACCGGCTCCCTCGTGGCCAAGGACCTGGGCATCAAGCTCGGCAAGTGGCAGGTCACCGTCAAGGGGGACCTGGGCACGGACGTGCTGGTCAAGGGCGAGCAGGGCAACGCCAACTGGGACAATGTCGAGCTGCAGGTGCGCGTCCAGACGGACGTGCAGGGCGACGACGCCAAGTTCCAGAAGTTCGCCGAAGAAACCGAGCGGAGGTGTCCGATCACGCAGCTGTTTAAGCGCAGTGGAGCTGGGTGGAAGAGTCAGTGGGTGAACGAGCCTCTGTGAGGGCGTCAAAGACTAGAACTCTCTTTCGGTGTTATATTCGTGTCTTCTGATGGTGGGTAAGTTTCCTGAGATATGAGGTGTCCACGACATTCTCAGACTGATGCTTGTAAGGCATAGGACGCATGCGTTGTATAAATACCACATAGTCAAATTTGATATCCGTGATCAAAAGCACAATAAGTGAATAGCAAGGTGGAATTCAAAGCAAATATTTGAATACTCAGGGTAGCAGCCCTAGCTGGGTTAGTCTCGCATGCCTGGCAGTAGAAGCGAACAGTTGGACGGTGAATAAAACTCGCATTTCTTTCCGAAGCATAAATGTATTGATATTGACTGTAGCTCCATTGCATGTAGCACGTGGGATGTCACTGTCCCCCTATCTATATCTGTATCAATAGGCAGCTTGGTGTTGTTAAAGAAACTCCACATGTCAGGAGGCTCCAAGTGCGTCTTCATGTGCATTTGGTCGGCCTAATAAGACGAAATTGTCGTAGGCTAAAACGGGGCATGGCCAAATCGTGATGCTGGTGGTGTGTATGAGGTGTTGATCGCGATGTCCCTGGAAAGTTCATCAAATAAAGGATTTCCTGCGAGGGCGTGATCAAATTCCGAGCCATACAGTATCCCGGGATCACTACAAACGCATGGCCACCATTCTCTTCGATCTGCCATCGTATCAATAGTGATTGGATTCTTTCCATAGTTGAACGGGTATGAATCCAGACGCTAGATCAGACGAGAGTGAAACTGGTTTCTGTTCAGGCAGAAGGCATATGGAACCTTCTTTCGCGGCATGTTTCATGGTCGAGTCCAAGTCATCTTTTGCCTAGGTATGTTCTATCGTCATCCATTTTGCATGAAGTTTTTAAGGAAAAAAAAAGTTCCTCGACAGATAATGAGGAGGTAGTGACAATCTTTTGGGCTGAGCCTTTGGAGAAAGCAGAAGTCACGGAATAATCTCTCAGGCATTTACCTACCTACCTCGACATACCCTTCTAAGGCAGCAAGAGAGCGCTAGGCCGATTTTGGACGAGCAGTCATTGACTACGCCTCATATCCCAGCGCTGTTCTTTCATTCCACAAAGCAACTGCACCATTTTGAAGATGTCTATTCGCAGGTTTTTTGCGAGTCTTCATCTCTCCTCCATGAGAGAGAAAGAGCAGAAAGAAGAGAGAGCTCAGAGCGATGCCCACGAAGAAGTCTTGGAGGGTCTGGACGTGATCTATCGGCTCGTTGAGGAAGATAGTCGCGTTTACCTTGATACAACGTTTGCAAATGCTCTGCACATCAAATGCGAGGATTTGGTGCTTAATGGTGACGGCAGCTATTCAGCACCTGGTTACCCATGCTTCTTCCAACCTTGGCCGCTAAGCCGATTCAGAGCTCATCCTATCGTCCCAGAGCATTCTCCAACTCAAGAAGAGATCAGAGCGCAGGATTCCTGTTGGGAGGGTGTGCCGATACTCAAGGAGAGCTACTTGGACGAGGCTGAATTCATGGGCTCAGTAATGGACTGGAACTTCAGAGGATTTAGGCCACTAGCGGGAGAAAACGAGAGCACAAAACTAATGTGGCTGACTAATTGGAGACCAGCGTAAGTCACCATAATGTTAAATCCAGGCTTTGCTGATCAATATTACTTCTAATAGACAATTTTCGAATGCAGTCATACATGATGTCTTCGAGGAAACAGTTTTCAATTTGATGAAGTGGACGCCTATAGATGCCTGGCAGGCTCCTAAAGGCCGACCGCATGTTATATTCACAATGGCACATGGATATCAACGTGATGAGAGACTTTTGCGTGGAGAGGTACTTGCAATTGTGGCAGCAATGATAACACGGCTAGAAAGGCGTTCTTTTCAAAGCCACAACATCATCCCTGTTAGTAATATGCCCTTATTCTTGTGTCAAATCTAATCAATCTATGTCTTCTTTTTAGGTGATGGTATTCTCTTTCATGGGTGGAAAGCAGGAAAGAATTTTGCAAGCACATTTCAACTACCAAGGACTTGTCATTCGAAAGACCCAACTTTATGATTTTTCAACGGCGGAGAAGGCCAAACTACCCATTGAACTCTTCTTACAGTATATGGCCAGTGACATGGTCGATGATACCCAGCGGTTGAGTGTACTTTAATTTCTACGAGGAGAAAGAACGTGAGACGGAGAAAATTAGTAGGGAGATCGACCTGGTAATCGACAAATAAGTGGAGAAATTTCAGAGATTTTGACAATAACCCTTTATCTACAACGACGTTCATATTGTTGTCAGAATCCAGCTCAAAGTGGTCGAAAATCGAAATAATCTTTGGGTATCGCTCATCTTTCTAGTGTTTGACGGGATGACCCGGGATAACGAATATGAAGTATTGAATACCATCCGTAAGTTAGCGAAATCGCCCTCTCGCCAGGAGTCTTGCTGAGAAATGTACACACTATCAACAATTGGAACTAGAACTCAGTATCTGCGCGCTCTACGAGTATACTAGACATGATCACATACAGTATTATTGGCGAATTCCTCTTCTACCAGCCCATATGCGGCGGTATCTAGGGCAACAGGCTGGGCCGACGGAGGTTGTAGTAAAAGGCTCATCTTGAGAACGGGAAGACTTCTTCAGGCAAGATATGCCCTAGTTTGCTTATCATTTTTGACAGGGAAAGAAGTCAGCCCACTTTTCTTTCACCGGTGCTTGGGCTTATGTTGGACTCTATAAATGCTTGGTACAACCTGGAGGTGCTGCCTCAGTCACGAGGCCAGCTTTCGTTATCATGCTCAAAGTACCTTAACGATCTTTTGTTTCAGTCCATCCAGTGGTTAATCCGCCGTACAGCCCCTGCTTCTGCATCTTTCTTGATATGTTGCATACTGACAGTGGTGTAACAGCTACATTTTTCAGCTTTGAGAGGGCATGTTCGACACAGTGATCATCAGGCCACCTCTGCAGAAAATTTTGATAAGGATATATGTATGACAGCCCTATTAGTACCGGTGGTCTAGATCCTGCTTGTATAACCCACAAAATCGTTCTGTTTCCTCCGATCGAATTACCCGGTAGGAGAGCATGTGGTCATCATGTTTTGATCTCAGCCTTATCAAAGCCGTATCCGTATCCTCGAGACTGGCACCACTTCCAGGGCGGTTTTGTGTTACCAGTGTAGATGTTCAGCCGCAAAGGGAACATAAATCGAGTGAATCCGTCAATAACGAGGACGGTAGGCCACGATAAGCTGACAGTGTGAGCATGATTATGCAACGTCAGTAATCCCCCGGCTGCCGGATGCCGGCTGACAGAAACGCAAAAAAAAGCAAACAGGATGTTCAATTTCAATTCCAAGCTAACAAAGAGCTATCTAACTGGGTTGGTTTCATCCTCCTGTATCGCGAGTCGGGATGGGGCAAACTCAAAAGATCTATAAGAATGACTGAAGAGCTCCTGTAAGCTTCTCTATTCTACCTCTCTGTTCCGTTCCTCAATATCTCACTAATATCAATCAGAATTGACTCTGAATCTGTGAGGACAGTCGTTCATGATGAAGACAACAATCGCTATCTACATTCTTTCCCTCCTTTTGGCGATAGCTACTCAAGCTGCTCCGCTAGTTGACAGTGGAGAGGAGGTGGAGCAGGCCTTCAACCAGACGGGTGAAGACGCGATGCTCACCAATGCCACATCTACACCAGCCCCAGCTACGATCTACGAAGGGGTGAGTTGATGATCATGATGTACTAGTATTTATGTACGGACGAGGAATGCGGACCAGCTAATGATTGTCTTCTGGACAGAAATGTCTTCGTCGAACTAATAAATGCTACGCTCCTACAACTAACCCTAAGGGGCAAAAAGTTGAACCGTGTGACCATCGGCACCCGGTAAGGCCATTTTTTAATATTCTGCTAGCTTTACCAGACTGTAACTAATAATGATAGTGCACTCGTGATAATAATAATTGCAACTTGAGTGATGTGGACCATAACGCTGTTTGTTCTTGATTACCTGCAGACTGACCACAAGGACTAAGGATGGAGGCAATCATAATTATGACATGGATTCGAATACCGCCAATAAGGCTGGAATCGTTTGTGCCAAGTCCATGTTGTTCGTGGATGACGGTGATGGAGGCAACACTGCACAGAGAAATGTATCTAGGCGATCTCTAACAGGTAGAACATGCATCATTATGATATTGTCATCGTTACCATCAAGTCAAGGTAATCATCACCAGTCCATTGTATCCCATGGCATTAATTGCAGAGCATTGAACTGTCGACGTAGTCAGTATGAGGTATTATGCACTGAATTTTGACCAACAAACCAAAGACTAGAGAAAACACAAATGATGAAGAAGAGAATATTTCGTGAGCATTTTGCTAGGTTGCAGACAATGAAGTTCAAAAATAGACAAAGTTCTTTATCTCCAGGAATAAAGAATTTCACACACTATTTTAAGGTGGTAGGCATCTGTCATGCACCCAAGGAGAGGAACGAAGCAATTGTTCCACATGTATCAGTCTCACAATGTGTTTTCCCAGCCCTCCCCAAGCATGATCTGTTGCCGCCTCTTCACTTCTTCCAGCAGATAAAGCTGGAACTGATAGTCCTCCTCACGGCGATCTCCAAGCCCTCGTTTGAGATGCGAAAAGTCCACCAGTCCCTCCTGGCAAAGGGCATCCAATCTGTCAATCTCTTCCGCGCTTTTTCCCTGCATGCGAAGTTGGATACGTAGGCGTTTCTGAGCCCCATCAAGGTAGTCGAAAAAATTGTGGCTCTGCTCATCTTTCCAGCCCAGAGAGCGTAGTTGCTCGAGTATCGTCTTCTGGAATGGAGTCAGGGCGGAGAGGTATTCGGTGATGGCCCCAGGTGAGGGTCGACTGGCCTTCACTTCTTCTTCGGTGAATGGGCGGTAGTCTCTCTCCAAGACTTCCAGAGGGACAAAGATGAAATTCTCTGTGGTCTCGTCCAACTGCCAGATGCCTTCGGCAGTAGATTGGGGAGGTGTTTTATGGTCTTCAGCCATGGCGTCAGTGTTAAGAGATGGAAGTCTGATGTGACAGTTGTTGTTGAAGATGATGGTGATGCTTGGAGGAGAACTGAAGAGGCAGGGTTATATAAGGCAGGAAGTTCAGGCAACAGCAGGCGCTGATATTATCAAGTGTCACAGGGAGTACGCTCTGTACGACCCTGAATAGGAAAGACCAGGTGATCTATGAGGGGTGCGTAATGTAGTTTCATTTCCATAACATTTCACAAGGCCTCTGTCAGAAAGTTTCAAGAAGCTCTGTCAGATTACCGGCTTACGCAAAGATATACATACCACGTTAGGATAGAACTTTGCTGTTTTCTGGGTCTTACTGAAATATAACGTTTACATACAACATAGGGGCCTGAAATGTAAGAAATTTAAATGACCTGAGAAATCTTGTAATTTACAAACCCCTAGTTCGGACATGAAAAAAGACCAAAATTGGAGCGAACATGCAAAACAGATAGATAGTTGGATGTCCGGGTCGCCAGGTCATCCAGTGTTTAGTAGATACCATTATATACTGTAAAATTACTGTTTTCAGTTATATTCTATGGTCTCCATTGGGCGCCAGGTTTGGCTAGGTTGTAATTTTAGTATTGAGGTATCTCGCCAGGTTAGACATGTACTTGTGTATTAATAGCTCATTACAGCAAAAGAAAGCCCTCCTGTCAAGTACAGTATTGTAGCTAAAAATACCATACGTCCAAGAGCTAGGCAATCCTTAAGCAACCTCAACAACTGGAACCCATCACTACGCAGTCAACTGAGCACCCTCATTAAAGCGGCGGTACCTGGAAAAGGAAATTTCAGAGAAAAAAATGTTTTGTATACACACATACAGTAACTACAACTATGAATACGTACTGACGCCAAGGGTATATACACTCCTGAGCGCCACGAAATAAATAATCATCGGAAAAGATATCAACAATATCAACAGTAAGAGACCATTGCAACCACCGAATAAAATAACCAATGAAAAGAAACACTCAACCATGTCCTCAGAACTGCAGTACATTATACGAGAATACAATCGTCAATAGGGGATGAAATCGAAGCTCATTCGATCTGCAGACACCATTAGCGGTTACGTAAGTTCTTCGTTTATGAGGGGGAAATCTCCATTCTTACCAAGAAAATGACTCCAATCCTCGTCCTCACTGAGCTGATCGTTGGCCCAGTATATTTCGAGAAACTTCAACGACTGGAGTACGTTTGGAATTCTTGTAGTGTCGTGCAAAGTAAGCAGCAGCTTCTTGAACGCCTCCCTGTCCTCTCCCAGGGCTTCACAACCAGCCGTGAACAAGGGTGTCGTGAGCATGACCCACGGGCTGAGCCCGCTTTTCGGGACAATCTGCGATGTGCACTCCAGGATTCGTTTCACAGAGTGCTGAACCTCTGGAGACGCTGCGGGCCACTTTCGTACTCGGCGGTAGATGTGGATCAGGGCCGTATGCTGAAAGGCCTCGTTGCATAGCATGAATTCGCGAATGCAATCTTCAGATAACCCCTCCACCACTCCGGGGTAGAACGTCGGCCGGTTACCAGCGTGTCTGTCTATTAGAGTGCGTACGGAACGCTCCAGAGATTCTGCACGCTCTTGAAATTCCGTTTCTTCGATCTGAAGCCGTGACCTGTTTGGCCCACTGCACTGGTGCCGTTTCCACGCCACGGCCCCAATCTCGCGGAAGATGTCTGCAAGGTGCACCGTGAAGCCCCAGTAGTCGTCGAGATAGTCAGGGTCATCTGGCAGCCCGGCATTCCCCAGATGTGGCTTTAACACAACGTCGTCGATCGGAGGCCCATTGCCATTCAGCGCTGTGAGGGACACGATGGACCGATACCATCGGTCAAGATATTTGCGGAAAGCTTCATTCCTCTGAGGTGACCTGGCCTGTGCGTCTGAAGCAGTCATCAGAGCCTTTGCTCCCTCTACGTGGGCCCTCCATGTATTTGGATGAATGGCGCCTGAATGGATCTCAGCCAGGCAGAGTGTGCGTGCTGTTGCCAAGAGGGCATCAGAACCCTTCCGGCTCGGATCTTGAAGCTCGGTACGGAAGTGCTCCAGGCTTCGAGCCATCAACCTCGCAATATCGGGCGCGGCCTTGATCGTCTCGGAATGATTGTTGAGCGCTTCCAGGTGGATGGCAGAGAGGGCCATGGTCGCGTATAACAGCGACGGCGTCTGCAGAGCCATTGGCACAATCATCCTGCAAATCTCCTTCTGCATACCGGCATGACACGAAGTAATGTGAGAAGCCTCGCGGATATAATGATGTAGCAACGCTTTTTGTGCCGGTGGCAGTGATGAGAATGGGTCGATTTCTCGGACCAACGTTACTTGTGACGATGACGATGACGATGACGGCGGCGGTGAAGACGACGACTGGGACTTTCCCGTGGTACATCCTGTGGTATATATGAATTCACCGGGAGAGTATTCTGAGACAATTGTTCATGAGTGCTACTTTTCCCCCGCGCATCTCCTGAGAATGGGGCCCTACCTAGACGCTGCATGCATGCGCCGAATCTCGAGCGCGAAAAAGACCGTCCTCCCCATTGCAGTTGCATGGCATACCTGCACTGCACCCCGGCCGTCTTGCACCGCCCACATTCTGGGTGTTGTTCGTCACATTTTTGCCGCCGGGCTTTGCATCGCTTGCATCCCGTGAAAGATCGAGACATGCGTCGGAGGAGGGGTTTTCCGCGGCTACAGTGACGATGCTAGCCAAATTCCCCTCCTGAGGCGATCTCGATAAGACGAGGCGACGATAACGCTGCCACGGTGAATACCGGTTGATTGTCTGACAAATTCGCTATGTGATGGATGGATAATCGCGAGACAATGACCAAGATGCGCACTCGACCGAATGGAAAGGGTGACCTGAAGTCCGAGGAGAGTCTTATCAATCACGGCCGCTTTCGGTCGCAAATCATAAATGGCGCGTGCCGTCGATCGAACCCTTCCCCACATCCTCTCGATTCTTGGCCAAGCCTAGTCTATATACATCCAGCGCCTGGTAAGATTGAGCGATTTGAACAGCAGGCTCTGTGTGGATGACCTTCGAGGGCGTCTTATCAGATATACGACTATTGCAACATCCTCGGAACATCTATTCGCATAGTTCCTGATCTGGATATGCTCACCAGATTCTTAGTGCTCTAACGTACAGAAGTTACGCAAACAAGAAGAAACCCAAGAATAGACGACCTAGAGAAACATCCAGAGCGGTATGTGCATTATCCAAAGGACGCAGTGGCCGAGAACCACCCAGCGTGTTGTCAGCTTTCGAAGGTGTATCGCAACCATTCCCCGACAGCACGCAAACTCTCCCATCTCACCGATTCATCCCGGTCGGTCATCAGTTCCATGACCCTTGCCTTCAGCCCCAACTTCTCCAGTTGGGACCGCCTCTCCGGGAGCTGCTTGACCAGATTTCCAACGTCGTTGCATGCTATGGCGAGGACTTGCTTGTCGTTATCCCAGCTCTTGGAGAGGATCTCAGCCAGCTTCTTGGGAAGGGCTCCTTGGTCTTCATCAAGAATCCGACGCGCATTCTCTCTCCAAAAGACCGGGTTGCGGTGCGGTGGTGACCAGCGCAGGTGGCCGGATTGTACTTCGGCGGCGTACTCATCAAACGTAGTTTGCGTCTTCGTGTACTCATCCAACATATCTGACAGTGACTTTAAGTCCTCAAGGAGGTCGGGGTCCGTCAAGTGACGACCTGAAAGGTTCGAGAGAAGCGCTGGTAGGCGGACGAATACTGCGACAGGTAAGAGTGTCGTTCGGTTGGCGGAGAGCAGGTTGTTAAGGGTGGCAAGGAGCAGTCGCGTAGTCTTCTCCTTTGGAGAGAGTCGTAGAAGTTGCGTGTACAATTCAATAATGTCATGGTCCCTGGCGTGGAATGAGTCGGTTGTAACGCCCTGAGGCTGAGGCTACTTACGACTGCAAGTCATTTCCAACCGGGCTACCTTCGAAACTAAGCTGCCAAATCACCAGAAGAACGTGATATAGGAGCTGAAGCCCCACGCCTCCCCCGAGGCCCGCATCGAAATTCCGGATGCTGCTCGTTCCAGCCAGAGTCGACGAGCCACTGTCTTTTGCGCCAGCAGCTGCACGAAGAATATCCACCAGCGGATCAACAGTCTCTTTCCTCTGGCTCCAAAAGATCTCCCTTGCCGCTTTTGTTCTGAGCAGGGTTGAGAATCCCTGTACGCCGATATCTTGAAGGCCGCTATCCTGATTCTTTACCAGGGAGGAAAGGTATGAGTATAGTTGTGGGAGAGCTTCTTCGTCCCGCGCAGAAGACTTGGATGATGAGACAAGTGCCGTCGAGACAAGATTCGTTAAAAAGGAGGACGTAAGGAGAGAGATGGGGTCTTCAGAATTCGTAGAATGACGCAGGAGGGGAAGAAATGGCTTGTATGGATCCGGATGCGCCACGAGCGCTGAGGCCAGTGAGGGAGAGTCTATACCGCAATTGAATTGCTGTCAGTACAAGAGAAGATCATGCCAGTATCCATATCATTGATGATCGCACCGTTGAGGAGATCAGCAGCTAAGACCAAGATATACTGCACGATATCGGTCCGCTTGGATGCGGACTCGAGAACACTCTTGCCATCGGGGCCCCCCGCAAGCAATGTGGTGTATCCGTTCAAATCCGCATCTATGGTCTGACGCCGTTGCTCCTTGCGGACCTTGTCCACGGCCTTGATCTTGCGCAACTGGTCATCGGTGATGTTGCCAGCGCGGACCGCCCCCTCCCACGGGATGGGCCGTGCGCGGATGTTGTTCTGCAGGGAGCTGAGATAGGTGGGTGGCTCCAGAGACATCGTCTACCGAGATCGATCAGACAGGGCACTGGACGAGACGGTGTCTGGCTGGAGCACTGGGACGCTGCGATTCTGAGAGTAATGCCAGATGATGTCGGAGCGGGCAGTCCCCAGTGCTTGGCCTGGAGCTTGCCTAAGGCTGCTTTCCCCGTGCGGCGGTCGCTGTGGTTGGCCCGCTCGCCCTCTAGCAGCGATGGGGCCAGCACGCGTACGGCTTAGCCCGTGCTGATAGCCCGCAGTCATTGAATTTCATCTATCTGTCTTTTGTCCATGCCGCCGTGGGACGCGCAAGCAGCAGCCAGGCTGCCATCTGTCCCGTCTTATTGCGCTTCTTGTTCTCTCCTTTTTTGTCTCTCGTTCATGGATAGTTCTTCTATGTCGGACAGAGTCGTCCTTGGCGCAACCTGACTGACCTCCGGCCACCTCCGCCCTCCCGACACATAGCATTTCGACCCGGCGGCATATCGGTCTTGAAACAGACGCTCCCCTTATGGTCTTTTCAAGGTGACCATTTCCGCTGGGACCAGGAGGACGCAGTACGGACTTTCGTGGAGAACCGGGTACCATCATGTCGTCCAATGCTCAACCGTCCAAGTCGAGATGGGGCGTGTCGGCCTTGTTGCAGCAAGTCGAGTCCAAGCTAGATGTCATCCTGGCGAATGATGAAGACCTTCCACCGAAAAAGACTCCGCCAAATGGAAGTCAAGCAGATTCCCAGAGTGCAGCTTCGGCTGCAAAGTCAGCTGCTGGCGGTATGAAAGCTTCTGTCTGATGCTCGATGCTCATGGCTGACTTGTCTCACTCGCAGTCTCACGAAGCTCCTCGAATGCGCGGAAAAATGACCGTCTACAAGAGCGTCTCGCCCGTGCTGTGGCGAAATCTCACACAACGGGAACGGCCAACAGTTCTCACTCCTCCGCTGGTGCTCCTTCTCGAAGTTCTACGCCGATTCCTAGCAATGAGGCGCGCACAAGTCTGGACAGTGCTAGAGGAAGCCTGGAAGAGAATGCGTCTGGCCCTACAAAGCTGGCAAAGGTTGCATCCATTCCCTCATCAGCTCCCAGGAGTAGTTACGATTCGGGTACGCGCTCTCGAGGCTCAAAGGAGTTACCGCCGAGCGAGAGAGATCTCAATGACCGGAAAGAAGATACTCTAGATCAAGAAGAGGAAACAGCCCGAACAGAAGTACCGGAAGCTAAAGAGACACACGATTCAACTTCAGTGAAAGACACTATCGTAACAGATTCATTGGAGGCACCCTCCTCAGATGACCATCAGATAGCATTGGCGCAATTGCAGGCCGAATATAGAGCTGCAGAGCTGCGGTGGCAAGAGGAGATGCATGAATATATCGAGAAAATCGATGCCTTGCAGTCTAAGTTGAAATACTTGGCGAAAGAGGCGGCAGAATCCGCAAAGGAGGCAGCGGCATCTGCGGCACCTGGCAGCGTTGAGAAACAGCTGCTCGAAAAAGATGAGCGTATTGCATTATTACTTGAGGAAGGGCAAAGGCTTTCGAAGACGGAACTGGATAATCGGACTGTAATCAAGAAGCTCCGGCAGCAGATCGCGGAGAATAGTAAATCGCAATCTGACGCAAAGCGGAAGATGGAAAAGTTGGAGAAAGACCTAAGCAATGCAGAGGCCAGGGCAAAGCGTGCAGAGGCGGCTGAAAAGAGGGCCCAAGAAGCCCTCAATTCTCAGTCAAAGGCTCTCAAAGACTTGGAAGCTGTCACCTCCGAACGCGACGCATTGAGCTCGACGGTTGAAGAGTTGAAGGCCCAGCTGGAAAGAGCTATGGCCCGGGCGGAAGCTGCCGAATCGAAGGCCCAGTCCGATGCTTTGGAGCAATCGAAGCGTCGAATAGCAGAATTGGAGGATGATCTATCTAGCGCCAAAGTCGAGCGCGAGCTGAGCGAGGAAAAGCTGAGAAGGGAGATCAGAGATCTCAGGGATAGTTTGGAGCGGGAGAAGGAAGGGGCGCGAATATTGGAAGCCGAGCTCAAGGGAGAGCAGTCCGTGCTGGAGAGCAAGATGGAGACTCTGCGCTCACGAGCGGAAGAGGCCTCATCGGGTGCTGCCGGGGACGCTCAGGCGAAATTACTGCGACAGATCGAAACTCTACAAACGCAGTATGCTGTTGCCAGTGAGAACTGGCAAGGGATTGAGACCTCACTTCTCTCTCGACTGGCTAGCGTGGAAAAGGCGCGAGATGAGATTGCACGAAAGGAGGCTGATCTACGACGCAAGGCGCGGGAAATGGTAAGAATCATCTCTTAATCACGTCGCATCTAGTAGTGTGCCTGCTAATGGAGTACAATCCCAGAACATCAAGGCCAAGAAAACGGAGGAGGAGCTCGAAAACTCCAAAGAGACTATTGAAGAACTGGAGCGCAGCCTTCAGGAAACCAGGCAGGAGTTGCAGAGGATGCAGCAGAGGGCGGAGAAAGCGGAAGAGGATCTCATCGCTGCAAGGAATGATTTCATGGAGCAGCAAAAGACTACAGAGACAATGTGGACGCAGAAACTCGAAGAGGAGAGGGCCAAATGGCGGGAGCAGGCTCCTTCACCATCAAGTTTCCTTCAGCAACCACGAACAGAATCGCCCGTTGCTTCGAGTCGCAGGTCCACTGGTCTCGAACCTGTGCCTGATAGCCGGCCATTAAGCCGTCGCTCCTCCACGTTACCTACTCAGGCCGCGGACATCATGACTCCCCCGCGGCAAAACTCTCTACCTTCGTTCAACCCGATGAGCGCCCCTAATGGGCTCCCTAACCAGACATTGTTAGGTGCGCCTTCAATCCATACCCTTGAGCCTGAGGAGTATTTCCCCACTCCTGCGACGCCGTCTGCCCACGGTGCCCAGGCGACTCATTCTCGTGGAATCAATGACATAATCTCTGTATCAACTGCGGGGGCTGGTCCCTCCGTGCAGCTAGTTGAGCGTATGAGTGCTACTGTCCGGCGTCTTGAGAGTGAGCGGGCAGCCACCAAGGATGAGCTAGCTCGTATAACCGCCCAACGTGACGAAGCCAGACAGGAGGTTGTTGAATTAATGCGAGAGGTAGAGGAAAAGCGGAAATCAGATACTCGGGTTCGAGAGTTGGAAGCACAAGTCGAGGAGTTGGATCGACGCTATCAGACAACCCTCGAGCTTCTCGGAGAGAAGAGTGAGCAGGTTGAGGAACTCCAGGCCGATATTGCTGACCTCAAGAAGATATACCGCGAACTGGTCGATAGTACCATGAAATGAGGTAAAGCAAAGGTGGCGGCTGTTCCAGGTCATGTCTTGCATATTTTGTAAATATACAATTCGGGAATCCGAATGGACGAAGGTTATGTGGTGCATGTAGATAATGTCTCCTTTAAGGAAACTATTAGATAGGTTATTCTCGCAGCATGAACCGGTCTTGAACGGGCAGGACATGGATTTGCTCTTGATCTCGATGAAGATTCCTCCATTATGATTTTCGCTTATTCCTGCGTCTGCGGTAAGAGAAAGCACAAAGCAGGGTCTTGTTGCATTTTTGTTTGGTTATTATTTCTTACGACCATCTGTGATCGTTCCCTTTGCTCTATGGGAGCTCTATGCCTTCGCGTTCCGCGGTTTGTAAGATGTACTTACGAACCTGTGTAGTTGTATGCCGGTCAGCCTGAACGAATCGAGACGAGATAGCGGACAAACACAATGTACACAAGAAACCCCCATACCTTCGAATCTGGGGCCAATTCGATTGCATATCTGCCCTCATTGTCTCTCTTTAAAGGATCAGCACCGGCTTTCAGCAGCTGGATCGCGACATCTCCATGTCCCTCAGAAATAGCATGGTGTAGTGCGGTGAGACCATCATTATCTGCAGCGTCTACTGGGCTCTTTCCCTCCTCAAGAAGGATCTTCAAAATGGGAATGGAGCCAACCGCTGCGGCACGATGGAGTGGCAACTGGCCCCGTTTATCCTTGACTCTTGCGCTGCACTTATGGGCAATGAGAGTTCGGACGGTGGAAAGGTTGGATTTGGAGGTGGCGAAATGGAGGGCATTCTGGCAGAGAGAGAGAGGAAAAAAAAGATTAGCACTAGTTGACTGACAGAAATCTAGTTGTAGCTGTGGGACACTGTTGATTTTGTCTTACCTGCCCCAAATTATTCTTCATGTTGACGTCTGCATCCTTGCGTAGCAGAAAATCAATGATAGCGTCACCTTCAGCATTCTTCAAGCTCGCAGCAATCATGAGCGGCGTCCATCCAGACCCGTCCTAGTTAATGCAAATCAGCAGCTATGCCGGAGTATTGATGTAGCAGGGCGATTCTGCATGCGACTAACCGTCTCGTCTGGATCAAAGTATTTATTCGCAGCCAACAGTTCCACGATTGGTAATCGATTGTATGCCGCTGCCCAGTGTATAGGCAGACGTTCATCATCGTCTCTTAGCTTTGCAAGTTTAGGGTTTGCCTAGCATTACAAACCTGTCAGCAACGAATATACGGCATGAAGCACATGAAATCAACATGTTAACTCGCGACGTGGGGTAACTTAGGGAACACACATTGAGTAAGGATTCCACTACAGATGCTGGAAGCTATTAGCATGTTATCATGTTGTTTAAAATGACAAGACAGGGCTTACTTTTCCCTTCACGAGCAGCCTCGTGAATGGCGAACTTCGCGTTTTGATCTGACTCCATCTTCTGAAGTTTCAAGGATGATGCATGCCTAGAAGTTAATCTCTAGTCTATGGAGATCAAGCAGATAGCGGGGACCTTAGGCGGAGAAATCCGTTACAGGTGGTCCGAGCTCCTTTGCCCGAAAGTTCGAACTTCCAACTTCGCGGCGGCACGAAAAAGCGCCAACGTCCTGCAAGCCTCACATTCAACCGCGTTTTCCCCATCTGTCTCCCAAGTTCTACTTGGGAGCATTTGTTTTCTGAATCATACATCTCTTTATTTGCCTCGCACCTATAGGCACACGTCAGGATCATCAGCGGAGATCCTGCACGTCACGATCTGTCCTCGGGAGGTACTACCTTCCGACTTCATCTGATACCTGGGAGTCGCATCATTAATTATCGCTAACGTACGGAATCGGCTACGAGTCGAAGTGGAAAATATGGACGTTCTTCCATCTACTACGCCGGCCAATCAGGCTGTTCACAACTCCACAAAGAGAACTATCGAGCTCTTCGGCTCCGACTATCTCATGGTTACTCCTTCAACCTCGGGAGATGGCTCGATAGGCCTTTCATACCGACGAAAAGTAGAGTACGATGATGTCAAGGAACTCCCTCCTGCCCTTGCCGAGAAACAGGCCAAAGCAGCCGCAGCGCGCACGAAGCGTCCCAAGATCCAACCCCAAGGCCAAGAAGAGAAAGGTCGCCAATCAATGGCGCTTGTGAAGGGGTCATCCGGTGGCCCTTCCAACGCAGCCGGTGGAAATCAGCCCAGGAGCCTCATCCAGCGACCGTCGGCAACCCCGCAGCAGAGACCAGAATGGCATCCCCCGTGGAAGCTGATGAGGGTAATATCAGGACATCTAGGATGGGTGCGGAGCTTGGCTGTTGAACCCAATAACGAGTGGTTTGCTAGTGGCGCTGGAGATCGGACTATAAAAATCTGGAATCTGGCGACAGGATCTCTCCGTCTGACGCTGACTGGCCATATTTCTACTGTCAGAGGTTTGGCTGTGTCTCCTCGCCATCCATATCTCTTCTCTTGCGGCGAGGACAAGATGGTCAAGTGCTGGGACCTGGAAACGAACAAGGTCATTCGTCATTATCATGGCCACTTGAGTGGCGTGTATACTCTAGCTCTTCATCCGAAACTTGATGTTCTGGTCACCGGAGGCCGCGATGCTGTCGCAAGAGTGTGGGACATGCGGACACGGAGCAACATCCACGTGTTAACGGGTCACAAAGGAACCGTTGCCGATGTGAAATGCCAGGAAGCCGATCCCCAGGTCATTTCAGCCTCTCTCGACGCGACAGTCCGTCTCTGGGACCTTGCTGCGGGAAAAACTATGTGTGTGTTGACCCATCACAAAAAGGGTGTTCGCAGTCTTGTAACCCACCCCAAGGAATTTACTTTTGCCAGCGCCAGTACAGGCAGCATCAAGCAATGGAAATGTCCGGAGGGAGCCTTTATGCAGAATTTTGAGGGTCACAACGCTATCATCAACTCCCTTGCGGTTAATGAGGACAACGTGCTTTTCTCGGGAGGCGACAATGGGTCAATGTCGTTCTGGGACTGGAAGACTGGTTACCGGTTTCAGACCCTCGAGACTACGGCTCAGCCTGGATCACTGGATGCCGAGGCGGGTATCATGTCTGCGACATTCGACCGGACTGGTCTGCGTCTAATTACCGGTGAGGCCGATAAGACGATCAAGATATGGAAACCGGACGACCAAGCAACGCCAGAAACACATCCACTAGACTGGAAGCCGACGCTGGGAAGACAGAGATACTAATTTCTTCTAGCTACACTAAGTAGCGTGTACTTTGTTGGATGTGAAAGTCGACGCGATGTATTTTGCATGATTAGAGGGTTCTCATGGCGTTTAGGAGTTTTAGTGGTTTTTGGGTTGTTGCAATAGGATGCAATCTATGTACGTCGGCCACTGATTAATTACGGGCGGCCAAAAAGTAAAAGAAATATTCCTCGTTCTACCCTTGTATGATAATCCTGATAAACGTCTATACGAGAATTCCATACAGTGACTGTCTGATCAATTAGCATTGCTATGTTCCTTCCGTTACTGAGACATGGACCTATATCATGATGATAGGGTATCCTGTCAGCGTAAAGATGCGATAAAAAAAAGTAGAATAGTACATCGACCGCCAAAACTCCAGATAAATGCTTCTATAATGCGTTACTCCTTCAACCATACCATCCATTATGAACGAGGTGTCGTCATTAATCGAAGCCTAATCCAAGCCCCTTCGCCTCGAGATCATCCCGAAATGCGGCCTTCACATCCTCCGCTGCGACTCGGAGTCGTATTTTACCGCTTCTATCCCCTCTGCTCAACCCTAGCATCCCCTTGGCACCCATTCCTGTCTCGAGTGCCACGACGCCGGCGTTCATGAGCTCCATGGCGGCAAAACCCATGGCTTTTACTCTGGCACCGGGGTTGCTGCCAAGGAGGAACTCCTTGATGCCCGCACCCGCAACGCCTGCGACCGCCACAGCTGCATCAGCTATTCTCTTTGCCTCGTCGAGAACATCTCCCATTGTGGATTCAGAGACACCAGTGCGGCGAACACGGGCTAGAAGAGCGGCAAGAAAGAGTTTGCCTGACAAAGGGAGGCAGCGAAGAGATTGCTGAAGAGGGGTAGAAGTAGCTTCTTGGATGGCCTGCTTGATGGTCGCGATCGTGACGCGTGGCAACTGGCGAGGCTCCTGTGTCTGCGTAGATTCAGACTTTAATGGCTCCTGTTTCTGCTTCGGGGCCCGGCGTGCGCCGGTCTTGCTCGGTGTTGGGGGTAGAGAATCGGTATCGTCTATGTCCATGTTGTTCGACTTGGAACCCTTGGCAATAGCTGACTCGTATTCTTGCTCTGCAATCTCAACAGCTCGACGACATATGTCGAGCGCTCGTCGAGCATCTCCGCTAACAGCTGCGACCTTTCTGCTCGCAAACTGAATGGCGTCAGGGTCGACAATATTACCAGGGACATTGGCCAGTCGAGAAGAAATGATCTCCATGAGATCAGTGTGCTTGTAGCCGGGGAACGTGATACGAGTGAGGCCAAGTCTGCTGGAGATCTTATTGCTGAGGGTCCGCTCAGGGAGATCCATCGTATTCGCAACCGCGAGGACAATGAGACGTGAATGCCGAAGTGCAGGCCAGTTGAAGAAATTGTACATGACCGACTGATTTTTTGTGACCAGTTGATCGAGTTCATCCATCAATACCACACATGGTACTCGACGTGGTGAAGGGTGTGAGAATTCTCTCTCCAAGAGATCGAGGGCATGAGACGGCGACACACGGTCTCCCTTTAATGCTTCCCAGAGCAAAGAATAAGCCTGATGAGGATCGGTAACCTTCATTCCGTTGATCTCAACAAAGATGAAATCATCCATCTCTTCTGCAAGCACAGCATTATTAAGCTGAGCCACCACTTCCCTAACGGTCGCTGTTTTGCCGGTGCCTGGCGTTCCAGAAATGTAGATACAGGTCCCAGTTCCTTCGGTAATAGCGGCGCTGAGATGAGAGTAGACAGTCTCAAATTCAGCACTGCGGCAAGGAAGTGATGCAGGCACGCTGGAGACATGCAACAAAGCTCGCGCTTGGCGATATGGCGAGGAAGTAAAATGCGAGGGTGAAAGCATACGAGTACCCAGAGGCGTGAATTCGAGAGGCTTCTTGACCACAATACTAAAAAGGTAGACACGGTTAGTCTTCGAGCTTCCATCATTGAGAAGTGGGCAATTCAAACCGTTTACTAGTCGGTGTTGTAAGAACTTTTCGTCGAGACTGAGGAGTGACATTGAGCGAAGTCATCCGTTGCTTTTTCCTGGGTGTGATTGGCGCGCTATCCTCATCCTTCGTGTCGACATACTACATAGATCCAAATTAGCTTTGCATTATGAGCAATTTGAGCCATCATACTAACATCCTCATCCACAGGCTTGCGCCTTTTGGCCGATTTCAGGCCCTCCTTGACCAGTTCAATTAACCTAAAAACACTTTGTTCATCCCCTTTGTACACATCCTCCCAGATAAATTCATCTGTATATTTCCCCTGGAGTTGGTTTACACCTCTTCGGCAGACGATGCATTTCTTGTATTCTGCAAGTGCTGCCTTGCCTTTAGGAGGGGCCCCGTTCGGATATTTGGCGAAGAACGCATCCTTAGACATGACGTTGGCCTTGCCGTTAATCGAGGTGAGAGGATTCACATTAAAGTCGGTCGTAATATATTGTTCATTGAACAATGCATCCGATCTTTTCTTGTTTTTCGTTGACAGAAACTCGTCGGGCGATGCAAACCACATGATGTTGGCTGACTTGACCATCTCCCCTTCGTTCTCCTCATCTTCCTCCTCCAGGAACTCAGCTATAATGCCGACCCAGTCTTTACCAGCCTCTGGAGATTTTAACAGCACCACCTGACCCAATCTACACTCAAAGGAGCCCATGCGTGCCCCGATGATCTTTCTCGGAGCTGGTTTTCGCAACGACCGTCTTCGACTGGACAGCGCCTCTCCATCTTTTTCTGTAGAGCCTTCGGGTTCGTTATTTTCATCCTCATAAATCCATTCCCATGGGTGGTCTTCATATCCGAGTTCGTCGTCCGAGTCGTCACGAAGTAAACCACCTTTGGTCAGCCATTGTCGGGCCCGTTCCCTGTTATCGCGGTCTTTCCTGCATCTCGATGACTGATCGCTCACTGGGGCCATGGTATCGTAACCGCTTGCACATTGAAAAGCTGTCTGGGACGTTACTAGCTGGATGCTGCGAACAGGACTTTAGCGTAGAAGCCAAATTAGCTGCAACTGTCCGTGCAGCACGGACGGCGGACGGGAGTAACGCGTCGAGGCCGACGCGTCTCTCTGTATGTCCTAATTAGGCTAGCGCCGATATGCCATTACATAAGCGTGACAGGACTTCAATAGTTAACAGTTTGACATCGATAATATATGGAGTACATCACACTTAGAAGCTCTGCCTTGCAAATTCTAGTAAATAAATGCAAATTCCTTAAGTTAGAAATTTGATTCTGTTTATGGAGACAAAATATCAGCCAATTGCTTAGGGTAAAAGACAATAAAGCGTGATATGTCAATCCCCGACTGGGTTGAACGCCATGATGCTTATGCTGCCTACGTTTCTATTGCTCAGGTTATCCAAGGACACTGTTGTCTATTTTGAATACCAGAGGTTGATTTAAATCTCTCTCTAATATGATTAATCAGGTTAATTCACTTTTTTTATGTGTGTGGATGTGTGAGAGTGACGTCTTGGCCATACATGTTTCACCTGATGGATCATAGCAAACGAGTTCGTACAGCACATTAACGCTATCGGTCAAATTCCCTGGGCCATACGGCACTAACCGTCTGAACTGGACAGTGATGGCCACCTTTTGTGCATCTGGGTGGTTACTGTCATTGGGGTCCAAGCGCCTCATTCACGGTCTTTCATCTCACATCTGCTCCTATTTCTCGCCCATATAAGACCAGCACCTCGACTGTATCCCTTCCTTTTTCTTAAGTCTACCATCCTCATCAGCACAACTCATTTCACGCCACATCCGACTATCATTTTTGCCATCTTCTGCTGTTCTCAAACTCTCAAACTCTACCAAATTTCTTGACTTCTTCGACCAGTCCATTCATATCTGTTCTGCTCTCTCTTATCTCTCTACTATCTAAAAGACCTGCAGCAGACTTCAGTGCAACAGAGATTTGATCAGAAGTTGACTGCATCTCATTCTTTGAATAAGGTAACAAGTAATCAATGTGCTATGAAAAATAATGGAGTATGTTTCCTCTCTGTCGTTTGCTCCATCTCGGCACTGACCCCGCTACAGTCACGAAACCAGCGGTGCACAAGGTAAATACAAATAGTGACACCTGGAGAAAGTTGTCTTTTTCCACAATGACGATAGCTGATTTTGCACAGAATGGCAACTGCCAGGTTACAGTCGCGTGCCAGATCAGGTTCGTGTCCCTGCGACAGCCTCTGTTCCAACAGCTATCCAGGGTCCCGCATCTCGTCCTGCCCAAGGTCAGGTGATAAAGGCCAATCATCAAACTAGCGCACAAAGCCATGGTGCTTCTACCCTCATTAAGCCTCTTGCAAAATCTGTTGGCCTAGGAAATGCTTTCCCGACAAGAGGAATTCAAGGATCAAGAGGTCGAGGCAATCCCTCTTTTATGCGGGGACTATCTCGAAATAGTCAGCTCCAACTTCCAAGTCGCTTTCCAAAAGATTCTCAGGCAAAGGCAAAGTGGAGAGCTGGATTAAAACCCACAGGTGAGTACAGTAACATGTCTGAAATCAAACAAGGCTGATCTTGCACAGAAACATTCGAACTTCCTTCTCGTTACGGCACATACAAACATCAGTGAGCATGATTATTTCTTCGAATTTCAAGATGCTGACATGGTCTCTAGCATTATTCAAGCTGGCAGAGAGGTTTTTGGTGGGACTCCCATTGGAAACCAAGGAAAGTTTGAAGTATTTGAAGAGATTTCCCAGAAGACGGGTGCATTTGTCAAACAGCCATCCTATAACGATAAGGTAGGTGATCGTGTGATCTATGGGAGACCTTCAACTAAAACATATTCTAGGAAGTTTGTGTGTGGGGAGAGCCACAACAGGTAGCTGCTGCAAAGGATTTAATTCTACAAATCGTCAATCTCTGCAATAATGCCTTGGCGTACCCAAGGAAGAGACAAGACTGGGCAAAGGTCTCCGCTCATTCTGTGGCCAAGGAAGACCGCATTGATAACAAGGAAAAACGCCAAACGCTTACTCAACAGCTACGGCGAGCCCCTGATTCATCATTCAAAATTGCTGAGAAGGTCAGATTTTCTTTCTCACCTGTCTTCATCTGTTCTGAAACTGATAAATCGTTGACACAGTTGCTCTTCCTCTGGCCCAATGGGGAACTTCCTATGAGAGAGGTGTTAGGTTCAGAACTTGAAGTGCTGGACCCTATTCGAATCGAGTTTGGCTATCATATCTACATCTTTGAAGAAGTTCCAGAGTATATCTGCGTGGTCGGTCAAGATCATGAGGCTCTGCGCGAGGTTGCTCGCCGTCTCAGGACCAAATGGCATGAGTTAATGGCGACATCGAACGTCAGGTCAAAGGTGTACCTCGCTCAGCCACCGCAGCTAGACACCATGAGGACTGGAATTTTCGTCAAGAATATCCAGGGCTTGGCGAGACCCTCTCTTTCTGGGAGTCTCTTGAAGGATTTTCAGCGCGGGCCATGGCAAGAGCGTCGCATACTGATCCAATCGAAGAACGACGCTCGTCTTCTCAGCGCAGTTGAACGATCTCTGCGAGGACTCCCATTCTTTCGTGGCCATCTGCGAATGAGGGTAAACATCGGTTCGTTCATCCTCGATGAGTACCGTCTGCCAAAGAACGCACAGACAGGGTACTCCTTCGAAGAGTTCAGAGAAATGTTGCTGCATGAGAAAACGAGGGGACGTTTGGTACCTGGGTAAGGATGGCTTTTCTTTTTGAAACATGCGGTGTACTGACAGACGGTAAAATTCTCAGTCTTGATATCGACCAAAATGAACTGATGAAAAGATGTTCTCTTGCTTCGCATCTACTGGAACCACTTGGCAAGGCGACTCTATCACTGGGAGATGTAGAGCCAAAGTACACGGTGAACTTTGAGTTTGATGGATCATACAATGCCGTTTTGCGTCTCGAGGCCGAGTTTGGTAGACATGGTGGTGCACAGGAATATGAGGTTGCCCAGCGCCGCTGGGTAAAGTCGCAGTCATCAGGACAGTTTACTGACAGAAGGCCACCTCTTCAGGCTGTAGTAGTCGATTCTGAACGGTAAGAGTCTCACTCACATACTCGGATTAGAGAACTGACAGCTAGGCAGTGCCGACTGGCAGTTGGAAATCAGAGCGGTTGAATTCCATGATCCTTCAAACCTTAGCCTAGCTATCCAAACCTTCAACCGCGAACTTGCTTTCCGAAAGGGAGTTGCTAGTGAGACACTCTCTACCAAGCCGAGACGCAGAGTCATCATTCCAGAATGGGCTCCTGTGTGTCGCGTTATTGAAAAAGCCGCCGTTCAGTACCGCCTCAAAGGTACAGATTACACTTTAGAAATCGCTCGTTATGATGAGTATCGGCGCAACAGTCCTTCCCTTAGAATGTCTGATGTTCCTTCGAGCACATGGGGGGCATCGATATTTTCTGCGAATTGGGACAACCTCTTGGGACAGCATGCCAACGTGAAGGTTGGAAAAGTTGCAAGCTGGACTCCAACTCTGAACACCTTTTTCCAGGCAAAAGAAGGTCAGGATCCCTCGGACATGCAGGCGGGTTTCTGGCGTTTCATCAGCCTGGCTAAAGATGTGGCGGCACTACTCGGGAAACACCAGGAGAAGAGTGCTCAGACCGACGCAACAAACATCAGTGTGCCGGGTCCGAATAATCTCAAGAGCACCGACACCAGCAGCCAGGCATCCTCACAGAGTTTGGCATTGAACGAGGCACCAAAAGTTCTGGATGCTGAGCTAGGAACTATGTTCTAAAGAACACCAGTGTGACTGTCGACAGCAAGACAGGAAATCGCTCTGTCATCAGTTTCAAAGAGACCAGACCTTTCTTCGACCAGATTGTACTTGTCACCAACTTCGTGATATCTCCACAGCACGTTTACCAAAACAATCATCACTGTCATTTTTCAATGGGCGCCCCCAGTCCCCAGTTTCATGTTTCATCGTGCCTTTAAGCCAAATTTCAGGCCTTGACGCGGATGCTTCCATCTCAGACATGCTGTCTGCACAAGCCTTAATCCGCCGATGGTGCTCCGTTTCTGCTCAAACCATTTGCACAATCCAGTTCTGCTTTTTATTCATGTCTGTTCCTGACTAGCACTAATTATTTTCCCCAGCCCCCTTCCCCTATCCATTAAAGGTTGAATGTATCTACAAGAAAAAAAAATGAACAATATCAAGTTAGCACGAAATGCATTGAATTCTGGTTTGGCATGTGATATCGAACGCTCAACGTGCCTTCAACCGGCACCAGCTCCCGTGGCAGGAGTTGTAACGGCTTCTCCGCTTAAAACCTTTTGTCGAAGCACTGGTCAAATAGTCAGCTACAACCTAACGCTGAACGTGAGGAGCCAGCCTGAGAGCCCCAACTTACCATCTTCGATCACTCTCAAATTGGCGCTCTTCCCTTGTACGATCTTCTCAAGATCCTGTAGATTTGTATCCAGGTCCTTCACCTTTCCGTTGTAGAACTCAATTGCCTTTGCAGCCGTCTAGTGAAAAACGTCAGCATTTTCACAGACCGGAAAGTAAGTTGTATAATAGATGGAATAATTTGTTCAAGAGTCCCCCAACTTGAGCAGCATCACGTACCTTCTCGACGTAGAACCCCGTACCCACATCAACAATCACCTTCTCCCGATCCGCGAGTTTCCCCTTGACGTATAAGGAGGTGGTCAGAGGCACCAGGATATCATCACCACCACCACCCTCCTTCTTCCTCTTCTCTGCGATGACGCCGTCGTTAATCGACCGGACACAATCCCGGAACTTGGACTGCGCCGCGCGCAGTTTGGCGTGTGAGTTGGTCAGGTGTTCGAGCTCGCTGCTGAGGCGGGATTGGAGACTGCGGAGTTGAGGCACGGAGAGGGTTGTGACGTCGACTGTTTTCGTGCAGGGTAACCGTTAGCTAGCTATTATCTGACTGACGAGAGCTAAGTAGTAGTAATTTGAGGGACCGAAATTCATCTTTTTAGGAGATTTGCAGCACTGGTTGCTGCTTCAGACGTACCTGCGCCCGAAGAACTGCCTCCGCCTGGACTGGAAGATGATGATGCGGGGGTATTTTGTGGTGGCATTTCTGCTTTGTATTTCTGCTATCCTTGAGATTTTCTGAGGACTCGTAGATTCAAGGTCTTTGTTTGGCCGCAAGAAAGTAACTATATAAAGGAAAAAGGTATGTAAAAACAGAAAAAGTAGTACGGCATAAATTCATGTCGCTTCTCGGAGGTCTTCTGCATGCGCATTTTTGATGTTTGGCAGTTCCCGCTAGTTCGTGGCAATAGTGGCTGTAAGGTCCACTGCGGGGCTGCCGCTCAAACCCAACGCTTAAAGCCACGCACAGCATATATATTGCAGTAAGCAGTACGATCAAAGTATGCATAATGGCTAAGTCAAATAGACGAATATGACAGAAGATATAAGTATAATTTAATGCTAATAATACAGAATATATCTGGTCTAGTATACAAACTCTTAGCAGACACTCTCTGCGTGGGACGAAGGTCGAAGGTTATAACCTGTCGAGCAACGACCTCACAAATTCCGATAGACGATCGATTGGAACCTGCTCGCGCAGGCCATTCAAACGACGGCACTGCACCTCAAGCTCCTGCCGCTGTTTCCATCCTTTCCCAACAACGACAATGACCGGGTAACCGATCAAGTCTGCGTCACCTAGCTTCCATCCAATTTGCTTGTCCCGATCATCAAGGACAGCATCTATCGGGGCGCTATTGTCAGAGGTGAGGATGTCATACACCTTCTCAGCTTCCGCGTCAAGACCCTTTGCGGGCACAACAACAACCTCGTACGGCGCGATTGCCCTGGGCCAATTCAGACCCTTCGAGTCGGACAGAACGTCAGCGACAGCGGAGATCATGCGAGAAACACCAATGCCATGGCAGCCCATCTGCATTGGCACTAACTGAGTACCTCCCGCGTGAGAACTGGCAGAGTCGGTAGAGCTGTATAGCATCGAACGTTCGACCGCGACAGAAGCCTGCAAGACTCCACTATACCGAGTTCCCAAATGGAAGGTGTGGCCAAGTTCAATCGCGCTTTGAGCCCGCAGAGTTCCATGCTCGCATTTCGGACATTTGTCCCCGTCGATCACCCGAACTAGATTGAGGCCATTGCTGGTACCAGGGAAGCGATCCAGCATTGAATATTCGATGTCATATTTGAAGGTGTCGATTTCCTCAGGAAGCCCACTCAGAGGCGGTCGCTTGTACACTCTGACCTGCGAGTCGTACACATCCAACACCCGGAAACGCCGCTCACGAGTTGTCGATGTTGACTTTGACTCGCGTTTGAGTTCATCGAACCACAGTTCCAGAGGGTTCTCTATGCTGGACTCCAGATCGACCCCTGCTGCTTTCGTGATGGCCTTGACAGCATGGGAATTGACTTCTCTTTCCACCGGCTCCGCAGAGTCGGATTGCATCAGATATTTAGGATACCATCCCCGTATCAGTGTTTTCCTGTCCTTGGAAATAGCCGTCCACAATCCTGTCGATATGGCTGGCGTTTCGTGGGAACCTAATCCTGGTGTCGTAGGATCTGCACCAGTCCCCGAAGAAGACTCCGATCCGGAGACATGTGCCTGTCCGTCTGCGATCTCCTCATTGTGGACATGATTACAATGCGAACAGCTAATGACAGTGTCCTCCCCCTTGGAGCTTATGATGTGGAATTCATGACTCAAGTTCCCACCCATATTGCCGGAGTCGGCTGCGGCAACCAGATAAGGGATCTTCAACTCGTTGAATAGCTGCATGTAGGCGTGTCTCACTGCCTCGTAAGTCTTCAGCGCTTCTTCAGTATTGTAATCAAAAGTATAGAGGTCTTTCATCACGAACTCTCGTCCGCGAAGCAGCCCTTGTCGCGGCCTTGCTTCATCCCTATATTTTCTCGCTGTCGGGGAGTTAATTGCTATTACAATTCAAGCCTGCGTAAAGAGGACTCACAAATCTGATAGACTCTGAGGGGCAGGTCTTTGTATGATTTTACCAGGCCAGCAACCAATGTGGTGATTTCTTCCTCGTGTGTTGGAGCGAGGAGGAATCGAGAATCTTTTCTATCATTGAATCTGAAAACCTGCAAGACGATCGTCAGTGGAAAGCACAATCCTGCGATATTATGGCTCCTTTACCTCTGATCCTTCCTTTAGTCGCCCGGTCCGTTCCCATAATTCTTGCGATGATAGTGACGACAGGGATAGTTTGGATGCGCCTAACAGGAGTCTTAGACATTGGCTCTCAAATATCATACATAATGTTACCTACCTAGTGAACGCATATGCTTATCGATGAGCTTTTCTAGCTTCTCTTGGACCCGCAGTCCAAGAGGCAGCAAGTGGAAGACACCTGAATACGCCTAACTGTAGAATTAGGAGCGTCGTTCGTTGGATCGCATGAGAAGGAACTCACCTGTCGAAGGAAACCGCCTCTGATCAATAGATCATTTGTATCCTCTATGAGAATTTGTAAGTAAGATAAAATGCAAAATTACAGGAGTAGTAGTGAAGTAATACCTTTTTCAGTATCCGCCGCCTTTTTGGAGATTCCACCAGTGGGAATCCAAAACCCTGAAATTCGAGCACGACCATCGTTCTAGAATTCGTTAGCAAGAAATATCTAGCTATTTAATACGCCAGAGAAATAATTACATGATATTGGCCTCTTTGGACCGAAAAGAGCTGGATTCGACGGATACATGGCCGATGGACACCCGAGAATCGACCCGGAGTTCGGCAGAGCCCGAAGGTCATAGAAACCGATTTTCAAAATGACAATTACTCCAACAATGTTTTCAAGGAGTCAAAAAAATATATAACAGAGATGTCGTGCAATGCAGTATTATAAAAATCATATTTTCTACTTCCTCGAACAGAAAACGGAGCTTCCCGCGTGTCCACCGTCTTGAAGGTGGCCCGAGCTCCTGGAGATACCGGCGATCGCAAAACTATTCTCCGGCGGCCTCACGATAATTTTGGTTTCAGCCGGCAGAAAAAAATAACAGCCCACGGCCCTTCTCCCAACGAGACAGCTCCAATAATGGCGAAAAACAAGGGGAAGCGCTCTGCTGGCGCTGAATCGGCCAGTGGAAATGGAGACGTCGTGGGAAAAAATGATACTGCATCAGCCAACGGCGAAACAGCTTTGCCCTCGCTGGACGAAAGCGCACTGGCGAACCTGACCCAAAAGATCGAGCAGAAATTGCAGAGCGGTAGCGGTGCGAACAAGGACTCCCAGAAGAAACCGAACAATTCCCCGTCCAGCGCGAAGAAGAAGAACAAGTCAAAAGATTCCGCGCAGCCTCCCGGAGGAGGAGGAGAACAGAAAGCGAATCAGGGCAAGAAGCGGGACCGCAATGGCGATGTCATCGCGAGGGAAGAGAAAGGCGGGAAAAATAATAAGCCTTCGAAGAAGTCTGAAGGTGATAGCAAGAATGACGTCCTCAGACAACAGATTCTGGCACTGGGTGGGAGCAAGGAGGATTTTGATCTCATTGCCAACGTTGATTCGGAGTCTGAGGCGGAAAATATTGCCAATGGCACCAAGCAAGCCAAGGGCCAGCCAGACGAAGATTCGTTACGGAAGGAGCTCGCAAAGATTATGAAGGATGCAGGACACGTCAAGCCGGACGATCTGAAAGAACAGGAGGATGACGAGGATGAAGATGAAAATGGGGGTGTTGAGGTTGAAGATCTTGACAAACACACTCCTCCTCCCCCTCCCACGGAGGCCACAAAGGATATGTCTAAAAAAGAGCCTCCTGCTAAGAAGGACTCAGCAAAGAAGGACTCTACTAAGGACTCTACCAAGAAGGACGCTACCAAGGACGCTACCAAGAAGGACTCTACAAAAAAGGACTCGGGTAAAAAACAAGATGAGACTATGCCAAAGGAATATTCGAAGTTGGTTTGTCTCCCTGTGCCTGATGATTTTTGAAGAGCCAGACTAACGTTCCATCCCAGGCAATTCCACCCAGATCCGACTGGTTTAACACGCCTCTCCCTACCATCTCCACCCCCAAGGTGATCACTGGGCTTCCCCGATATCTTTTGGACAAAATACGACAGTACGCGATGACGCTCTTGGAAAAGGAGAACCAGATGTATACGCAAATTCAGCAGACGACGGCTTCATCATCCCACAAATTCTACTCAACCATCATGACGTCTGGAACGCTCAACGACAAGATCTCTGCGCTGACACTGGCAGTCCAAGAGTCTCCAGTACACAACATCAAGGCTTTGGAGAATCTAATCGGCTTGTCCAGGAAGCGGAGCCGTGCTCAGGCAGTCGAAGTACTCAGGGCTCTTAAAGATATGTTTTCCCAGGGTACTTTGCTTCCGAGCGACCGTAAATTGAAGACGTTCGCAAACCAACCCTCACTCGTGGCTGCGTTTCAGAGTTCTGGGAACAAGTGGACTGAGGGAGACCCTCTGCCTGGAGGGCTTCAGCCTTGCCATCTCATTATGTGGGCCTTTGAGGACTACCTTAAAGAACAGTACTTTGAGGTTCTGAAGGTCCTGGAAACGTGGTGTAATGACGAGATTGAATTTTCGCGATCTCGGGCCGTGACCTACGTCTACGAGCTTCTGAAGGAGAAGCCGGAACAGGAGGCTAATCTGCTGCGCCTCCTCGTCAACAAGCTAGGTGACCGGGGCAGAAAGATTGCGTCACGAGCCTCTTATCTCCTGCTTCAACTGGAGCAGGCACATCCCCTGATGAAGCCGAACATCATCACAGCCGTGGAGGAATTTATTTTCCGCCCAGGTCAGACTTTGCATGCGAAGTACTATGCTGTCATCACACTCAACCAGACCATCCTCAGCAGCAAAGAAGAGAAGGTCGCTGTCCAGTTGCTCGATATCTACTTCTCGCTCTTTGTCACTCTGCTGAAGCCGGCTAAGAAAGAGAATGCCGAGCGGGATTCGAAGAAGCATACCAAGTTTAAGAAAGGCAAAAAGAAGGATGCCAAATCTGCCAAGACGAAGACCGACGACGATCAGCTCCGAGAAAAGCTGATCTCGGCTGTCTTGACAGGTGTCAATCGAGCTTACCCTTTTACTAGCTCTGACACCGAGCGGTACGTGTCTCATCATTCCCCTGTTTCTATTTGTCGTAGCTAACTGATCCGCCTCTAGTCTCACAAAACATATCGACACTCTCTTCCGCATCACCCACTCGTCAAACTTCAACACGAGCATTCAAGCTCTCATGCTGATCCAACAGCTCACCATGGCGCATCAGGTTTCAGCCGACCGGTTTTACAGAACGCTGTACGAATCACTCCTTGACCCACGAGTGGCCACTTCTTCAAAGCAGGCTCTTTATCTCAACCTAATGTATAAGTCATTGAAGAATGACACGAATCTCAAGAGGGTGAAGGCGTTTGTGAAGCGGATTATCCAGGTGCTGGTGTTACATCAGCCATCCTTCATCTGTGGTGTATTTTTCCTGATCCGAGAGCTTGAGAAGACATTCCCTGCTCTCCAGTCCCTTGTGGACCAGCCTGAGGAGGATGAGAGCGACGAGGAGGAAGTGTTTAGGGATGTTCCTGACGAGGAAGATGGGGAGAAACAAGCAGAAGCGACGCAAACTTCTGAAGCAGCCCAGTCACAAAAGAAGTCCAATGGCTATGACCCCCGCAAAAGAGATCCCCAGCACAGCAATGCTGACAAGAGCTGTCTCTGGGAGCTTGTAAGTTCCCCGAGTTTCTCCGCAGCTCAGGCACGATGACATTGGGACGTTGCTGACAGAGTCCAGATGCCTTATCTTACGCACTTCCACCCGTCCGTCTCTGTTTCCGCAGCCCATATCCTTTCCCACGAACCTCTGTCCGGAAAGCCCGATCTGACTCTGCACACACTGACACATTTCTTGGACCGTTTCGTCTATCGCAATCCCAAGCAATCTGCGCCGTTGCGCGGCTCGTCGATCATGCAGCCGCTTGCTGGCACGGAAACCCGGGACGTGCTCGTCGCACCTGGTGGCGTGGCCGGAAAAGCCCGTGCTCAGGAGCCAGTCAATTCCGAAGCCTTCTGGCGGAAGCGTGCCGAAGAGGTGGCGGCAGAGGATGTCTTCTTCCACGAATACTTCAACCGACTGGGTAAGGATAAGAAGCAGAAGAAGGAAAACAAGGCAAAGAAAGATCCCGTCGCCCGCGACGAAGAAGCAGGCGAGAGCGACAACGAGTCGGAGATCTGGAAGGCGTTGGTCCAGTCGAGACCCAAATTGGAAGCCGACGAAGACAGCGATGTTGACCTTGACATGGACGATCTGGAGTCCGACTTCGATGAGGACGATGGAGAAGGCGAAGGAGAGCAAGAAGATGGCGACGTCATCTTTAATGAAGAGTCTGATGAGGAGTCGGAGGAGGAAGAAGAACAGGAGGAGGAGGAGGACGGTGAGGCTGGCGCAGCCAAGAAGGCGAAAGGACAGCCTTCTGATGACGAAGACGAAGACGGCGACGGCTTCGACATGGATGTTTCGGACGATGACGCATTCCGGGACAGCGACGAGGAGCTGCCGTCAGACCTCGACGTCGGAGGAGCCGATGCGCAGACGACAGAGAAAGATGACAAAGGCGGACGCAGGAAGCGGCGCAAGCTCCGTCACCTGCCTACCTTTGCATCCGTTGATGACTATGCCGCGCTGCTGGAGAATGAAGACGATGGGATGTGAGAGCCAGCGCAGCAGGCTAGCTATTTATTTAATGGGTACATACGGTGTATATTCCTGTGCTTCCTCTGGCCTATACCTACATAATGTAGTACATGTCCATAAGAATTCAGCGTTTCGACGCAATTCTGCAATGCGCCTGAATTGCACCGGCTTGTATGTGGATTATTTGTAGAATTAATACTATTCACACGGTCTACTCGAAATTAGGTGCACAAGTCAACCTACAATACCCATAAACGGCAATTGGGAAACATGCAGTGCATAAAGCAGCTTACTAACCACAATCAGTACATGTGACTTGATTTGAGCACACGTGCATACCAACAAAACAGAGAAGAGAATGTTACAGTGGCATGAGCATGGCTGCTCTTGTTGGCTATCTTCCTTCCTTCTCTATTTTTTTTTGTGCCCTTGTACGTATTACACAGTCTGTCACCCAGCAGGGTCTCAATAGCGCCTTCCGGATTTGGGACAGGGCAGGCTTGGCCATGATGTCACCGTGCAGGAGCGGCTGTCCGCATTCAGAGAAGATCGATCTGAACGCGATCGTGCCAAGGCATGTGCAGAGTACAGGCTACTGATGGTGGCATGCTGCAAGCTGAATGCAGTCTTCCGGGTTCCAGAGTCCCCCCCTTGCTTGCTGCAGTGCACGTGGAAATATCTCCAGACTCCATGAGATACCTGACAGATGCTGATCACTTGCTGCATAGCGTCGTTATCAGAAAAAAAAAAGAAAACTAATACTATACCGCAACGTCTTTATTGCCATTGGGGGCCTGAGTGGCTACTACCTGCTTAAGAAGGTTTAGGCGTGGACGGGACGACAGACGCCCCGCGGGGCTGCCAATGCGAGAGCCGCCTTTGGTGGTCCATGGCACCGCCCTTCGCGCTGAAGACCTCCATCGGCGATGCCGGGTGCAGGCTGCATACATGGAGATTCTGGATCGAGTCCTGAGTAACAGAGCACTGCAGATTGCAACAGAAGTTGTCTAGAATCATCAATGCAACATAGCATCTGCCTGCTGATTTATTTGGAGATAGCTGTGCAGAGATTTCCTACCGAGTTCGGACCCGAAAGCGGGACGGCAGAGATGAATTCAATTCAGCTTGGGAGACTTCAAGGCGGATGGGTCGGCGGCTAACTCACTAGCCGTCGGGAAGTAGCCGCGCGGTGCGCGCCCATTCTGCAGCCACATCGGCTTAGCATGGCCTGTCCGGAGAATAGACAGATGGTGGTTTATAGCCTGAATTTATTAAATCGATGTCATATTCAATAGACAGCTGGGCATTCTTCCAGAAAGCTTCGAGACAGCTCAGCATGTGCACTAAAGTAAAGCGCTGGTACTCCCCACGCCCGCCAGGTTCAGGCCTAAAGCTGCCCCCGGATCCGTGGGTCAACGTAACTCTGCAATGCTGCTGGATCAGTGGATGCTGCTGGCTCAGCATCGCTGCATAACGACTTTTTAGGCCCCGAGCACGTCATCCCCATCCCACACAGCGTCCTCTGTCACCTGCTGCACGCCCTGCGTCTAGATCGGTGATCAGGCTAGTCCAACCTTCTTTTGTCTGTGCTGTCAATTAGAATCCTCTGTGCGCAATCTTGTAGTAGCAACCAAGTGCAAAACTGCTGAGAGCTTTTCTTTGCCTCCTCGTGTTGCCCAGACGAACGTCCTCTGGCCACTGTGTCTGATTGGGCCTCCTGGGTCGCAATTAGGACGATCAGCACAGTATCTAAAATTACGCACGAAAATAAAGCTGTCACTACATCGTGCTGACTCCTCGTGGGACTTTTTTTTTTGTTTTCTGCGCAGACGCTTCAATTCCTCGTGGTCATATCTCGTTCAACAGGTTCATCCTGGCTAGATTATTATCCAGAGAACGGTACATGCATTCGAAGGTCTCCAGCGTTCAATCTCTCTCGTCGCTCGCTCTGCTCCTGCAAAAGGAGCGCATCCGTCTGCTGAAATGGCGTTGAATTCCCAGTCGCCTGCCGACGCGGCTCTCAATCGCGAAGAATCCGTCGTGACTGAACACCAGGAGGCCAAGCTCAAGCAGGAATATGACGTTGAAGGCCAACCCCGCAGGGACAGCCGGATTGCGCCCGTCCAGGCTGAAGATCGCACCAGTATTGGCAAGCAGCTTGAGCTGGAGGCGGAGAATGCGATCAAATACAGGACATGCAGCTGGCAGAAGGTTCGTTTGCGCCTCGATGCGTATTGTTCGAATTGGCTGACGCAATGCGCCGTAGACTGCCGCCCTGCTCTTCTCCGAGTACATCTGCTTGGCCATGATGTCGTTCCCGTGGTCATACTCCGTCCTGGGCCTGGTGCCTGGTCTCATCCTGACAGTGTTCATCGCTGTTGTCGTGCTTTACACGTCGCTGATTATCTGGTATGCATATGATCTTTGTCATCAATCTTCGAGCATGGACGGCGCTGACTTCTGCTCAGGAAATTCTGTTTGCGCCACCCGGAAGTTCGCGATGTGTGTGACATCGGCCAGTTCTTGTTCTGGGACTCCAAGATCGTGTGGTATATCACTGCGGTCATGTTTTTGTTGAATAACACTTTCATTCAGGTACTTCCTTCAAGAGAAAACCAAATGTGTAACACATCTGATGATTGCCTAGGGACTGCATTGCTTGGTCGGCGCCGAATACCTCAACACGATGACCGGTCACCCGACATGCACCATCGTCTATTCTGTCGTCACCGCCGTCATCTCCTTTTTTGTCTCGCTCCCACGGACTTTCAGCGGGCTCTCCCGTCTAGCCACCTTTTCGGCCTTCTTCACCTTTGTGTCAGTGTTGCTCGCCACCATCTTTTCTGCCATCGAGCCGCACCCAGCCGGCTACAACCCAGACCCGAACCATGTCACGGCTGACGGCACCAAGATGGGAGGGGAGCCGATCGTGTTGGCGTTTCCTGCCGCCGGCACCTCCTTTGTCACGGCCATGAGCGCCTTCATGAACATCAGCTACACCTTCATCGGCCAGATCACCCTGCCCAGCTTCATTGCGGAGATGAAAGAACCCCAGGACTTCTGGAAGTCGGTCACGGCAGTGACCATTGCCGAGGTCATCCTGTTCAGCCTGGTCGGCTCCATCATCTACGCCTACACTGGCAACCAGTACATGACAGCGCCGGCCTTTGGCTCTCTGGGCAATGAGGTGTATAAGAAGGTGTCCTTTTCGTTCATGATCCCGACCTTGATCTTCCTGGGCGTGTTGTACGCCTCCGTCTCGGCCCGGTTCATCTTTTTCCGTCTGTTCGAGGGCACGCGCCACAAGGGCAATCACACCGTGGTTGGTTGGGCCTCGTGGGCGGCCATCCTGGCCGCTCTCTGGATTTTGGCCTTCATCATCGCCGAAGTCATTCCTTTCTTCTCAGACCTGCTCTCGATCATGAGCTCTCTCTTCGACTCGTTCTTTGGGTTTATCTTTTGGGGTGTGGCCTACATGCGCATGCGCCATGCCGACTATGGCCCAGGGTTCTACAAGAAACGGGGTATCCGCGGCTGGGTTGGATTTCTTGTCAACGCGGCGCTCATCTGCATCGGGCTGTACTTCCTGGGACCGGGCACATATGTGAGTATCTCTATATGCTTGGATCCACGATCGAAAAAGGAACCATACTAACCTATCGACAGGCCTCGATTGAGACCGTAATCCAGAGTTATCAGGCTGGCACGGTGGGAAAGCCTTTCTCCTGCGCCAATAATGGACTATAAAAGGTCTCATACATCCGCTATGATCCTGTGTGATCAGTTTCATTCACAAAAAAGTCTAAGAAAAAGAGAATGCACTGATTTTCTTGATGTCTGGGTTTGATGTCTCACTCTCCGCCGGAAGAGTTGAGCTTGTCTTTTTTCTCTTTGCTTGTATTCTGCAGTCGCTGGTGGATGCTGGCCTCCAAAATTGTGACAGCTTAATGACAGCTTAACTTTGCTTACGTTTTCTTTTCATTTGTGTGCTGTGTCGCGTATAAGCTCTTATTGTGCGAGTAAACAGTCCCTCTCATCTCCCAGGGATTCTGGCTTGGCCGATTTGGAAATCCTCGGGAAACCGTTATCTCCACGTGACTTTTCCGTTATCGTAGCTCTGGTCGGCGGAGTTGCCCGCCTCCGCAACTGATCTCTTTTCCCTAACCATTATTTTTCTTCTCTGTCAACAGCTCAGAATTCGTTTCAGACGAGGAATCATTACCGGAACAATGAGAGCTGTCCACCGGAGCGCAAGATCGCTGTCGTATCTGCGGCAATTCTCCTCTGCAGCCGCCAATGGCTCTCGTTCGTCGCGGAGCAGCGCTCTGCTGCAATCTGCCACCAGCAGCGGTGTGCGCTCCTCCGCAGGTCGTCCTGTAATTTCCACTGGCGCCAGCAGGTCGCTCATCAGTCCGGCTGGTTTCAGAAATGCTTCTTCCTCGACCGTTGATCCAGCGACGTTGAAACGCACGCAATTGTACGACCTTCATGTGGCCCGCGGCGCGAAGATGGTGCCCTTTGCGGGCTTCGAGATGCCGTTGCAGTACAAGGACCTCTCGCACGTGGACAGCCACAAGTGGACGAGGGAAAAGGCAAGCTTGTTCGATGTCAGCCACATGTGAGTTTCCGCTCCAAGCTTCTCTTGCTCAATTCAATTGTCATCAGTCTGTTCTGCGGGGTCATCTAACAGGAATCACCCCTCCAGGGTCCAGCACCGTCTGAGCGGTCGCGGTGCACTCCCGCTCTTGATGAAGGTCACTCCATCCTCGCTCGATAAACTGCCCAACAACCAGTCGACCCTGTCGTGCTTGCTCGAGGATGGAACGGGTGGAATTGTCGACGACACGGTCATCACGCGCTTGGGGCCCGAGGAATTCTACTTTGTAACCAATGCCGGCCGGCGCGAGGAAGACGTGGCCTTCTTGACGGCGGAGATTGACGCACACCGGAAAGAGCACGGCGCGGATAGTATCAAATGGGAGATTCTCAGTGATCGTGCCCTGCTGGCTCTGCAGGGGCCGTTGGCGGCGTCAGTCCTCCAGTCCTTCGTCTATACGGAGGGTGAGAATCCGGCAGACACGGACCTGAGTACCCTGTATTTCGGACAGTCGCGTTCGCTGTATCTCCGACTTGCCGATGGCTCCAAGACGCCGCACCGGCTGCTGATTTCTAGGACGGGATACACGGGTGAAGACGGATTCGAGATCTCAGTGCCCACTGAGGGCTCACCGTCGCTTCCAAATCAAGTCGCCGAACTTTTCCTGTCCCGGCCTGACGAGGTGCGTCTCGCAGGCCTGGCAGCACGAGATTCGCTGCGCCTCGAGGCCGGAATGTGTCTGTATGGTCAGGACATCACAACGGCGCAGACTCCGCCGACGGCATCCCTGGGCTGGATTGTCGGCAAGGACCGTCGCGACCCTGCGTCACCATCGTCGCGTTTCAACGGAGCCTCCGTCATCCTGCCCCAGCTGGCATCACCAAGCAAGACGCTGACCGAACGGCGCGTTGGCTTCACGATCGAAAAGGGCGCGCCCGCGCGTGAGGGCGCCATCGTGGTGGACCTGCAGGACGGCAAGACCCAGATCGGCGTCATCACGTCGGGACTTCCCAGCCCGTCCCTGGGCGGCACCAACATCGCCATGGGGTATATCAAGCAAGGTTTCCACAAGAAGGGGACCGAAGTGGGTGTTCTCGTGCGGAACAAGCTGCGCAAGGCATCCGTAGTGGGAATGCCGTGGGTGGAGAGTAAATTCTACCGACCGGAGAAATAGTTCATTTAACTATCAATTAATCAATCAATATCTACCTGACATGTTCCTCTTTTTGCTCCCCAACCATTTTTCTCTTTGTTTTTTTCTTTTGGTGAGACGTCTGTCTACATTTATAGAAAAAAAATAAGATATAGGTATTAATACTACTCTCTTTTATTCTTTTTTTTTAACGGAACTCGATTCCAAAAGAACAAAAATCCCAGTCCTAGTTTTTCGTTCGACTAGGTAGTCTACTACTACCTAGTCTACTATCTATTATCGAAGTGTGTATTTGCGTGTATGTGTCTTTGTTTTTTCAGCTCGATGACCATATCCTAATCCCGAGGATATCGACATCGTCATTTTCATCCTCATCCCATCTGTGTTGTCTTGTTCTGTATACGAGGTATGTACGTACGTATGTACTTAGATGGTACGAGTCCACATTCAACATAATGAATCCAGTCCAGTTCAGTATCAGTTTCAGTTAAGCGGATTGATTGATTGATTGATTGATTCATTCATTTCAAACAAATTACCTACTCACGAGACTTACGAGACTTATCTCCTTCTCACGTATATCCCTGTTAATAAGTCTGCTAGTCTGCTAGTCTGCTAGTCACCACCAGTACAAAAACTGGCGTTACGCTGAGACGCTGAGAAACTACCTACCTGCCTAATCTTTACAGACTTCACTGTTGTAGACTAGTATAGTTATATAATCTTATTACGCATCTGGTCGAGGCAGGTAAAATGTTGATCGTCACAAGTTACCAAGTTACTCCGTTGAGGAAGGCCTGCACTCTTTCCGTTTTAGGTAATTTCCTAATCCGGTATGTTCCGATACATACTAGGCACCTACTACAGTGCAGAATCCACACTTCAAAGTCATCACACTGAAGTGTGCATTATATAGCATAGAGTCACAATGCAAGTCTAGACAGGACAGCTGGTAACCCATATATCCTTGTGATAAAAGAATAATTATGAATTATGAATGATGAATATTGCATTCTATCATTACCTCATCTGAACGCCAGGAGCCTCTACAGGTTTTGAAAAACACAAAGAAAAGATGAGGCCATTAACCACGATAGAAATGAAACATCATCCAGAGTCCAGACCCAAATTGTTGTTCTCGTAATGCAAGAAAGTGGCACCAGTGGATCAGAGATAAGACAGGCTGTAACTCGCCCCACATCCTTGAGATCTTTCTCATCAGTCCTGTCATGTCATTACAGTAACGTGGGCAAACAAGACAATGTGGGTATCTAATGAAAAAAAAAGATATCCTTTCTCGATTAAGATATTTCATAGCAACCCCTCCACCCGATCCTGCCATTAAGAGAATATGCTGTCTTCTTAACACCGGCTTGAAAGAGAGACAGAAAAAAAGAAAAGAAAAGAAACCTGTTGACAGTGACGAATGCATTGGATCAGGGGTGGTGTTTTGCGTTTTGGCGTATGGCTTGGATTCGTCACTGCAGCCGTGTGCAACTTCAGACTTCTTCAACCTGAGAGTTGCGGCGCGAATTAACCCGGGAGTTTCCACGCGAAGCAACATAGCTGTTCGTGCGACTGCCCATAGCCTGGCGGAGGCGCAAGTTCTGCTGGGAGCGGGCAAACGAATTGGCGCGTGACCCGGTCGGCAACCGTGACAGGCGGCGACCTTGAGCATCGGTCTCGGCCCGGAGTTCGGACAGTTGCTGAGCGAAGGGTGACCTCTTGCGAAGAGTTGGTCCGAAGTAGTAAATGAAATAAACAGCCGCAACCAGAACAAACGAAATGCAGACTATTGAATCGGGATGGGTCAGCGACCATGATCTGCTAAGAACCCATGGCACAATCAATCAACAGGGCAACTTACAGAGAATCGTCGAGGCGTATTCAATGTGCCACTTTCCGCCAATGTCTATGAACAGTCTCGTCAGCTTTCAGCTTGTTAAATGTAGTCAAGGGGACAAACTCACTCGTGAAGAATGGGGTAGCAGGAATGGTGAGAACACCCGCAAGGAAGTCGCGAGACCATCCGTTTCCACCGGTGGCCGAAGCCGAGTATGGACCGTAGGCGCAGACCATGTAGTCAATGGTGGCCATGTAGATGGAGTAGTTGGCAATTCCCACAATGGCAGAGAAGATCATGGTTCCGATCCAGTGGACTGGGGGTCCCACACTCGTCCAAGCAAATCCGATGAGGCCAATGGGGAGACATGGGGCGGTCCACAAAAGCCACCACAAGCGAGACTCATATTGAGCCATCTCGTCGTCCGGCTTTTCCCGTCGCTCCCTGATGTTGCGCTTGATCGCGGGGAAAAAGGAGAACCAAGCGATAAGGTATCCGACCAGGATAGGAATGAAGGCGAGACCCAAAGCAACATCAGAGAATCCCCATTGGGCATACACGAGAGAGAATGATTGAATGAACATAAAGATCAAGGCATCGCTGAACCCGCTCAAGAGAGATAGTGTGAGCACGATAGGTTCCGTTAGGAACATTTTAAAGGGGCGGATCCATGTGAGCAGGATCTCCTTCATAGAGAAGCGATCCTTGAATGGGACAAGCTCATTGGGGCCGTAAATGTTGGGATTTTTCCCTGACTTGCGCATCTTTTTCGCAATGTTATCCATCATTACTGTGGAACGGGTTTCGGGGACAAGAAAGAGATGAAGCAGCTGAACGAAACCGCCGAAGATGAGCTGGATCCAAATACACCAGCGCCATTGAAGGTACTGCTGGCAAAAGCCTCCCACGACAGGACCCAGGACAGAGCCTCCAACAGACGAGAACACAACGAAGGCCACGGCGTATTGTTGGCTATCAGCCTCCCACATATCGGCAATCATTCCGAGGGTGACTGAACCACCAGCAGACGATAGACCACCCAATGCACGGCCAACCATGATTGAGGCGAAGTTAGGTGCCAAAGCGACAGGGAGCTGCCACACATTGACTAAGAACAAACTAGCCTGCAGGATTGGCTTGCGGCCTAATTCTTCGCTCCAGGGCGCCCAGAGTTCACAGCCAAACGCATAGAGGACTAGGAAGATCATGGCTCCACAACGTGCCGCCTGCTCAGAGACATGAAATTCCTCTGCAATGCCACCAAGAGCATTCGAGTAAAGACTGGTGTTGAAGTTCATGGAGATCTGGACCAAGAAGATGACAGTCAAGATCATCCATTTTTTCCAGGTAGGAAAGGAATAACCGAGTTGGTCATAGCACTCCTCCTCGGTGAGTTCTTGCTTGTCGAGTTCGGGAGACTGTTCAACCTCGTGGGTCGTCGTGGCATTGCCCGGCCAATGAGGGTGACGCTGATTACCATCAGCTGCCACCCCCTTCTCTGCTCCATCCGCGTTGACGGTGGTCAGGTCAGCCTGCGTGGCTGAGGAGGTTTCAGAATCACGCGGCTTCTCATTGACGCCGACAGGGGCAGTCGTCGCATCAGTATCAGATGCGGATGCCATCGTGGGGAATCGATATCGATCACGATCACGATCAAGCACAGAGAGAAGAAGTAGAACAAGAGCGCCAGTAGAGACAAGAGCGATGAGCTAGGGACGTCTTGTAGAGGATGGGGAGAAGAAGAAAGAGAAAGAAAAGGTGGCGATGGTGTGGGGAAGAAGTAGTTGCTTGGATCACTTGTGCAGTGCAGCACACAGGAGTCTGAGATGGTGAAGGAAGAAGGTATCGAAGGCCTACGCGAAGAGCGCGGTGAAGAGAGGACGCGGGAGAGAAAACAGAGGCGGGGTGTGGTCTGCGAGAAACAGTGACGCAGTTGACAAAAGAGGAAGGATCAACTCTGGCAGAAGAGGCACACCACCACAGCTGGATTCTCTGCTGGCTGTCTGCGGCCTACGTTCTTCACTGGTCATGCAGACGGGAGACACAGGGAGCAAGAAGACAGAGGCGCGAGTAGTGGGCAGCAGGGCGCTCAAATACAATTCAATGCCGCATCCGACACGGGCAGAGTCCGGAGAACGGCCATACTACATCGAGCCAGCCCGGGGACGCCCATGGGAAGGGCCGGGGCCCCCGCGAGCGAGCAAGCACGACTCCTGCTCAAACAGGCAAGTCTGGCAGCACGGTCTGGAGTCTTAGCAAGGGGCGAGGCTGGCGGGAAATTCCCAGGCGAGCCCGCGTGCCGCCCTGGGGGCGTCCTTTTCCACAATTCCACTCGCGAGCAGCGCTCCCATTGGGCTCAGAGGCAGGGCGAGCGAACGGTGAGCAGGGCAGCTCCGCCGATTGCAGCAGTTACGGCGTATTACACGGTAATCTCTGTAATTGGGATTACAGCATATCCGCCGGCCGGTGGTTGGCCAGGGACTCGGCGGCCTCAGGCCCACAGCCCGGCGACGCTGGCCCCCGAGCCTGCCTTGGCCCTTCCTCTCCGAGCGAACCTAACGGCCTCGCTAGCAGTCGACTTGTCATCGGCCACGGCTTCACGGCGGAGCCAGCGTCATCGTTCCCCAGCAGGTCCTCCACGCCCGCGAATCGATTCCCCCGCTGGGGTTGTCGAGCTCACAGTCGCCCGATGCCCACTGGTGAGTCGGCCCGACTGAGCTGATCTTTGCTGCGCTCGCAAACTCTGATGCCACGAAATAACAGGATCAGCCCACCTGCGACAACCTGTCTCCCTCCGATAATCCCGCATCGCCATCAAACCCGCCACACGGCTCAGAATAAAAAATTTTTTCAGACAAAGAAACGTTCTCGAAGACCAAAGAATCACCACACTGGGCATCGAATCTGTTGCCAGCCATCCGTCTTGAGAAATTGGTTGCCCGCGTGATCAGCGTCTGGAATGTCCGAATGCGGTCGCCAAGTCACCCGCAGGCACCAGCGGCCATCTCGTTTTCTTCTTCAACGTGCCTGTATTGTCGTGCATGCTGCTAAGAGCGTCAATACCCCACCAGATTAGATAGTCCTATCAGCAGATGGTGGTCAACGCAGCGGACCCATGGTTGTGGTCTGACTGTCTGGGGTTTGGGGGAATGAACAAGAAAGGCTGCCCGGACTGCACCGGCGTGCAAGAGGGGAGATGACGGTGTTGTCGGCACGGTGACGTTACACTTGCTGGCCGCTCTGATCGGGCTTGCCCACAGCTCGGCAGCCCGATCGTCTGTCGGCCGCTGCAAGTGACGGCATCAACAGGGATCGTCCTGTGGCGAACTCGGCTGGCGCTAACTTATCCCCACCCTACTCCGTAAAATGAACGGACTACGGACGATACAGGAACCATTTTTTTTCTCGCTTGTTTACGCCGTCTACAGAGTAATTACACCGCGGCCATCGAGCGGGCTGTGATTTGGCCGAGAAGTCGTACAGAGACGAATGACAGTCGGATCCCCGCAGGCGATGGCAATAACCCGAGGATGAGGGAGCTTGTCCGAGATGAGGTGATAGTCAGCATGGATCAAGGATGATGGAGAGTGGGAAACAGGGTTAGCCCTGGTTGAATGGCAGAATTCTACGCCGAGGCCAGCAGCCTACAGCGACAGACATTCATAACAGTGATGAACCTTAATCACCGACTCGCGACGGAGCACTCTGTACTGGTCTCCAGTTCTCACGTCGGGAATCCTCTAACCAGGATTTCCCTGCGGAGTCGGTATGGAGCAGTCATGCTTGTAATCGCCCTGTTCCCGACACCGTTGCAGAGCCGGACGATTAAAAAAATGGGGACGCTAGTCGAGGTCAAGCCAATGAGTTTGCTTTGCCCAGAGTGGTGTAAGTCATCTCCATGGCCTCCATCGCCTCCAATTCCCATTGTCCATTGAACAATGTTCATTGTCTGTTTTGAACAGATTGTGTGTCGTTGACAGCGGCTGGGCAGTTACACAGTCAGCCCACTGGGTCCCACAAAGTTTTATTTCTAATTAACCATGTCCCTGATGGCGGCCTTGCATGCCGACCTCCAACACCCTCATCGGCAACGTCCTCACTGTAAACCACAATCTTCAGGATAGGTTGGGGATCCCACGGGGTAATGGAGGAGGAACTTTCGTGGACACACGGCTCCAGAACACCTCTCTGACCGTTTGGAACCACATTACGGAGGTTATCTCCCCGGTCAGATCCGAATGGATGGATAGTCGAGCTACCGCGGAAGGCGACAGAGCAACCTAAATGGAAAACAGAAGCATGACGCCAGTCACTTGAGAGTTGCAGATTAAGCATACCCCTATGTTGTTTCGCAACAGAGTTGCGATGAATCCCTAGCCTGTCGATACGATACAGGCTCCGTACGTATCTTTTGTACCAGGTTCGGATCTGGAACTAACTTCAACTGCTTCTTGTCAAAAGTCCAGCAGACCATCTCCAAGAGTAAACCTGGCGTGGCAATGGAATCTCTCAGCCTCTACTCTCTGTATTGGTTTTCAACACTTTTCCATCCAATGGCGGTTAGAGGGATTTTTTTTTCCCCTTGCTTGCCGACAGAAAGCTTATGTATGACAGTGAGGAATGGGAAAGTGGAGGATTGGTATTTGACAATATTCCAGTCTGATAACTCTGGCCTGATTCTGGACTCAGTCTGGGCTACCCCAGATCGTCTCGTCCCACTGATCGAAAGATCGAACCCGTTTCTAGCCCCATGTCGCGGGCAAGTCCATATGCACATGCATGACATTACACCCCCTGGATTCGAATTAGATGGCGCAGGCTACGCTGCGGCTGTGGCGAAGCCAGCCTCAGAATCTACGCGCTGTAGACCTTGCGTTCTTCCTGCAATCAACACCTTTCTGTGAACGGAAGAAGCCGCTTACATACCAGACGTCGCACCATTGCTTGTCCTTTTTTTTTTCATTTTGTTCCAAAGATGGCAAACGTTGCTCGACTTGCGGTTGTGAAAACTGTGGCGTTTGGTATATATGCACTGCTGGTCATTACAGAACAGACCACAGATTCCGACTACTTTATGCAAGCACGGGTTCGGGTCTGGGTCCGCCATCTGGTGTGACTTTTTTTTTACCCTCTTTGTTCTTTATCCAATCGATGCCCAAGACCAAGACTCGGAAGATTGGGGGTGCTTTCCGATCCTATTCCCATATTTGTTATATTGAGTAACTACTGACAAATAATTTTTTGCTTACATGGCTGCTTCTCCTGCCAATTGCTCGTGCTGGCATTACTATTGACATGGGCGGTGAATGATGAACGCTGAACGGCCTGTCCCATTACACGCTAGAAGTTTCGTTTTGGCTTCTAGGGTATCTGAAATTCCTCATACCGATCTATGTGCAGGATTAGCCTCATGAGCTACTCATTGCCGAGTATGCGAGCTAGGCAGACGCGTTTCTGATTTGGTCTGCCATCGATGGCAGGTTCATGCAGGCATCTATTCAGCTGGAAGATGGCTTCGATCGGATATTGTCGCCGCTCTCGCTAACAGGTTACAAGTTGGCAGGTTCGCACCGATCTTGGCAGTGAATGAGGCATATTGTGTCTGCTCGCAACATGCAACGTCTTTCGCAGTCCAGACTAAAACAGGAAGCAGGCAGACAAGCGATGACACCATATGTAAGCCGACGTTGGGCTGTTGGGCCGCTGTGCTGTTCATACTACGTAGACAGTTGCAGTGGCATGATTACTCCGGCATACGCATGAGGAATAACTTAGCGACCAGCCAAGAGAAATCCCTCTTACGACCACCTGAAATCACTCACTGGGTGTGTTAAGCGACGACAGAAGCTATAGACCCTTGGCGTGGAATCAAATGTCGAAAATCGGAGGGAAAAGATTTTTTTTTTCCTCCATAGACGACCAAATGCCAATGATCGCATAATAGGCCGATGCCTAACCTGACGAAGTAAGCCCATGTGTTCATATTCCCCATTGATCTTAGTACCGAGAAATTTAGTCTGCTGGAACGGCCCGTGGCCGCTCTTACGACCTGCCAAATCTTTATATGCGGAGGAGAACATTCCGTAGCATCTTGTACTAATTATTAAACATGACCTAGGATGGATCAGCGCTAGCTAAAAGAAATCAAACGAGTAGACAAATCTGGGGCAAGCATGACGGGGCTGATTCAGGCTACGCTGACGCCCCTAGACCCCTACTATTAGGACAGACTACGCAGTTGCAGTACGGAGTATTAGTCTGTACGGGATGGCTGACGGGATGGCGCCGCACTGACCCCAGATGATCTTCGCCGACACGGAGTCTGCTGCACTCCGTATGAAGTCAAGTTTCAGTGTGCTCAGTCCAACATGGCAACAGCCATCCGACGATCGGATGATCGGCATACAAGAACGGATTCAGCGATCGAGTCTGCATCCATAGACATTCGGGTTCGGAAGAGTTCGTTTTCGGATGAAAAATGGGGCCAGTATGGAGTAGGGAGAACTGTGAGCTGAGAGTCATTTTTGCTGTTGGTCTGGCTGGGGTGTAGTTTTCTTTTCTTTTCTTTTCTCCTCCTTTGTGGGCTAAGTGCTGACATTATCGTGTTATCGATATCAGACATTATCTACGAACTACTTCCCCATTCCCGGTTCTCCATACTCCATACTTTCACAAGGAGTAACTAAGGATCATACCCCATGGAGACCCAAAAAGTTAGGACTTGGAAACTGGACTTAGAACTCAGGGGAGAGTCGACTGAGACAAAAAAAATTTATGGCCCCCAGTTACAGCCTTACGTACGGAGACTCGGAGAGCAAATCCTAAAACCGGGGGTGCTGGGGTAGTCGGAACTACGGGAGCATTAGCTCTGTCGATCCCGGGCAATCCGTCAAATCATCAGCCGCAGGAACAAGAATAGAAACACACCGTAGCAACACCAAGAATCCTTCTAGAAAAAAAAACATGACTATGTGCGTCACTCTGGCGAGAATCACAATATACCTCGTTTACTACGGAGTATACTGCGTTCTTTTTTTTCCCATCTCTCTCTTCTTTTCCCTAAAAAGAGAACATACAGATAGATGTACTCAGTCCGTACCGCACCGTCGGCTGTATGTAACTTACGAAGGAGTTACGTAACATGTAAAGTAACGAATCTAATGTATGCATGTACTCCGTACATGTACGTAGAATGTAATTAGCATGTGGTTGACTTCAGTAACAACAAGAATAAATAATAAACCGAAGCAAGGGGTGTTGTGCAGAAAAGGCCGCAATAATGCGGCAATACTTAGAGCACATGCGATGCGAGTTGATAACCCAGCAGCCACGCAAGCCACGCGAGAGATTTAATCCACTTACTCGGTACGGAGATGCACTTTTAAGGGATAAAAAGTTGGCTGAGACTTCCATCAAGGGGTTTTGGTTTGGATTTGTGGCGTCTGCTGTGGCTTGTCGTGGCGGATGAACTTGATCGACGGGCTTGTTTCTTATTCATCCTGATGAATCTCATTCTCTCTCGATCAAGTGCTTTTTCTTCTTTCTTGCCGTAGGCATCAACAGGATATATACTGTTCAGTAGAGTACTACTGATCGACCAATTGATCGATCGAGCAAGCAAGCGAGATATCTATTACATAATTGGTGGATCTACAGCATGTGGCATTCGCGATGCGATGCAATGCCACGTCTGTCTGTCTGTCTTGTTTGCTTGCCCCCTTCACCTCTCTCGTGATTGATTGACGCAAGGGATAAGAGTCGGGTCTAGACAGACTGTAAAACAGTAAAAGAGTAATCCAGACCAGGCCAGACAAGAAAAGACAAGAAAGTCTAGACGACGCAAAAAGAGACATTCATGTCCAGATCGAGACTGGTCCGTCGGTGATTATTACCCTACATACTAAATAGTTATATAGGGATGAGAAAGGAGAACTCATGTTTCAGAATAATTTTTTTAAAGGAAAAATCCATGATGCAAAGACAGGAGAATATGAAAATGGGAATGATCAGCGAGTCCTAAGCAAGTAGGCACGTGAAACTACCTACATGTGTGTACTGTACATACAGTACATACTTAGGTAACCCACGTGCGTATCTGTCTGTGTTGGTGCTGTGCTATGCCAGCTGAGCTGGTTTACTTACTGAGAAGTTGGTCCTATTAATTAATTATATAGGAAAAGAACTGGTATGATGTGATATGTTTGGGACCATATGCAAAGGAAAGCAAAGGGAACTACTGCAAAGTATATATAATGGAAAGGAGACGTCTACTTGTGGTTATCGGTGCATGGAATGTGTAAACTTTGGTAGTCAAGTAAAAGCACAGGACTATACATACAAACATATTATAACAGTACTATATAGCTTGCATCTGAACTTCTTCAAGTAGAACAAACACATCTGGGGTATCATATCACATTACATCAAGAAAGTATCAAAACAAACCCAACCCAACCAAACACCAAACCAAGACTGAAAGTCTGGAAACAAACAGCAACACGCAGACAAAAAGGTTTCGTGTCGTGGATAAGAATCGACATTGCAAAAAAAAAACATAACTTTAACCCCCAAGGTAATTCCATTCTATACATTGACCGATATCGCCTTCGCTGCTGAAGAAAATTGTGCATACATCTTTCCCTGTTTTGTCTGTCTTGTCCCATTGCAGTCCTCTTCTCGTCAATACTCAGCACCTGCCTCGATTGATTCATCAAGCCAATCGTCAGGACAAGAATGCGGATACGATTGAGAGGAACGACAAGGCAGTAACTCAATGTATTTGCTGGTGTGATACTCGATGAAATCGGGGCAAGAATCGTATCCGTCGATGTCTGACTCGTCCTCGTCACAGCCATAGTCAGAATCGGCGATAAGTAAGAACCGTGGCCTCTTCGCCTCATCAAGCCGATGATCGGCAGCATTGCCAGGATAACCAAATAGCCAGTCGACATCATCGTCGTCGCTGTAGCCGTAGTACCGACGCTTAGCACGCTCAGCTTCAAATGAGGCCCTCATGTCCATCACAATTTGGGAGGCAAAGTTGCCATGAAACGCACGGACACGATGGGCAAAGACATATGGGTAAGAGGGCTCTACCACAGTGCACATGGCAAGAGGATTGCGCCAGGCATGTTCCAAGCTAAGAGTGCATGATTCAACTGCCACTTCATCTTCATTCCACTCAGGAAGTGCGGTAACTGCCTCGGTCTCTGTTAGATCATGTTCAGGAGATGAGCGCCGCTCCTGCTTCGTTGAACCGGTGTGATGAACAAGATTCTTCTTCGCATGTCCAGAAGAACCTGCCTCGATATAGTCGTCTGCTGCGGCCACTGTGTCGATTAGCCACTGACTGACGCGACGAGTAGGAGAAGGACAGCCAGGGTGAGAAGGGCTGCGATAAGCACTGAAGTTCATCTTGGCGAATCCCAAACTAGGTGAACATGACTCGACAGCTACCTCATTTCCATCACGTCCGTCTCCCGCCTGACCCGGTTCTCGGTCCTTATCCTCACTGTCGTGACTCTCCATTGTAGTCCGCGAGAGCATAGCAGACCGAATCAGACTCGCCAAGGCGCTCGACGACGAAGTTCTCTCAGAAACCGGACTGTGTCGTCGAGCGGTTTTCTGAACATACGTCGAGCCGACCATTTTGCCCAAAGTGTGCTCCTCCGCTGTGAGAGACTCATGCCAATGACAGCGTCGGTAAACTTTGGGTTTCTGCTTCTGATGCCCTTGAGGACAGTCAACCAGCTTATCGATAAGATTATCCGTAGATGAGTCCTGACTCTGTGGGGCATGCCCGTCTACCAATGCAAACTCCTGCGATCCAAACAATGCCCAGGTCCCATCTGTTGGAAGAGAGTTTGTCTGGTGTTCCTGCTCCTCAGACGGAGGGAGAAAATTGTCTCGTTTGAAGGCAGGCCTCGTCGTCGGTATCAAGTCGTCAGGCCAGACGAGTGCTGGGCGTGCAGGAGGCGGAACGTCACGTCGAGCGCTGGTAAAGGGAATTGGGATTAGAGTGCTCCACTGAGAGCTGACTAAAAACGTCCCGTATAGATCGCTCGTGTTTGTAATACTCATCGTTCTGCTAGCTGCATGGACTGGGGCTTCAGCTGTATCTTCAGCAGGGTGTGCTGCTTTCCGACGAAACCTGTCAGCAAAACCTGTCTCATGTCAACCGATGTCAGAAGAATTCTACAAAGAAAGAATGGTGTATTACCTCGTCTAGCCACCAGCCCAACAAGAGCCTCCCAAAACTTCTTCATGACGACGAGTATACAGCGAGGAGCTGGATACTTGCACTCTCCTAGCATGCTGTGGGGAACGAACGCCTGGACACACAACGTGGACGACGACGATAGAATCAAATCCCAGCTTTCTCAGCAGTCAGATGATATCTTGAGCTGAACACTGTGTTATATAAGTCGATAAACGAGTAACAGAGCTGATGGAAGTGGTATTTGTAAATCGAGGCAATTGGCGTAGGTAGTGTTGAGTGACTAGAAAGGGACTGGTTTGAAAGAAGAAGAATTATTATGCTGCTGCACTGCTAGAGATGCAGCTGTTTTTTGGTCCAGTAAGACAAACAATATGGAAATTTCCATCTGTTTGCGGAATTATACCCATATGACAGCCCATGTTCCTGCAGAAAATCATTGAAAGATGCCATATTAGTACTTTATTTGTCGGGCATTGCCGCCAGAAACTCCCTCTTCTAAGTTTCTTTGAACTCCTATTGTGCTGCTGTGCAGTAATGCAAGCTTTATCCATTGTTGTTCCAACAAAGAGACTGACAGACTTCCATTGTATCGATATAAACTGCCCGGGATGAAAGACCCATTGTAGATCAAGAATGACTGTCATTGGAGTTCTGTGGCAGGAAATGCTGTGAAATTCGGGCTTTTAGAATGAAACTGAAGTAATTAACGCTATCAGAAAGATAATCTGTCTATATAACCTGCCCTATATGCGTCAGAGGGTATTAGAAGTAGAAAGATAGGTTGACAAGGGAAAGGAAGGAGTAGAAGACAAACCAGGACGAGCAAGAAGATCTTGTTCAGCTGATTCGTGTCCATTTTGCCATGAAAGGTGTCATCATCATCCGCATCCTCGGAGATCACTGGAAGAGATGTTCCCAGAGTGGTATTTCCATGTGGATTCGCATATCCCCATCGGAGCAGGCAATTCATCAAATCGGTGTAAATCGGAACGTTGAAATCGTAGAGCTTGGTGAACTGGATCTTGAGCGTTCCATCAAAGTAGCCCTGGAGGACTCGAGCACGAGCTGGTTTCAGAAATGAAATGACAAGTACCTGTTGGTTGCGCACGTCAGTGTTGAATGCCCGCCAATGCAGTCTTCAGAGATCGCGAATAAAAACAGGTGGTACGGAATGAAAGGGGAAAAAATGACAGAAATGGGAAACAAACCGGGAAGATCATATGGAGTCTGGAAGTATGCGACTGTGTCTCTCTTCATTGAAATGCATGTACTGTACCTATGAGTACAACCATGCTGCACCAGAATGCAGGGGAGACCGTCGTGGGAGGTCAGACATCTTGAACAACAATATTTGGCTTTGCCTACTCCGTACACTGTGTCCAATCAGGGAGCACTGATTTGTCTTATTGTCTGATTACAGGTGATAGAGAGTAACCTCTCCATTTAGTATAGATTCAATCTACTATTTAAAACAAGACAGCAGTAATAGTACATGTCGAAGCTTTCGTGGTTTTAAGAGCAGATTCAACGGGCATGTGACAAGTTGAGGAAGTCGCCCAGTCTCACGACACTGCAACATATGGAAGACTTCCTGAGTTCTCCCTGTATGACAGGTAGCTAGCTCCACCCGTGACACACTACACTCCATCATCACAGTGGTTGATGCCCTTGGCGAATGCGACCGAGAGGACGATGTTAAGAGTCATCAATTTCTTGAGAAACCAGGAACCTCATCAATCCGTCCAATCTTTTCTGGTTATCAGGGTCCGCCATGTTCTGGGAGAGCTGGCGCTCAACCTCCTTGTTCCTTCTCACCATCTGCTCCGGAGCGTACAACTTGGTCATAGATGCCCCGAGATAGTCCTCGAACTGGTCTAAGAACCTATCTCTTGCTTGCTTGAAGGCAGCGTCTGAACCTTTCAATATAGCGTTCAACTTGCCTCCATGCTCCCGAGCCAATGCAGGAATATTCTCTTCAAGCGCTTTGGCAAGCTCCTGTTTCTCAATCTTCTGGGCCAAAAAGTGTCTCACAGGGTACATTTCGAGTGATTGGTAGACCTCGCGACGAATGTAGCCGAACTCGTATTCTCTGTTGATTTTGCCCGACCGGTGTTGCTCGAAGTCACGCCAGGAACATAGAGGATCCGCATACCCATATTGCGCCCCGGTTGTGTCCACTGCCCATATCTCTCCATTCTTGAGTGTGACCCTGTAGAGATTGTGGAACGCGTCTGGTGGATCGATTTGGAGTCCGTTTGGAAGGATATGGGAGATTCGAAGTTCGGGTTAATCATGATGACGTTGACTTCTTCAATCTTGGAACAAAGGCCTGTCAAATCAATAGGTAAGTATCCAGTTCGGGAGCGAATATGGACGATGAAGTAGGCTTACCAGCCAAAAGCTCCTTAGCAAAGCTATGAAGGTACATCATGGCCTCCGTACACCCCATGTACACCAAAACTGCCTCGAAGAGGCTTCGATCGCCGTCCAAAGAAACCGGAAAGGGATTCAAATGTCGTTGAGGGTCCAATCCATCGAACTGAAATCCGTGGAGATATATAATCGAACCTTCGCTGCGGACCGACTTGAACAATAATGGCGACGCATGCAATCGAATCCGGTACATGATGGCTTGGAGAAGCAGAGCGGCTCTCCCAAGAGTCTTGCGAGCTTGAAGCTTTCTACACGCTGACTTGTGTTGGCCCCAATCAGCTTCTGGCATACTGGACCACAGAAGAATGTAGGCTTCGAGACGCATTTGTCGTAAACTGGGGCGTCAAGGCATCCGGTGCATCTGATCACTGTTGGTCTCTGACAGTGAGCGCAGGCGCCAGATGCTGTCTTTGATCCATCGTCCGCCATTTGTAGCAAGTGGCCTGGAAAGCTGTTGGCCACTGCGCTACTAACCACCAACGAGATCTCGCTATAGAGCTCAGGATCCAATTCAAGTATTGACTGATATAACCATGAACGGTGAATCGGTACCAGATTATGAGTCGGGAGGTTAGACGACGTAAGTCGAGTTTAGGCTGCTCTGGGCGTCGGGATGATGGCCGTTTGTCAAGTCTCTGGGACAGACTACGCGCGTTTGTTGTTCGGTCGACGCGCTCAGCCCTTGCACCTGCCTTGGTCAGAACATTGCCCAAGCACGAAACCTCGTCTTCTCTTCGTATCTCCCAAGAGGCATTCTGAGGATGGCTGCAGCAGTACGCTACTAGTCATATTCATAATTTACAGTTTGATCTGCAACCATGTTCAAATAATGTCTCGCAACAAAAAGGTGGTTGAATAACCGTCTCACAAATTCTATTAAGATTGCCTGCCTCGTTGTGTATGGTCCTGACCCTGTCTAAAGGATATAAACTGTCTAACAGTTCCTTGATGGATAATCAGGATTGAAATACAGAACAATCATTCTTCAGTCTATGTCTTCACATTCATCCTGTTCATCTCGAGTTCGTAGCCTTTACTCAGCGGTTTTCCCAGGCGTCGGGCTTTTTTATGCTTGGAACGTCGCTGAGATCCAGAAGCGACCATGGCATCTCTTTCATCGCTCTATGCCTTCATAGCTCAAGACTCTAGCATTGCCAATCACAGTTGACCGAGTTGACTGTCGACATTTTTCGTTGTCTTGATCCAGTAAATTGCATTGCCTGTTTTGGACCTTGGGCGGTGCGCTAGAGAGTTTTGTACAGCCTTAGTATATATGCAGTCAAGTAACTAAATAATTACTAATATACCAGTTAATTCTCATTCCCCTTTCCTATGCTGATAATTGTGCCAACCAGGTAATGCAGACATCGATCTGATACAGCTATCCTCCCTTCGCAGTGCAATAATTAGCGGTCAACTCGTTTCATATGCAACTCCGCCAAGACAACGGCCTTCTCCTGTGATATCAGATATCAACCTCATTGGGCCAACTTGCCAGGAACGTAGTATCGAAACGTCAGATACACGCGTCCTTGTCTTCGGGCAGTGCGGGAGAGCGGCTCCACTCTCCTCCGGTGGTCGGCCCCTCCTCCGCTCCGCTGGGAGCCTTTTTTTTTTTCTTTGCCTTTTTGAATTACTGCGAATTCCAAGTTCAACTTCATTTTGATACCCACTAGATTCTTATTGTTGACCCTCTTTGAAGAAGAATAAAGTGTATATGCAGATTGAGTGTTAATTGATCAGAGGGGAAACAAGAGAATAAGAAAGACAAAAAATGGCTACGTGTGTACCCCTCTCTCCTTTCCTTCCCTCCCCGCATTCATGAACTTTCCTTTTCAGGCCTGCATTGACCTGTCTGTTTCACTTCAATTCTTCCCGCACACATATAAGCTCAGTACCAACAAACCAGCTAATACTTTCTTTTTTCTCGTCTTTCGTTCTAGAAACATCACCTACCATGCCGCCGCTGTCACCCGCGCGGAGCGCGCCAGCCTCCGCGGGCAGCAGGGCCTCACCATCTGGCTGACCGGCCTCTCGGCGTCGGGCAAGTCGACCATCGCGGTCGAGCTGGAGCACCAGCTGCTGCGCGAGCGCGGCGTGGCCGCGTACCGGCTGGACGGCGACAACATCCGGTTCGGGCTGAACAAGGACCTGGGCTTCAGCGAGAAGGACCGCAACGAGAACATCCGGCGCATCGCCGAGGTGGCCAAGCTGTTCGCCGACAGCGCCTGCATCGCCATCACCTCCTTCATCTCGCCGTACCGGGCTGATCGGGACACGGCGCGCCGGCTGCACGAGGCGCCCACCCCCGGCGAGCCCACCGGCTTGCCCTTTGTCGAAGTCTTCGTCGACGTCCCCGTCGAGGTCGCTGAGGCGCGCGACCCCAAGGGCCTGTACAAGAAGGCGCGCGAGGGCATCATCAAGGAATTCACCGGTATCAGCGCTCCCTACGAGCCGCCCTTGAACCCGGAGATCCACATCAAGAACCACGAGGTGTCCGTCAAGGAGGCTGTTGCTCAGATTATCGCCTACCTCGATGAGAAGGGCTACCTCCCGCCGAAGAAAAACTAAAGAAATCTTCGAAGACAAAAAATATAGAGCGGTTTTCATGTAAATAGGATAGATTCATTCGGTTAGGTCAGTGCCTCTGTATATGCGCATCACGGAGGATCACGAGAGACGAAATAATGATATGTATAAACGCTACACTCATCCAAAAAGCAGGTATTATCTATCCAAGCAAGATACCTCAAGTGCAGCTAGAGAAATCAAGAAGACTTGCTTCCATGCCAGATCGTCATACCACCCATATATTTCATGATGATGATATTTCTTTTCTTTTGCACCATAATCAGTCAAACTCGAGCTCGTAATACACAAAAGCGGTGTACTCTGCACCGCCAGCTTCACCCGCCACATGCACGTCGCTAGGATCATCCTTCTTGACGCGACCCTTCTTGTCGCGTCCGAATGCGTTCCCGGCGAGATAGGAGTATTTCTGGTCGAGATTCCGTTTGGCCCTTGCAGCCTGTTTTGGTGTTGTCTAAAAAAAAATTGTCAGTTAATATATAGATAGGATGTTGACTCGGCAGACGTACCCGAACGATTGCAGCGACAAAGTCCAGAGGTAACCCGTATCTGAGTACGGTTTCGACGAAAACTCTCAGCACAAGCACATGGATCCAGATCATGACGGCTTCGCTCCAGCCCGTTCTGCCCAGTCGTAGCGTTTCACCCCACAGCCTCCGTTCATCACTACCAACCCGTTCCACTTCCTTGGCCTCTTGTTCCCGACCGCCTTCCACATACTTGAAGTCGCGCGGTACCCATTTGTTTTCTCTGGCCTTGATAATAAACTCTTGGCTGTGTTTCTTGAATGTCGTCACGGCGTACAGGGTGAATTCATCATCCGAAGCGACCAGCGTGGCAGAGCGAGGGACAACCATAGGTGATATCGTTTCGTAGGATTTCAGGAAATCCTTGGTCTGTTGTGAGGGAACCGCGACCAGATGAGTTTCAAGGTACTCTGAATCTTGAACGAGCTGGTTGGGATTGACAACGGATGCAAGAGATTTCGTAGCGAGGTTTCCCCTGGCGATCAACAGGAGTCAGCGGAGAGTCGTTGAAATGGCCAGTTTTCTCCAAGTGTCACCTACGTCTGCTTTCGCTGTAATGTTGCTAGCGTGTTCTTCACCTGGTTGTATTGGGAGTACTTGCTCCGGACATCATTGTCAATGCTAGCGGCTTCCTACAAGGTTCCAGCTCTCAGATTAGTTGTGTAATTTCAATGGTATAACCATGAAAAGGCACTGGCGCACCTTCTGTAGAAGATCTATCAGTTCCCCGATCGGTTTGTCTGCACGGTATTTGACTTTGTTCCAGGAGAATGTCCGCAAATACTGGTCGACGGGTTCTATTCAATGCGTATGTCAGCCAAGCACGAGCCCCTGGTGTACGTTCTAGACAGCAATGCAGCTCCGCAATTGAGATAGAGATAAAAAAGAACATACTGTCATTGACCGTCTTCATCTTCTCAATCTGTGCTTCATCACCCTCCAGGATTCCCTTCAGCGCATCGCCCACTTTCCCGACGACACTCTGGCACATGGACTCGAGTTTCCCCAACTCCTCCGCCTGCTGCACCAGAGCGTCTAGCGTCCCGATCTTGAATTCTGGGATCGGAAAGGACGAGACTGTGCCATTTTCCGGCGAGACAGTGGCCGTGATAGCGTCGAGGGCGTCATCGCGGTGGTGTGACGGTGTGATGGAGGTGGGGAGCGAGAGGAACAGGTACTTGGTGTTCTTGGACATCTTGCCCGGCGATCTCGTAGGTATCGAAGAAAGCGAAGGTCAATTATGGAAACAGACCTGCTGCCACGCTCGAGGAAGCGGGCATGAGGCAGAGAAACCGGGGGGTGCTGGCAACGCTGGATGTCGGAGCTTGGGAGCTGCCGGTGGACGGATCGATGGTCGATGGTTGTCGCATTGGTTGGCGGCACCGTCATCCCGCGCCAACTCCACATCTCCGTCCGACGCTGGACAGCATCTCCGTGCAGATATCAGTGATTTATACTCCGTAGATTAACAGCATGATTTTTAAAAAAAAATAATAATAAATGCAATACACATTTTGCTTGGCTTCATTCAACCTACTTATCTCCTTATGCCACAATATTTAAAGAAGACGTGCTCTTTGAGAGGATTGCATATTTTCGCCTCTGTTGGTCTCTAAACCCAAGTATCGAACGAAAGTGATAAACCGGAAAGTCATACTGACTCTCAGGAGCTTTTGTCTGAGAACCAATGTCACATCTAGAATCACATTCGATCATCTATTTACCGAAAAAAAAACATTCTGGATCTATGACAAGAAATTATACATCAAATGCGATCTGTTCCATGCAATAGTCAAGTGCCTCTCGATGCTACGAGTCTGAATCTAAATATATGAACGTTCAAAGAGAAAACTCGAGCGCGTGTATTCTAAACGTCGCTGACAATGAAAACAGTAGTTTACGTCGCCTTGTAAAGATCAGGCAAGTTCTGCAGCGGTAGAATGACAAAATGTCAGCAAAATCCTCTATGGAAGAATTACTCGAATCCTTCAAGGGCAACGATACTGACCTTTGCATACTTGGGCTCTACGAACAATCCCTTCGCTTCGACAAGAACCACAGGCTCCTCGTCGCCCTCAGGAAGGGTTTCGATCCGTCCCTCAACCCACGCTTTTCGGCCCTCCACTTTCACAGTCGAGGCCCTCAAGACGGCATATGTATCCGCTGGCACGGGTTTTCTGTAGTCGATATTCAGGTTCGCAGTGACGCCAATCCCATTGGGCAGCACGGGGAAACAGCATCGGGCCAGCCCCTCATCGAGGATGGTCGCCAACAAGCCTCCGTGAACGATCCCCGGATGACCACAGACGTCAGAGCCCAGGTAGAAGATGGAAACCATGTCCCTCCCGGACTTTTGAGACCACACATACGGTGGGACGACAATCCGGTTTGGCCCGGCGAGGGTACCGCCAGTGAGGTTTCGACTGCGAAATTCTTCGGGGATCTTCAAGTGAGGGCGCGACTCCGTGTAGGCCGGGTCGGCGCGCAACTTCTCCGCGAGCGGATGTGTCTTGATATGGTTGTCGATCTCACGAGAGCGCTCGTCGACTGGCTCGTAGAGCTGGAGGGTCTCCGCATCGGTTGGTACGCCCGCCATGGTTCGAGCAGTGGTTCTCAAGGGAAAGACCGCGAACCCCGCAAGATATGCAATAACCACTAGAGACGTGAATCCCAACACACGCCGGAGTCGCGAGGGAGGCTTGGGGGGCTGAGAAGAGGCAGCACTTGTAGCTTCTGGTGATCAATCGGTACCATCAGCACATCGCATCGCATTGCGCTGAACAGCATGCAGGCGAAGAGACGATTGGATTGACTGGTAACTTACCTGTTGAGTAGAACCTGTACGATGTCCGCCTGCCTGAAGCCCGCGACAAGGCCAGCCCGGTCCGCCGCAATGCGGGGCGTTGAGCTTTTGTAGTCGAAACCCAAAGCTCTCGATCAGGGACAATTCTAGTCGCAGGTGTAATGGTGGGGACCGTATGGAAGGAATTGATACGGGTTCGGGTGGGTAGCGAGCGCACGCCGAGCATTATCGTTCTGGCGGCAAGGGCCTGCCGGTGTATAGCAATGGACAAGATCAGGCAGGTGGATCACCGTGATGGCAATAATAGCATAATGCGCATGCTTATGCTGAGTAATGAAGATAAGGCTTCGGCCCTTTCCGTTGGGATTTGCAGCCATGTGTTCGCATTGCGGGATGCCGATGATTGGCGGAGGCCAAGGACAGCCTGTTGAGGACTCAACAGAACCACGGACCGACGGAGGAACTTACCTCGGCAAATATCTCTAATTGTTTCTGCCTGAGATGGAAATAAAAATATGATTAGTTGATGCCTGCAAGAAGAAACGAAGAATGAAAAGAAATCCCGAGAAGCGAAGAATGAAAAGAAATCCCGAGAAGCGAGCTAGACATTGTTACGTGCGTATTGACTGCCGAGCTCCGAATCATCTGGAGTTCTCATCACATACTCCGTACAGTACAACCACATCAGATGGAGTCGTAAAAAAGCTCACACCCCCCAGCCTTTAGCTGAACAAGGTGTGCTACGAAAACTCCCGCCTATGCAACTGGCGGGCAGGTATTTTACTGACGACTGTGCGTCTCGACTGGGACCCCCAGCGCGAAAGAGAAGGTAGGGAGTTCGGAGCGTTAACTGATTAACTAGGGCCCCAGGTTCTGTTGACAGGGATACTGATGTTATGATCTTTACGTTGCTAACAAGGGTGAATTCAGCAGTCCAGTCATGTGAATGACATTGACTAGAGCCCTGACAGTCCACCTACGTGCTGTGGGGATCATTGACAGTTGTCGTAAGCCTGCAAGGTCATCACTTTTGAGAGATCTGAATATAGATGGAATAGCTCACTATCTCGAGGATACCAAAAAGATTGGCAACTTTACACAATCTGCCAAAATGCTGTACGGAAAATAAGTCAAAAACCTGTGCTAGGTAATCTACATCGATGCAGCGGTTCCATATGAGTGTCTGAATAATGGGCAGTCTCACGCCTCAAGCTCCCCTCGCAAGGCTGATAACTTTCTCAGCAGCATCTTCAAAGCTGTCAAAGGCGTGAAGAGGAAGGCCACTGTCGGCAATCTAGAAGAAGAAGCAATTGATGAGCATAGTGAAGAAGCAACAACAGAGGAGATTACTTACCATCTTCTGACCAATTGCTTCATTCGTGCCTCGCAATCTGACTACGACTGGGACCTTCATATCCAGGTCGCGGAATGCCATGATGATTCCCTCCGCGATCATGTCGCATCTCGTCAAGCCACCGAAAATGTTGACAAAAATCGCCCTGACGCGCGGATCAGAGCATACAATGCGGAAAGAGGCCTTGACAGTCTCCGAAGTCGCCTTGCCTCCTGTGTCGAGGAAATTGGCACAGTGGCCCCCTTTCATGGTGAGGGCATCCACGGTATTCATGGCAAGACCGGCACCATTGACTGGTGTTGTCAGTTTTCTCTTATGCTGTTACCTTAGACACGCTGGAGTAACTTACCAAGGGTTCCAATGCTCCCTTCTCCTTGGAGTCTGAAAGGATCGTGGTCAATAAAATGCCATGTCATAGTCATTCAGGAATCGGGACCATACTTGACATAGATAATTCCGTGCTTTTCCGCTTCAACCTCCTCTGGAACTTCTTCCGTCGTGTCCCGTAACCGATGGACGTCTTCTTGACGGCCAGAGCTTCTGAAAGCAGCGTCGTCAAAACCGAACCTCGCACCGTGCACTTCTATAGTTCCTTCGGACGAGAGAGAAGCTCGTGTTTCTAGGAGAAATGCTTCTTTGGTCTGGAAAATATGCCACAGTTTCTGAATGAACCGCCCCAATTCCTTGTGACTTGCCTCCGACAATCCCAGGTAGGTTGCGAGAGCCACCTGAATAGAGTCGTCCCGCAAAAATTCCGGATTTGCATAGTTGAAGGGGATTTTTTGAGATGAACTCGTCGGCCCATGAGCTTCTGCTGAAGTAGAAGCAGTGATGCAAGGGGAGAATGATGTTCTATCCACCGAGATTGACAGGAAAAAGTCATCAGGAGAAGCTGGGCGCTCGCGTGTAGCAACTGAATTCGCCTCAAGCATATCAAAGGCCTGGTGTTGTTTAATGTAGATGGAGCGACGCTGCATTGAATCTACAGAGACGGGCCCCTTCTGGAGAGAAGCGCGTCTTACCGTGTGGAAACCCCTCTGCTGGCTTGCCCCTTTCGATGTCGTCTACAATTCTGGATTAGTTTGTCGTCACTCGAAAGGGCCAGAGGAAACTTACACCAGTCTGGAGACGGCTTCGTCTGTCGTTCAGGAGCGTCTTCATCCCATCGCCAAATTTCTCAGGGTGGCTCACCATGACTGCCCCGGCATCTTCAAGCGCCTTATACTTAGCTCTTGCGTCAGGTTCCCCCGGTGCTGCCCACGCTCCAGCGTGTCCCATAATGCGGCCTGGAGGTGCTTCTAAGCCGCCAACCAATGCCATGATCGGTCTGTGACATGTTAGCAGGGCGAAGAATGGGAATTATGTGCGGTCAGATCTGCTTACTTCGGATCCGGAGTTCTTCTCCGGTAGTCCTTGATCCATTCGGCCGCGTCGATTTCGGCCGTGCCCCCAACTTCTCCTACGATGATGATACCTTCTGTGTCCGGATCATGTTCGAAAATCTTCAAAGCATCCACAAACGTCGTCCCCGCCAGAACATCCCCTCCCATACTGATGCATAGACTTTGACCCAAACCAGCCCTCGTTGTCGAAGCGACCGTCTCGTAACTCAGCGTCCCCGACTTGGCTACGATGCCTACTTTACCAGGCGAGAAACAAGGCAGAGGCTGGAACCCTATACGACACTTTCCAACTGCGGATATGATCCCTGGGCAGTTTGCACCCACCAGCCTGGTCTTTGACTGGGTTTGGAGCATGGAGTGAATCTACAGTGCAATTAGTATGGATGGCAGGGAGTACATGAAAGGAATGGGAGTCTGACTCGGAGCATGTCGTGGAGGGGGACATGTTCTGCAACAGCCACCACAAGGGGGATTTCTGCCTCCAGCGCTTCTTCTATTGCTTTTGCAGTCTGATTTCCCGGGACATAGATGGCAGAAGCATCAGGGTTTGTTTGCTCTTTGGCCTGACGACGATGTTATTGGTCTGTGAACGTTTGACAAGCTTCTGAGTAGGCCGATCAATACGTACTGCTCTCACCGATGGGAATATAGGCAAACCAAGATGCTCGCCTTCTACACCAGGCTTGACTCCCCCGACAACTTTGGTACCCCATTCCAAGGACTCCTTGGCATTCGCGGTCGCCTTTTAAATAAGACATTAGCATCCAATTCCTTGCGACAAGTTGCGCAGAAGTACCTGACGCCCTATTTAATCCCAACCTTTAGCATTGAACGCCAGAGACGTCACGAAAACATATCAGATGTCTGATGGAACAATTCTTGTCCTTTCTTACCAGTAAAACCTTGGTACAGAACCTTGGTATGAGCTCCAATCTTAAGATTCGGCAAAGTGTCCGCGTAGCTGAGGGCTTTTGACGAAGTAGAAAATCGAAAGTCTGGATTTTTTCCTGGTCGTCGAAAAGGCGAAGCTACAAGTTTGGCCCTTGAGAGCCGTGTTGACAATGTGCGTGCACTCATTGTTGAGTGCTAGCCTTGAGCCGAGGAATAATACAGACAGGAGGGGAAGCAGCTTGCTACCGGCAATGCTCCGAATAGTCTATAAAGCGTTCAGAAATAGACACGATGCAACAACAGGGTATTTAGGTGCAATTTCAATCATATGCATGCACAGCACATGCAATTAATAACTCTAACTCAGAGAGATATTTACAGAAGAGACTTGGAGCCTGAAGAATGCGCGGGATATAACCATCTCGAAGTAGCCGACAGGCCGTTCGCTGCATGTGTTGAGCGCCGAAGCTAACCTATCAGCTGCGAAAGCCCCGGGGGAAGGCGCGCGTCTCGTAAGCAGGCGCCGGTCTCGGAGAGGCAGCTACTTACATCATCGGCGGCTTTCCGAGGATCACGCCCCAGTTCGAGACGAGAGGGTTTGGAGCCTTCACGTGGCCTAAGTCACGGAACCGAAGACAAGGGCAACAGCATCCATTTCGTATGACTGACAGCCTCTTGATGATCAAGTCGGGAGTAACTTCCCTTTGGATTCTGGAAAACCACACATGGGCTTGGACTGGAGATCCGTACCTTGGTAACAGCGGATGGGACCGACGGATAAGCGGCCAACTCATCATGAGCTATTTGAACGATTCTTCTCCTCCTGCATGCAACCAGAGCAGACCGCTGAGATTAATTCAGGACTATCTAACCCACCGAGAGATCTCCGTACTCCATACAGAGTACTCTGTACGGAGTGGCACTAGGCCCGAGGTCAATTACAGGAAGTGGTCTTGCCCTTCTAGGCTAGGCACAGCCACCGGTCGCGACCAAAGTCGAAATCCCGGAAAAAGCGGGGTTAGGCTGCGCTGTGACAGCCCACTGCCCGCTTGCCCTGCGTGACGCTATAGTCTATACAGCTCTATATATACTTCACCATTGCATGCATGCAGCTGGCATAGTTAGGGAATAATTCGTCTTGTGCTACGTCGCCTCTAGTTTAGCATGGATTCGGATATCTCTCAGGAATCAAAAGGTCCGTCGATCCCGCCTCTTGTTCGTGCCAATTAATTTCCAATTGGAGCAAAGCTTTCTAACCCAGAGACGTTATTCTTTCTGCAGCCAGTCTTGAGGAGTCCTTGGAAGATCTGTCAATTAGCAATAAGGGACCACAACCGACTCGTCCCCGACTGAACGTCAAGCAGACAGCCACGAAATCGAAGGCCAAGAAGGAGAAAGTGGCCGATTCGTGGGAAGATGAGCTTTCCTCCGGCTCGGAGACAGAGAGAGAGGAAGCAGCGACGACGAGCGCTGCTATCACCCCGTCAACGACAAACACGTCAGAGGGACCACTAGCACCTCCGCCAACACCGATATCTCCACAGGAAGACGTTCAGAAAACGCAGCCATGGCTTGCCTATAGCTACGGCTCGAGCCCATCCGCAACCTCATCTTCCAGACGACCCTCAGAACCGCAGCGAAGACCCGAGAAACAAACTGCTGTAGCGAGCAGGATGATTGCCGGAGCTCTGGGCATTCGGGCCCCGAAGCGGACAGAGGAGCAGCGCGCATACGACCGCGCGATGAAGGAGAATGAAATCAAACGGCGCAATCGTGCTAAGGAAGAGGAGGCAAGAGCCAGGGAGGAAGAGGAGCGAGCAAAGGCTGCTATCTGGAATGACTAAAATCCTCCGGCATCCCTCTTCTTCCGCCTCTTCTATCTCGTATAGATTCTCGATAATCCTTTTCTCTCTCTCTCTGCGTCTATGCCTCTTCCGATTACCCCGTCACCCTTTACGAGGATCTGCTCTTCTATGGCTATATGGCTTAAAGATTTAGACATGATTTCTGATTGGTCGTTTGTACTTTCTATATATAGATAGATGCGTTACAGGTATGACAGAAGTCGGATGCTGTGGTCGATTAATGTACAGTACAAAGAGGAAGAAATCCACGAAAAAAAAAACCTTACCCTTGCAGGAATTAAACGGGTTAATGGCCAATCAAACTCTTCTCAGCTACATGCAGGAGATGCACATGTACAGGTGTTCTCAGAAGTGGCATCTACTTGCCCAGAAGTTTAGCATGTAGTATTTTGTACTATGCGAAACAGCTGGTCATGAGCTGTCAGTTACTTTAGAGCAGACAAAAAACGAGGCACAATATGAAGAGAGTAAAAAATTAGCACTTTATGTTAATGCCTGAACTGTCTTAGTCTTAGCTTGATTCCACCATAGTTTGCACTCCATCCGCGCCTATGTATCTCAATGTGAAAACCAAGAGAGACTGCCCAGAATGACCCTATCCCATTGCATTTCGTTTATTCATGATAACATTAGGAAGGATGGTGGTCTCAAGAGAGAACCAACCGCATCCTCGCTAGTCATGGTTCGGAAACCGATAAGCCAACTTCTCATCGCTGTCTGAAAAAATCCACCGACGCTTCAGAAAGTCCCCCCTCAGCCTCCGATCTGTTCTTGATGCACCTCGAGAGTGTCTCCGTCGGCCATGTCGAGCTGCAATTATTTAACTGTTAGCATTCCATACGTAAAATGACTAAGCCCCAAAGAGATAATTAAGCAGTGGGAGTGCACCATGCTGCAGGAAATCTGTGCGCATGCCGCAACCCACAAGTCTGAACAACAAAAGAGAATAACGTACCGTTTCAGGCGTGTCCTCAGGACGTACTCGCGTTCCATCGAACAGGAAACGGACCGTGGACGGCTGTTTTCCCTGGCGCTCGCAGAAGGCATCCATGAGCTTCTTCAGCTGCGTGGTGCGCTTGATCTTGAAAAAAACTTCGTTATGGTTGTCCGTGACCTTGATATTCAGGTGCTCCACGGGCGCTGGGGCCCCTTCTCCCTGTCCTGCAGCTCCGGAATCGGCCATTTCTCTCGGCGAAACTGAATTTGGAGGATGAGGAGAGGAACGGGTTGTCAGAGGCGGGGTGGCAAGTGAGAATAGCGCTTCCTGAACGAAAGTCATGGTCAATTTCTGTGGAGAAAATGGGACCTGGATAAGCTACTGCAGGGCGAATACTTACAGGTGAGGCAGGGGGGAAAAATCAGAGGTTATGGAGGAAGAAGTTTGAGGTGAAGAAAGAGGGAAGGCGTGAATGAGTGAGATATAATCGCGATGTTGAAGGCAGCTGCCAGTACACCCCACCGGCAGCGGAGGACCCTCGGAAAATCTATTTTGCGGCGCAGCGACGATGACGGCAATGGTGAATGAGGCGGGCGGCGATCGCAGATCTGATAGTGAAGTCTCCTAGATCAAGGTTGAAAAGTTGACCAGGCTCGGGAATTAATAATAGATTTCCTTTCTTTCTTAGATTTGGCCTGTGCAGAATCCACTGACACTGCCAGGGAATACCAATCTCTGCGTCATGGTACGAGATGAACACTACCTAGTACGGTTACCAGCCCTGTTGCTGACGAATCGAACCCCCTAGGATAACCTCAAACATGATTTGGCGTATGATCCTCCCTGTCATCCCAGAGCGGTAGGTTGTCCCTGTCTGCGATTCCCTCTTACATTCCAATTCCTGTGTTAATCGACAGCCAGTGTGCTATACAAGGTGAGAAGGTCCCGTCCCATTGCGACATAGACCAAGCTAACCGCTCGAAAGACTGTTTAACCAAGAACTCCTATAAGGAAGAGAAGTGCCAGGCTCAGGTGAATGCACTATACGAATGTTGCAATGCTTTCTACAAGGAACGGGGAGAAGACGCAAAGACCCCCAGCTGTCCCAAGCCTAGCTTGCTCAAGCTGAAACTAAAGCAACGAGGGCTAGAAAGTTAAATGAGCGCCGTGGAACCTGGGAGTGAAGCCGTAGCGACGTTCCCGGATTATCAACCTAGATGACGGGGCGACTCTTTGTATATAGTGTTGGCATAGAGCAATCCTAAGACAAGTGTTTTTCCCACATTGCGTTGCCAAGATAGAGAGGGATGTGACAATTTCCTTGCAGTCTGGGCCCTGATGTCGGAAAGCAGGGCTGACTAATTGAGAAACTGACAAGTTGTTCTAAGACAACCTTGAGCACGGAAGCAAACACTGATCCGTTCGGTCCGAGACTCTAATGGTTGTCTATAAAGAAAGACATGTGATGAAAGGAAAAAGAAAGAAAAGAAGCAAAGCGAGCGATCAAGGCGAAAGATTTTAGGTGAAGTCACTGGATTTGACGCTAGTATATTTTCGGTTAGCGTCACTGTTGGCTGGGAGCCGGGGACGCGCGCTATGGAGAGTTTTGTGACCAAAGCTCTGGGCGAGCTACAAAAACACCGCCAGATTGCGCCGCACCAGAGAGCCGTCTGTTAGGGTTCTCTGTCCATCGACACACATGGCACCAGCGACTCGGTCAGTTGGCTCCTCGCAGGGTGCAGATATGGTGGGCCTTACAAGCGTGAGTGGCACACTGATTCCGCTGCTTGTTAAGTTTACTTTACAAACGGTGTTTTCAGGCATCTCAACCGTCGTCTTTGCACGAGCCGGAGGTCATAGAGATTGACGACGATGACGAAGACGAGGAAATCAACGATGCAGAAAGCGACGGCGGCGAAGAAGAAGTAGACGAAGACGAAGACGGCGGCGGTGACGAAGACGAGGAAGAAGAAGTTGAGGAATCCGGTGAAGATGTCAATGGAGCCGATTCCGTGATGGAAGACGCTGGCGTGGAATCCGCGGAGAGTGACCATGGTGCGTTGAAGCAGCCGATTTTCCTATTCGCTGCGGCATAAGCTGATTCTCTTGTGATTTCAAATAGGCGCCCAGGCGACAGCCCCAGCTTTGTTTACTTCTTCGGGAGTCCAACAAGCCTTACATCCCTTGCGACGTACTGCCGACCGTGTCACGCGCCAAATGGAAGCCTTTGCGGAGAAGCTGGACCGTTTCAAGCAGCAGGAGCACCGGCCCGGCGACATAGGTTCCTTCCAGGCCGCCTACTCACTTGTTAAGGGCTACCAGCGGCTCAGTCAAGATGCGATCCAGGAAATTTCGAAACAGAATACATTGCGACGGGCGAAGCTGGGCTGGAATTCAAGCCGTGAAAACGGGACGGACGGCCAAAGCGTACCAAAGACCGAAGAAGAATTGAAGAGACTCCAACTCGAAGTGGATACCTGGGAGATCCTGCTCAACTTGATCGCTATAGACGACCCGTCATCTCGTGCTCACGCCAAGCAGTCGCAGGAGTCGGCGTTCCAAAACTTGCACCGCTACTCTTCTGACCGAGAAATCTGGGAACAATTTCTGGATGCGGATCACTATGCAATGGAGTGCGTCATTGTCATGAAATGGCTCGAGCATACAGCGCGGGCCTCAAGCCAAGAAATTGATTCCTTAATCTCGGAACTAGAGGCGCAGGCGGAAAGAGGGCAAGGACTCTGGGCGCACGGTTGGCTCTATACCAAGGAGACAATCAAGGGGCAGAAACGACTGCGGTCCTGGCCTCAACCTCTAGAACCAGACGACCCGGGGATTACACTATCGCTCTTGAGCTCGGAAAAGCAAGAACCGTTGATTACCCAATTAGACCCAGATGCCGTCATTCGGCAGAAACAGGGTTTGCAGAAACAAGATCAGTTCTACGAACGGGCTACGTGGTTGACCTGCTGGAAAATGCTGAGACAGGGTGAAAGCTGGACCAAGATCCGAGAATGGTCTCAAGAGCGCTTGGAAAGCTGGCGCGCTGTGAGTTTATGCGGCTCAAGTGTCGACGAACGGTCTTCTGTCGGCAAAACACCTGTTGATGACAGCATGACGCGAATGATGAACTGCCGCTCCCAGGACACTTGGCGAGCAGCCTGTTCTGCCCTGGCGCGAGACCCGAATACCGAAGACTTTGAAAAAGCAGTATATGCCCTACTTTGCGGCGAACTTGAGCCTGCTTACAAAGTTTGTCAAAGCTGGGATGACTACCTCTACGTCTTCTACAACCACATACTACTCTCACGCTATCGGCAGTTTTGTACTCAGTTCTCCAGGAAACTGAACCACTCGCCGACAGCAAATGTGCCGTTTGTGCCTGAGCCTCCGAGCTACAGTGAGGTTCACAACTTCTTGCAGACTGTGAAGAGCAACGAGCGCGTCGGTGTCGAGGCTCGCAATCCGTACCGTACAATCCAGGCAGCTATTCTGAGCAAGAATTATGATTCATTCTTCCTTTCCATCGCGAATGCCGCGTCGCAAGCCAGTAAAGCGTCCGGGAAGCCTCACCTAATTCCGGATGTTAAGGCCACCCATGTGGAGGACTCGGCACTGATTGCAGCACAAGACCGGGACGCACTGCGGATTATCGCGCATTTGTATATCATTACGAGGTCTCTGGGTTACACTCGCTCCGACTCTCATTTCTCCGAGACCGCAGCACTGAATGTGGTTGCGTATATCGAGATCCTACACCAGGCCGGGCTCCTCGATTCCATCCCACTTTATGCGTCCCTCTTGCCTGCGCAGTTGTCTCAGAATGCCCTCGCGCGGATTCTGATTGACGTCGTCGATCCTCGAGAGAGGAAGAAGCAAGCCAAATTGATCGAAAAGCATAAGATTGATTTGAAGGCTGTTCTGGAACGGCAATGGAATTGGGTCCATTCAGATGTGATTAAGAAAAAGCATCCCGATTCCACAATCCGCCTGTCACGAACTGTTCGCGGTGTGAGAAACGATCCTAAGATATTGCCTGTGAGCAAGAAATTCGTCGGGGCTTCTATATCCCCGGAGGATGAACGGGCAATTCGCTGTCTGGAATGGCACAAATACCTTGACGGGCAATGGGCGGTTATTTGTGAGCTTGGCACATATCTGTATAAGCAATTCTTTGGTATGTCTTATTTCTACCCTCTCATGTAAAGTGAATATTCACGCTAACGACGGACGCAGCTTCTGGGAGTCTGATCGCATGTCGAGAATTGAGCAAACGCGTGGAGCTCTCGGAGACTTCCCGGGAGATATTAGGCTTCGACATTACAGAAGCTCCTCTTCTGGAAGAGGACGGACTCGAGAATAACGTGTCGGAGCCAACTAGCCCAATAAAGAGCCCTTCAAAGAAAGCACGGCTGCGTCAGCTGAGCACCGCCGGGTCCGAGTCTCAAAATAGCCGGATAGAGATGTATCAACAGGCTCAGATCATGCTCGAGTTGGAACAGCTCACTATTGCATTTGATGCTCTGGAGAATTTTCAACTCATTTGGGACGAGCATGAACGGTAGGATATTACTCTTGTTATTTTTTTTTAAATCGCGCTAACTAGTTTTGTAGGAGCAAAGGGTCACAAGACGCAGAGCATTTGCGGGAGCTTAAAGAGAAACTTCAGGAGGCTTTGGACCATGCTGGCGCATACATTGAATCTCTTTTCGATGGTGTGCTAACAGATGCCCGGGATGGTAAGGACTCTACCCCATCAAGCACAGTTACTGCTTTCTTGTAACACAGAACTGACTGTATCTAGAAACCGAGGCGGCAGAGCTCGAATTCATCCGACACACATACATTCCTGAAGTGTTGCTCAACTATCATAACGCTCTGTACTACGGGAGCCTCAAACTCTCGCGCGACATTCTTGTTCAGTGCATGAACCTATCCATATGGATAGCAAGGGATCAGAGCGTGATCGATAGTTTCATGGCGTCGAACCGGATGGGCGAGCTTGTGGATGCATTGGCATTATCGAGCGCGGCCATGGTCAACAGTCCCCTGCCAAAGGGCAAGAAGAAATTCGACTACGGAGGCCGACTCGATATCTGGCATATCAAGGCCGAGAATCGAGGTGAGAAGTCCGACAAGACTTGAGACATTCACGTTCTTTGGTCACACATACATACGTTTTGCATCTTTGGACATGTGAAAATCCTCTTATTCTATGAAGGGTCAGGCATGGTCATGACAACGGAATCGGGCTGGGATCTCTGGATCTTGTACAATTAATGTAGTGGGGGAAGTGTTTACTTCCGTAGATAGATAATACGTGTTGCATCGCCATCAATTTAAAGCATACAGAGCCATAATTATATTATTCAGGATATCTATCCTTATTACGACAGGATGGCTAGATGGGGGAAAGTGTGACTAGAGCAATGCATAGGAAGAGAAAGTTAATAGAACGGTCTACATGTATTGCTATTCAGCAGTGCATACTCAGCGTGAAGATACGAGCTCCGCCCTGCGTTTGACGCTGTGACTAGGTCCACAGATAATTATTAATGCCGGCTATAGAATGATCGATTGTATGCACGTATGGACGTCCACGGTGGGTTGACGACGAATCGAATCTCGACGTTCCGCTGCGCCCTGAGCTTGTCATCGACATCGCGTCTCTTCCTATACCTCCAATGACGCAGGGCGCATTTCTTGCCTCAAAGGTGTTGTGTGTGTCGACTTGATGAGCAAAAAGAAAGAAGTATAAAAATGGCGAAATCCGGATTTTTGAGCTTATGGCTTGTTCGAATCTTGTGTTCATCAAAACAGATCACCTGATACTGAAGCTTGTTCAGTATAGTACCCAGAAATTCATCATCACCTCGTACAGTTGTCCTTGATCCTTGCTTCACAAAGGACCAGAAGGAAAAAGGATTATCATGTCTTCCTCGAACTCCATTACAGAATATGGCTTGACTGCCGTCCCTGCATCTGCATCCACGCTTCTCAACTCTCCTCCCAAGCCGTCCTCGCCGCCCCCTTTCATCCCCGTCGCTGAAACGCCCGTGCCAACGACACCTCTGGCGAAGCGCGTCCAAGCCTACGCCAGCCAACACCTCCCCGAACCCATGTACCACCACGCCCTTCGGGTGTACCATTACGGTCTGGCGATCAAGAAATACCGCTTCCCGGGCTGGAACTTCTCTGACGAGACTTACTTTCTGGCGTGTCTGCTGCACGACATCGGAGCCACGGAGGAGAACGTCCAGAAGACTCGCCTGAGCTTTGAGTTCTACGGGGGATTCCTTGCGCTGGATGTGCTGCAGGATGCGGCGGCATCACCAGACGCCATAGCTCCCCGGGAGCAGGCCGAGAGCATCGCAGAGGCAATCATTCGCCATCAAGATCTGTGCGAAGTGGGAGCGATCACTGCCGTTGGGCAATTGCTTCAGCTGGCGACGATTTTTGGTATGTCTCGTTCAGAAGAGAGTAACTACTATAGATATTATACCATTGTCTGAACAAAGTATGCTTTTAACAGACAATACTGGTTCCTACGCGGATCTCGTCTATCCATCCACCATCGAGGACGTCTCAAAGCATTTCCCCCGTCTGAAATGGAGCAATTGCTTCGCGGCGACAATCCGTCGTGAGAACAGCCTGAAGCCCTGGGCTCATACCACCGTGCTGGGGGAAGAAGCGTTCCCGGCCAAAGTGCTGGGAAACAAGCTGATGGCTCCGTATGAGTGAGCTGGGACAATCATTACTCGTGAGTTTGTATTCTTTTGAAGGTGAGGCGATGTCTTGCAACGGAGCAACCTGTTCTACGTATATATATTTCTTGAAGCAGATTTTTTTTGCAAGAGGAAATGCACGACTGCTGCAGGTCCTCTACATACTCCATACGCCGTGTACGGAGTACGGAGTACTCCGCACTACTCCGTACTGATTCTCTCTGGCCCCCAGTCAAACGAAGTCATCATGATATAATCATCTAAGCCGAAAGCATCTTATCGTTCGCATTATCAACTAGTTACCCAGTAAGGTTGGACGATGCCCTCTAGTGACCTGTTAGCCTGCCGTAAAGCTCCACTACGACAGAGTCTATTGCAGGGAGTTGCATTGATAGTGCATGATTCCAGAGCGCTTCCCTGACGGCCTGACGACACCTCGACATAATACAACGTAATGAGCGTCGGGAGAATATTAAGCTGCCGTTTTCGACGGGTCGAGACTGCTGACATTTTGCCGCCGTGGTGGGCGAGTGACAAGGTTCCATGGACCATCAGGCCATCGGCAAACGTCGAGTCTGGGCCCCAGGGTCGGCCACATCTCCAATCTGAATGCGTCGGTGGACCGGCGTCGAGGACTAGGATCTCGCTAGAAGCTTAGGAAGAACTATGACGGAGGGCGGGCAGGCGTGGCCCCCTGCACGGAGATACGTAAGTCCGACAGGGACGCGGAACTGGGCAGTTAGGCACGGGACGCCCTCCTGGATGGCCGTTTGCTCTTGAGTTAAAAAGACTGATAATCAGATAACATTCCCCGCCTGTGAAGACCACAGAAGAACAACTCACCCTGCTTCCAAGACGTCCAACTCGACTGGCCTGAGTCACCCTTTCTTGCTCCGCAAATGCCTCACTTAGCTGTCTTCGGGCAGCGCTGGGAGGACAATCGCCAGGCGAAAGGGGTGATCTGGGGGAACTCCACATCCAATCACCGAATTTTAGCAGTGAGGCAGTGCAAGCGCCAAGCCATTCACATCTCATCCAGGTTTTCCCCCTTTCACTGAACGTGGATCCTGCGTGTTGTTGAATCGCCCAATGGCCACCCAATCCCGTCTGCAGTTTCCCCGGACCAGAAACGAAAGCGGCGTCGGTTGCGTGGACTGTGGACAGCAGTCTAGCGAGAGTAGCAGTATATGCTGGCATACCGGAATCGTGGACGGTTGATTCGCATTCCGCCGTGGTTGAAGGAGAGAGGAACCGGGCTTTATTATGCGTGTTATGCAACACTATTGGCGTTCCGCCTACCGCTTTGGGAGCAACAGCACACGTCCTGGATCCGGGCAGGTGGATGCCCTGGAGCTGTCTGCGTCTTGATTCGAGGCTCCAATCTCTCTGCTGCCAGAATTCACAGTGGATCCAGACAATGGAGCAGTCGTACGGTGCTCCGTACGGTTGACAGTACCGAGAGCCCGCTAGCTAGTAGCAACTGCCGCATTTTCTCCCCGTCCTGCTGTAAATTATTGTAATTAACCAGGATGCTTGCGTCCTTCCCTGTTCAAAGTTAAAAAAAAAAGCCAAGAGCGGGAAACCACCTAGTCACAGAGATCGGGACTGGTCTTTGTATCAATGTGACCGCTATTGACTGGTCCTAGCAGTCATACCGTACTCCTGTCCGGCTGCTTTCTCTGTCCGCACGCGGTTCCCATTGTCCCCAGTTCAACAACAACAACATCATCATCATCATTGTTAGCGTCCATTCCTTCGATTGCTGCCCTTGGACGCCGTCTTTGTCATTGATGGCTGGGAGTGTGCATCTTCTCGACGTATCCTCTATTGTTGTGGGTCTGAATCCGGGACGATCAAATCTCGCCCTTGACGTCGCTGCTAGTCTCCCTTGAGTCGATCCATGTTTCTGGCTTTTCCTGTGACCTCCACGCGCAGCCGGTACGTGAACAGTTTTGCTTTCTTACAGACAGCCGTCTTTCTCGTTTCTCCTCGGATCCATCATGTTTTGCAAATGTTCTGTGCCCTGATGGATGTCCCTGGCCCGCTGTGAGATCGTTCATCTTGGTTGACGTGATCTCGAGCAAGGGTCAATCAGGCTAATTTCTTCATGACATTTTGCGCTCATCTGACTGGCTCTTGCAGATATTCTGTCGCGCTTGTTTTGACAGTGGTCATGATTGTGACAGGACTGTGACTGCGGATCTAGGTGGTGTCGCGTGTGTTCGTTTGACTTCCTTTGAACCATATCTTCCGTCATCACGCGGAAATCTTCGTGAATCGTGACCATGTCGGGGTCTACTGGCGATGGGGAGAATCCAAGGCATTCCAACCCCCTGCGCCGTGAACGAGCTCCAACCATCACGATTGACACATCTGCGGTGAGCCCGGTGGACACGTCTTCCCGCCAGCAGAACAGTCCGGCTGGTCATCTCCAAGCTCCTTCGCTAGGTTCTCGCGAGAATTCAGACTTAGAGAGTAGGGGCCTATCTACGAGCTCGAGCGTCTCCCCTACCGATGCCCGCTCCACTCATTCCTCCGAATGGCGAGATCGAGAAAGTCGCCCGACGTCTCCACATAATGTGTCGTCTCCCACGTTGAGGTTGGGCGAATCCAATTCCAATTTCCTGTCCGTGCCAGGGACAAGGTCTCGCGGGAATTCCTTGGAGTCAGAAAGCACTGCTAGCCATTATGGCTCTCTCGGAGGAGACACCTACGTCCAATCCACCAACTCTCCCACCGAGCGTGCCTCGGGGGACCTGAGCCGAGGAAACAGCTACGTCATCAACGATGAAGAAGCTCTGAGGCCGGACCCAGGGACTGAGCAAGACTTCCAAGTGGAGAACAACAAATTCGCCTTCTCGCCCGGTCATCTGAACAAATTGTTGAACCCCAAGAACCTAGGAGCTTTCCACGCCCTGGGTGGTCTTTCGGGGCTGGAAAAGGGACTCAGAACGGACCGACGTACTGGTCTGAGCGTCGACGAGACCTATCTGGATGGGACCGTCAGCTTCGAGGAGGCCGTGAGGGCGACTAATGCTGGAGATCGGCCACCCAAGCCCGCTTCGCGAACTAACACGATGGGATCGAGCGCAACGAAGAGCAGTCAGAGCGAGGACGCTTTCGCGGACCGCAAACGCGTTTTTGGCACCAATCGACTTCCTACGAAGAAAATTAAGTCCATCTGGGAGCTGGCCTGGATCGCGTATAACGACAAGGTGCTGATTTTACTGACGGTTGCCGCGGTAATCTCCCTTGCTCTTGGAATCTACCAATCCGTTACGGCTACAGACGGCGAAGCGAGAGTTCAATGGGTGGAGGGAGTCGCAATCATCGTGGCGATATTGATTGTTGTCATTGTCGGAGCCGCCAACGACTGGCAGAAGGAACGCCAGTTTGTCAAATTGAACAAGAAGAAGGAGGATCGACTCGTCAAGGTCGTTCGGTCGGGGAAGACGGTGGAGATTTCAGTCTACGACGTCCTCGTTGGCGATGTGATGCACCTGGAGCCGGGAGATCTGGTGCCTGTGGACGGGATCTTGATCGAAGGTCACAATGTGAAGTGCGATGAATCTGCCACGACTGGAGAATCCGACCTGTTGCGCAAACAGGCCGGTGACGATGTCTACCGCGCGATCGAAAACCACGAGAATCTTTCGAAACTCGATCCCTTCATCGTTTCCGGAGCGAAAGTCTCGGAAGGCGTGGGAAAATTCCTGGTCACCGCTACTGGACCGAACTCGATATATGGGAAAACTCTGATGTCTCTCCAGGACGAAGGTCAGACAACGCCACTGCAGTCGAAACTGAACGTGCTCGCCGAGTATATTGCCAAGTTGGGTTTGGCCTCTGGGCTCTTGTTGTTCATCGTGCTCTTCATCAAGTTTTGTGTGCAGCTCAAAGACTACGGTAGTGCCTCAGAAAAGGGTCAGGCCTTCCTCCAGATTTTCATTGTTTCTGTCACGATCATCGTTGTCGCTGTTCCCGAGGGATTACCCTTGGCTGTCACCCTTGCTCTCGCCTTTGCTACAACGAGGATGCTGAAAGATAACAACCTGGTACGACTGTTGCGGGCTTGCGAAACAATGGGCAATGCGACCACGATCTGTTCGGACAAGACAGGAACACTTACACAGAATAAAATGACAGTGGTGGCTGGTGCCTTGGGGCCATCTTTTAGATTCGGGGACAAGCAGTCTACGAACTCGTCGCAATCGGAGAACCAGGGAGGTTCTGAGGCTCCTCTTGACGACGTATCTCCGTCCGAATTTGTCGGGAGTCTGTCACCGCCAGTCAAAGAAGTCCTCGTGCAGTCGATTGTCTTAAACTCTACGGCCTTTGAGGGAGAAGAAAACGGCACCCCGACGTTCATCGGGTCGAAGACGGAGACTGCCCTGCTGACCTTTGCTCGAGATCATTTGGCTCTGGGTTCAGTTAGTGAAGAACGATCCAACGCGGACATGGTACAGATGGTTCCGTTTGATTCCAGCCGCAAGTGCATGGCCGTCGTGATCAAACTGCAGAACGGACATTATCGAATGCTCGTCAAGGGCGCGTCGGAAATTCTCATCTCAAAATCGACCCGGATGGTCAGCGATCCGAAGAAGGGTCTGACAGAGACACCTATCACGGATAAGCAACGTTCGACCCTTGAAAGCATAGTGACCGACTACGCGTCCCGCTCTCTCCGAACGATTGCTCTACTGTATCGAGATTTCGAACAGTGGCCACCACGTGGCGCGCCTACACAGGAAGAGGATCGAAAGCTGGCAGTATTTGATGCTATCTTTAAGGACATGGTGTTTCTTGCCGTTGTTGGCATCCAGGATCCTTTGCGACCCGGTGTGACCGACTCGGTCCACCAGTGTCAGCGCGCGGGAGTATTTGTGAGAATGGTCACAGGTGACAATATTCTGACTGCAAAGGCCATTGCCCAGGAGTGTGGGATTTTCACCCCCGGAGGCGTTGCTATGGAAGGTCCAAAATTCCGGCAATTGAGTTCGAAGAAAATGAACCAGATCATCCCCAGGCTCCAGGTTCTGGCGCGGTCTAGTCCGGAGGATAAGAAGATCCTTGTTGCTCAGCTCAAGAAGTTGGGTGAAACGGTCGCGGTCACTGGTGACGGGACAAACGATGCTGCGGCGCTCAAGACAGCGGATGTGGGTTTCTCAATGGGAATCTCTGGAACCGAGGTCGCCAAGGAGGCCTCCGATATCATTCTGATGGATGATAACTTCACGTCCATTGTTAAGGCGATCGCCTGGGGTCGGACGGTCAATGACGCGGTGAAGAAGTTCTTGCAGGTCAGTCTGACTAGCGCTCCAGTACGTTGTACCCGCTAACTCCATTGTAGTTCCAAATCACGGTCAACATCACTGCTGTTGTTCTGACTTTTGTATCCGCCGTTGCCAGCGGGGATGAGAGCTCCGTTCTCACGGCTGTGCAGCTGTTATGGGTTAACCTCATTATGGACACTTTTGCTGCTCTGGCTTTAGGTATGGATCGTTCCCCTTACAAGTTCTGGCGAGATTGGTTCTGACTTAGTCGTTTTACTTCAGCAACGGATCCTCCTCCAGCTCATATCCTCGACCGTTCACCAGAACCGAAATCTGCCCCTTTGATTACATTGACCATGTGGAAAATGATCATCGGACAATCGATCTATCAGCTGGTTGTTACGTTGGTCCTGAACTTTGCGGGAATGAGTATCTTCAACTACTCAACCAAGGAAGAAATGGAAGAACTGAAGACTGTTGTCTTTAATACCTTTGTGTGGATGCAGGTCTTCAATCAGTACAAGTCAGTATCCCTCGGACTGACAAATCAAACCAGTTGCTGACTTTCAACAGTTGCCGCCGTCTTGACAACCGTTTCAACATCTTTGAGGGAATGTTCCGCAACAAATGGTTCCTCGGAATCCAGCTCATTATCATTGCGGGACAGGTGATGATTATCTTTATTGGGGGGCAGGCCTTTTCAGTCCACCGACTGAACGGACCCCAGTGGGGTTACTCGCTCGTCCTTGGAGCCATATCCGTTCCTGTCGCCGTCATTATCCGTCTGATCCCGGATGAGTTCATTCGTCGACTGATACCGTCGTTCTGGAATCGCAAGAAACAGCGTCCTCAGGTTCTGGTCTCGGACGAGGATCGGCGGTTCGAGTGGAATCCGGCTCTCGAGCAAATTCGGGATGAGCTCGCCTTCCTCAAGACGGTCCGTGGCGGGCGCCTCAAGAACATCCGACACAAGCTGCAGCACCCTGAGACTTTGCTTCCTCGATCGCGCAGTGGCTCACGCTCCCGGGATAACTCCATTCCGCCAACGCCGGTTGGAGACAACGATGCTTCGTCGCCTCCGCCTGCTACTCCGGATTCGCGGCGTTCGAGAATGCGGACCCGATCTCGCTCCAATTCTGCGTTTGGTCCCGCTGCCGCCATGGCGGGCGTGATTGCAGGCAGCGTGGCCGGATGGTCACCTATCGAAAGGAACCCCGGCGACTCGGATTCGTGGAATTTTTCGCGCAACAGTCCGCATTCCGGATTGGATCAGCAACAGGGGATTGAGATCCATCCGGACACAAGTGCTGACGACCCTATAATCGGGGATTACGACCTCTCGTCAAGCACGCCACCCAGCCAGAATCCGGACCTTGTCCCTGTTTTCGAGTACGCCCCTCCGGATCGCACGCCTAGCCGTGGGCGGCGTTCGACTTCGAGACGCTCGCGATCGAACACCAGCCGCAGCCAGTCTCAGCAGTGAGCTGCACACATACATACGTTTCAGCGTCGGATAGATTTGCTACCCTCGTTGTACTTTCCATTTCTACATTCCGAGTCCGCGTATCCAGTTGGGTCTGTTGTATTTTTGGCAGTTATGCATCCTTTCGTTTGTTTGTCATGGCGTCTAGAGTGTGGTTTGATCAGTTTATAGAGGTTTTGTTTCGGTGTTTACGGGGCACATCGCAAAGGAATCATCACATCTATCATTCTTCGGCGAAGTCTGGCCGTTTGCCGTTTGCATCTTCATGCTTTATGGCGGTTTCTTTTGTTTCCGGATCTTATTTCGCAAGCGGGCATTGTTGATTTGTTTGTACATTCTTACAATAACTTGCACATACATACCCCCCTCGTGTTTTTTATCTCATATCCTTTTCTTTCTTTTGGCCTTGGCCTGTCTCATTTGTTTCTGTTGTTGTGTTCATGCAGCCATTCCAGGGGACTTTTCGGTACAATGTGGCATTGGGTCCATGGCGGCGCTTGTGTGAGTATGTCGGTTTTGCAGATACCTAGAAAAGTTATAGAAATTGAGTTGTGGTTGCTTGTGAGAGTAGTGCAGGAGTCAGTCAATAAGTCAATAAATAATAAGCATCTGCTTAAGACGAATGATCGTTCAGTCTTGTCATGCATGCATTGCATTCAGATAGTTAACTGGTCAAATAGTAATATAATGATGATGATGATAATCTAAATAATATAATATAATAATAATAATGATTGTCATGAATAAAGCACGAAGAACGAAAAAAAAACAAAAAGGAACTGAAGCTTTAATTAAGATGTCCTGCCGCTGCTGAGGGAATGCGCTCGATTTCCAAAAATGGAAATTATACAACCTGGGCAAAGAATATACTAGGTAAGTAGGATGCGAGTAGGTGGCTAGGTAGCTAGCTAGTTGGTTGGTTAGTTGATCTTGATTGATTGACTACCTAGTCGTATTCACCCATCCCTGGTGGAGCTGGAGCTGGAGCTGGACATCATTTTCTCCTCCGTCCTGCCGGATACATGGAGTAAAAATAATACTAGTAGTTCTATTTACCTTATCGGATGAAAGAAATAAGAGGAGGAGGAGGAGGAGGAGGAGGAGGAGAAGGCTACAGGCAATAAATAATAGGGCAAAGCTTTCAAGAGGATTCGAATGTAGTTAATTATGTCAGTACAGTACACTACATATCCAAGGGTTGGGGTTGCTTATCAGCATCATTATCAGCATTATTAGTATCAACGTCAATCAATCACTAAACCCAGTAAAGTACTGATATTACTGGTATTTATATATCTGATGTAATGCACGGCTTTCTTTATAGGGTCAATTTAAGCGTTTAAACACGTCGAGTCAAATCAAGCCATGTCAATATCCATCAATCAATAGTGGGGTGAGCGAGCTCGCCAGATCGACTGCTCTCGACAGGAAGTACTACATAGTAGATAGGTAACTTAGTTATCTAGTGGCGCTATAATAGCAACCGAATCAGCTTGGTTCGGTCCCCGTAACTCACTCTGTAGGTTATCTATAGAGGACGTGATTGACTGACTGGCTGACTGACGCGGACAGGTAGATATGCATGTAGATCGATTGATTAGTTGATTGCTTGTCAGACGGGACGAGGGCTATGGACAAACCCCCTTGATATCCCTGCCTATGCTTTTGTGTTGAAGAATGATAAAAGCATGGACTGGCCGCCGTTTATCAGAAAAAAAAAAGAAGAGAGAGAGAAATTTTATGATTCTCTCTCTTTTTCGTTTTATTTTTCCTTTTCGGAGTTGGATTGCGATTGATTAATGTTACGGTGCAGTCGGCCTGCCTCCTTGCTTCCGTCTTTCCTGCCTACCTGCCACGGTCGCGACAGGCCGTAACAGCTATCAAGGTCTAAAGGGAGAAAAAAAATCACGCTGCTTGCTCCTCCACTTGATTCGAACTTGATTCGAACTTGACGGCAAAGGTTCACTTCACGAGATTCCACATGGACAAAGATCTAGAAAAATCCCTATCCTCCTCGGCGGAGGGACAGAAGACGGTCAACGATGAAACCCCGGATCCAGACCTACTAAAGCGAGAGTAAGAAGAAGAGATCGGCTCGTCCTCGACGATGATCTCGAAATTCTCGTCTCTTAGTCAATGGCTCAACCACCTGGAATCCATCACGGGCATCGAATCCCGCGGTATCGAGCGCGTTCCGCCGGACGAACGCTACGAGGGCTCGTTTGTCCAGATGCTCCTGCTCTGGCTGAGCGCTAACCTCACGGCCAACAATACGCTCATCGGCGTTCTGGGCCCGGTCGCCTATGGCCTGGGGTTCACGGACGCGGCGCTCTGCGCAGTCTTTGGCGGGCTTTTGGGCTGTGTCGGAGTTGCGTATGTGGGAACTTGGGGTCCGAGGAGTGGGAATCGAACGCTGGTATGAAATGACTCGGCTCTCTTTCTGTCTAATTGTTGCGCTCACGTTCTTGATAGATCGTCGCGAGATATTTCATGGGCTACTATCCCAGCCGGATCTGCTGCCTGCTCAACATGGTCATCATGCTGGGCTACGGCATGATCGACTGCGTCATCGGAGGCCAGATCCTCTCTTCGTGTCTGACGGCCGCATGACGGTCATCGTCGGGATCATCGTCGTGGCTATCGTCTCGTGGCTGGTCGCCACGTTTGGCATGCGCGTGTTTCAGACCTACGAACGGTGGGTGATTCAACTGGTGATCCTGGAGTCGAGCTGGAATTAATAGAGCTGTCCTAGATACTCGTGGCTCCCGCAGGCAATCGTCCTCGCCGTTATGGCCGGAACGGCAGGCCCCAAATTCGACGTGAACAGCCAATCTATCGGCTCAGCTGAAACGATCAACGCCAATCGTCTGTCTTTCTTCTCTCTGGCCATCTCTTGTGCCATTGCCTGGGCGCCGGCCGGAGCGGACTACTATGTCTACTACCCGGCCAACTCGCCGCGCTGGAAGATCTTCCTGATGTCTTTTGTTGGCTTGGGTCTCGCTATTGCTGTGACCCTGCTGCTCGGCGTCGGGGTCGGGTCCGCTATCCAATCTGTGCCTGAATGGCAAGATGCATACAACAACACGCCAGGGAACCTGCTGGAGGCGACCTATCTTCCGGTCAACAGCTTTGGGAAATTCTGCGCGGTGGTCGCCGCTCTGGGGGTGATTGCCAACAACATCCCCGGCACGTACTCGGCGGCTCTGGCCTTCCAGATCCTGGGACGATATGGTCTCTTGGTCCCTCGCTCCATCTGGACGATCGTGTGCGTGATCATCTACACGGCCTGCGCCCTGGGCGGCCGGAACTATCTCTTCGACATCTTCGAGAACTTCTTACCGCTGATGGGGTACTGGATCGTCATCTGGCTGACGATCATGCTCGAGGAGGACCTTATCTTCCGGCGCGGCAAGCCGTATGACTGGGAGGTATGGCATGACCGGAAGAAACTCCCGCTGGGGATCGCTGCGTTCACGGCGTTTGTGATCGGTTGGGTCGGCGCCATTATCGGGATGGTGAGTTCTGATTCTCCAGCAAACATGGAGTATCAACTGACGGTAACAATTTCGGTACAGTCGCAAGTATATTATATCGGACCAATTGCCCGAGCCATCGCGGGGGGCTGTGACCTTGGGATCTATCTGGGCATCGGGTTTACGTTCTTTGCGTATCCACCACTGAGGGTGTTGGAGCTGTGGAAAATAGGCCGTTAATGAAGACTTTTTTTTCTGATTTTTCTTTTTTCTTTTTCCTTTCTCCTATTTTGTCAGTGGTTTCGAAGTTCTTTTCACGTTATTTTGATTGCAATAGCAGATGCAGTAATGTTGAAGTTCGTACTAAATCGAGGTCAACAGTCATATGATTGGCAGATCACATCACGTGCGAGTATGCTTTGTGACCAGCCTGTTGTATTTATCGATCAATTGGGAATGTGTCTCCCATTCACGTTCAGGTAGCCACGTCGAGTCCACTGCCTGATCATATGTAACCAGATCCAGGAAAAAAAAACTCCACAATGTGGGTGGGCATTGTGGGACAAAGTACCGACACTTTGTACTGTACTGTACGTACCCATTTTCAAAAGCTACGGCAAACATCAGTAGCATTTAATAATAAAACAGGCATATCCTGTTTGGAATAATCATACAGCATTATACTCTTTTTTTTTCTTTTTCAACAGTGCTAGCTTTTGTTAACACTAGTACGGAGCACATACAGAGTAGAGTGGAGATGGAGGAAGACAGCGGCAGGCCCGTCCTAACCTTAAATTCCTAGTGTCGGTAGTTAAATCGATAGTTCCTACGCACGGAGACTGAGTACGAAGTCCTGTAAACCCGTCTGTTAAGAAGCAATAGTGGTATTATATTGTAAAGTAATAATAATTATTAATGTGTACTGTACATACACTTTAAATCCAGCAGAGTTTAAAAAGAAAAAAAATAAATGACAGACCTTTCAATCCCCAAGGTTAATAATAAGGTTGGTCCACTTAAAGTTCTCACCACAGTCAGATGATCTGTTTATTTGGGACTTTTTTTACATAAACATGCACGACATGGGAACCTCGTGAACATTACTGCAGGACCAATACGAGGTCCTTGCGTTTAAAGCATATAATAACTCCTTCCTACCTATCTATCTACCTGCTTACCCCGCGCTGTCTTTTTTCTCTTTTGTACTCTACACGGAGGTCACTGTACAGAGTACTGTACGGTGTACCTCGACATCATCCACAGCATCACAAGAACAATGGAAAACATAACGACGGCAATCAACTACCTCAGCAAGCACTCATCCAGTCTACACCAATATCCAGTGGACAGGATACTTCTCGACCATGCCTCTCTCCGGCAGATCCTCACCTACGTCGTCCTGCCAGTCCTGGCCGCGTATCCCGTTCTCACCTCGTTACTCCGCTTCCGCCGCGTGAGGAAGCTCCAGCAACAGTACTCGCAGTACTCGACACGGGAGTCTTTTTCCCGGATGACGGATCGCGATGCGTGGGAGATCCAGAAGGTCATTGCGCAGTTGGAGTTTCCGTTCATGTACGTCAAGGCGCTGCAGTTTGCGCTCTTCAGGGTAGGTAGTAACTGATCAGGAGGAATGATGGAATTGCCATTGCCATTATATGACCATTGCTTGATCTGCCACTGACATTCTGACAGACATACGGCATCCCAACCATATCGCATACCCTGACGAAAACCTCCCAATTCTCCGACCCGCGCACCGCCTTCAAGCGGTATTCCGACACGTCGCTGCTGGTCACCGAGTTCGTCACATGGGAGCCCTCGTCGGAGCGGGCCCAGGCAGCAATCGCGCGGACAAACTACATCCATAGCGGCTACCGGTCCTCGGGGGCGATCCGCGAGGAGGACATGCTGTACACGCTGAGCCTCTTCGCGACGGAGCCGATCCGGTTCATCGACACGTACGAGTGGCGGAAACTCACGGAGCTGGAGAAATGCGCCCTGGGCACGTTCTGGAAGAGCGTCGGCGACGCCATGGGCGTCAGCTACGAGCCTCTGCCGTCCTTCCAGAATGGTGGTTTCAGGGACGGCCTGCATTGGCTGGATGAGATTTCGGCCTGGAGTCAGGCGTACGAGGCCAGGGCCATGGTGCCGGATCAGAAGAACAGAGAGACGGCCGACCGGACGACGGCTATCTTGACGTACATGCTCCCTGAGCCACTCAAGCATGTCGGGTTGAAATTCGTCCCGTATATGATGGACGATCGGCTGCGTCGAGCGATGCTGTAAGTGAGCCTTCAATCAGTCGATCGATCCATCAATCAGTCGACATATAATCTTCAAGGCTAAAGAATTGACGAAGATACGACCCCCCACCGCCCCTCTACGCAACAATCTTCTCCTCCCTGCTGCAACTCCGCAAATTCCTCCTCCGGTACCTGGCCCTCCCCCGACCATACTTCCTCCGCTCGACGGTCCTCACCGAGAAACCCGACCCGCAGACAGGAACCTTCTACGTGACGAAATGGGACGCGGCGCCGTACTACGTCAAGCCCACGGTCTGGAACCGCTGGCTCAGTCCCACGGCGTGGCTGACGCGCCTCCTGGGGCTTCCTGTCCCGGGCGACGAGGGGGATAAGTACTACCCGAGGGGGTATGACATTGCCGATGTAGGGCCCAAGGCGTTTGCAGGGAGGGGGAAGGAATATATGGACAGACAGAAGGAGATGCTGAGGAAGGAGAGGACGGGGGGGTGTCCGTTTCATCCTTAATTGATTATGAATTAACCACCCTGACCTGTTGGACAGCACACGCAACGCATATCGGCACATGATATACTCCTGATATCTTTCATACGTAGACGCACACACGTTCCATTTCTATCACTAGAGCACGACAGCGAAACTGATGCAGGAAATTACATAAACTGGAAAGACTGGAGACTGATATTATTAATATCTACCCTCTTAATGTACTACGTTATGGTATAACTTGTATTATGTTCATATTTAGTAACAGCTAGCTAGCTGAATGGGTAAGCGGATAACATCCGGCAAGGTTCAACTTTTAACAAGAAAAGTAATAAAAAACGCTCGTCGAGTCAAGGGTTGATTGCCTGATTTAGATCAGATCGACAGACAATCAAAACCGAAGAGAATGTGGAACACAAAATGGCTGCAAGAGGGTATTATTGCGAGCGGAACCGCCAAGTCATTAAGCCCGAGGGCCAGTTTACTCCTCACCCTCAACGGGCTCCTCCTCAGCGTATTCCTCCTCGCCCTCCGAGATGGAGGCATCCTGGTACTGCTGGTACTCGGAGACGAGGTCGTTCATGTTGCTCTCAGCCTCAGTGAACTCCATCTCGTCCATACCCTCGCCAGTGTACCAGTGCAAGAAAGCCTTGCGACGGAACATGGCAGTGAACTGGTCACCGACACGCTTGAACAGCTCCTGGATCGCGGTGGAGTTGCCGACGAAGGTCGACGACATCTTGAGACCACGAGGAGGAATGGAGCAGAGAGCAGTCTGCACGTTGTTGGGAATCCACTCAACGAAGTAGCTGCTGTTCTTGTTCTGCACGTTGCGCATCTGGTCCTCGACCTCCTTCATGGAGACCTTGCCACGGCTGGTAGCAGTTAGTACTGTCGTACTGCAGTATAGATTGACGGGATCAAGGGGTGGCTTACAAGATGGCAGAGCAGGTCAGGTAGCGGCCGTTACGGAAGTCCGAGGCGGCCATCATGTTCTTCGGGTCGTACATCTGCTGGGTCAACTCGGGAACAGTGACGGCACGGAACGAGTGGGCACCACGGCTGGTCAGAGGAGCGAAACCGACCATGAAGAAGTGCAGACGAGGGAAAGGAACCATGTTGACAGCCAGCTTGCGCAGGTCAGAGTTCAGCTGGCCAGGGAAACGCAGACAGGTGGTGACACCGGACATGACGGCTGAGACCAGGTGGTTCAGGTCACCGTAAGAGGGGTTGGACAGCTTCAGAGTGCGCATGCAGATGTCGTACAGGGCCTATATCCGTTAGCACACGATTCAGCCTTTTTTTTCTAGTTGAAATTGCCCACCTCGTTGTCAATGCAGAAGGTCTCGTCAGAGTGCTCAACAAGCTGGTGAACGGACAGAGTGGCGTTGTAGGGCTCAACGACAGTGTCGGACACCTTGGGAGACGGCACGACGGAGAAGGTGGCCATCATGCGGTCCGGGAACTCCTCACGGATCTTGGAGATCAGGAGGGTACCCATACCGGCACCGGTACCACCACCGAGGGAGTGGGTGATCTGGAAGCCCTGGAGGCAGTCACAGGCCTCAGCCTCACGACGGACGACATCAATGACCTGGTCGACAAGTTCGGCACCCTCGGTGTAGTGACCCTTGGCCCAGTTGTTACCAGCACCGGACTGACCGAAGACGAAGTTGTCGGGGCGGAAAAGCTGGCCGAAAGGACCGGCACGGACGGCGTCCATGGTACCGGGCTCCAGGTCGACCAGGACGGCACGAGGCACATACTTGTTACCGCTGGCCTGCTTCATGGTTCAGTGATTTAGATCGTTCGTCAGACAGGTCTCACCAACCTCGTTGAAGTAGACGTTCATACGCTCCAGCTGAAGGTCAGAGGAGCCATTGTAGCTGTGCCAAAATCAGTCAGGATGGGAGTCCTTTTCTCCCGAAATCACGAACAACACTCACACTCCGGAGCCGTCAAGGCCATGCTCGCCAGAGATGGTTTGCCTGGGAAAAGGTCGGCGTCCTATTCAACTCGAACGCGAGGCCACACGAGCTTGTCGACTTACCAGAAAGCGGCACCGATTTGGTTACCCTGAGGGGAAGCACCGTCTTTTAGTATACGCCCATAAAAACGGAGAATGGAATCTTCAGTTTATCGACGAGGTCGCACTTACGCACTGGCCGGTCTGGAGGTGAACCTGTTGAGCAGAAGAAAGGCCGTGTTAGCAGGGCTGCATGGTCACAAAACAGGTGGGGGGTAAACGATCAGGGGCCCAGAGAATTGGTGCCCGAGACGCGTCGGGGGGTCAACAAACGTACGATCTCACGCATGGTGGCAGGAGGTGGATGGAATTAGGCTGGATAGGAGGTCTGGAGCAGGAGGAGAGGAAGGGTGAACGGCAGACAGAGGCCACGGAGAGAGAGAAGGTGTTGAGGGCGAGGAGGAGGATGGGAAGAAGTTGGGTTGAGCGGTCAGGAGCAGGAGACAGGGCGTCTGTTGGCGTCTGGCGCCTCCTGTGTTGTGCGCCGCCAGCAGCGTCCACGCCGTCCCGCGATAGGGGCCCCGGCCCAGCCCAATGCGGTATGGCGCCTTTCCCTGGCTCTGGTTGCCCGTCACGGGACCGGCCCAGGCACGGAGCTTAAGCAGCAGGCCCTGTGGTTTTTTTCTTCTCGAATACGAATGTCTACGAGCACGTATTCATCAAGCAGAGAAACTGCTGTTTTGATAGTACGCAGTAATTGCGACCACAGTCCGGCAATCGTCGAAGCTGGATGCAGAACAGCCACGACAGGCTGTACAGTTGTTCCTCGAGCCCCACAGACACCCAACTTTTTAGACCGTGAGTTAATTACATAATGAGCCAGGAGCGGTTAAGCCAGTCTGGAGTCATGGCTGTAAGCTCCGCTGGATCAAAACATTCCCTCCTGTACGGAATACTCCGTATCGAACAGCTCTTTCAATGCAGCCTGTCTCAGAACTGGATGCAGAAGTAATCCAAGAAGTTGACCGTTGCGCCATGAGCAACAGTCATCCCGCCCTATTACCATTATTTGGAAAACATTATGTAGCCTAATCCGTACACGGTCGTAAATCCCTCGAACAGCACATAGGGACAATGAATCTCCAATGCCAAATATACCCTCCAATAAAAGTACAAGAAAAAAAAAGTCGCAAAGATCCAACGCCTATTTCGCCCTGCTTTCAACGATCCTCTCACTCTCCCTGGAACTCTCCAGCCAGGATCCAAACTTGTCCAGTCTTCGACTTTCTTCGTCCTCGCCTCCTTCCGCTTTATCCTCGAGGGCCGCTCGTTTATCGTTGGTCTTCTTGAACCGTTCCGTTCCGTCAGCGACGTACGCTTCGATTTGAGCACCGGCAAAATAACGACCATTCATAACCTGAACAAAAAAAAAAGTCAGTCTCTTCATCACAGTAATCTATACATGTCGTCGACACTAGATCACGGGGAATACCCACCCTTGCACACTGTCTTGCCGCCTCGGGGTCGGAGAATTTCACGGTAACCACGCCTTCGGGTTCCTTGTCGAAGAGGACAACATTGGTCACATCGCCCAGCTTGGAGCATTCCTCTCGGATATCTTCTTTGATATCGAGAATCGCTGCGGGATCCTCCTGCAGCCAGTGTGAGTCCCAGGTCCAACCAGGCCAGCTTCTGATTGGCAATACGAACCTCAATCTCTTTCAGCGTGAACATATGCTTGAGTACCACGACTTTCTCCCACCTCGAAGACGTGCCAGAAACCGCAGAAGGATCGTAGTCATCCCAATCTGCCAATTTACTGAAAAGACCGTCTCAGTACCACTCAAAAAAACTGCGAATCAATGTCTGAGGGACATACTTATTTAGCTTCTGGGTTTTCTTTATGATCTTTCTCTTATCTATCGCGCTGAGCTTCTCTGGAGCTTCCTGTTGACTCTTGAACGAAAAATCTGCCGCTTGAACTCTCATCGGGCCCTGCGGTCCGGCAACACCCAGCCGGAAATCGGTTTCGTCCAGCATCTGTATCGCGAGGTTGACTGATTCGGGTCGGAAATATACGACCAAGGCCTCTCCCTTGAATTGGCCCTGTTCATCCGTGTACATCTTGATTCGTGGCCGTCCGCTATCGATCTCCTCAGCAATCACCCCGCACTTGGAAAATACATCACGAATCTCCTCAAACGTCGCGTCTAGGGGTATCGATGTGACATAGACTGCGGTATTAACGCGGGGCTTCTTCGGCTTTTGAGCATTCTCCTGCGTTGAGGCAATTTGCGTTAGAATGAAATGGACACGAAAGCGGTTTATTGCCTATCTCTCTCTCACCTCGTTTCCGCTCGCCTGCTGCTTTCGTTTCTTTCTCAACTGCTGTTTTGTGACCGTCTCGTTTTCGTCCACGCCTTGTACTTTGTACGCTTCTTGCTGTTGTTGAAGCAAAGCATCGTCGACCTGTAGGATCTCAGCCAGCGCATTGGTGCGCGCAGCACATGATTAGCCTCGACTGTGCTGAAAACAAGCCCTCTGCGATAAAGAAACCGCAGGCAAAAGGGGCGGTCTTGCGCAAAACGCCTGACTACCCACCTTCGGAATCCACCGCTTCAAAGCTGTATCAAACTCGAATTCCTGGCCATCTTCGGTCTCCAGGATGAACTTGTTATCGAGCTTCGAGAACGAGATACGCGGGTCGCTGTCGAACTCAGCAGGGTCTCGTGGGAATCCTGCCGCTGGCTCGATCGCAGGCGGCGCGGTGGCAGCGGCGTTGTCGTCGGGATCCCGCAGCGCCATGATCACTGGGGAAGCGCACAAGCTCCGTACGAGTCAATCAATGGCTGCAAGTCAACGTGAAAAGAAGTCCAGGATTGAAATTGCGGGGATAAGAGAGGAACAGCGATGATTTTGGTCAAGGTGCAGAGGTGATATCAGATGTTGTCTTCCGGAGCTGGTAGCCTGGTGCAGCTGCAGCAAGCTTGGCTATCGATTGGAGGGGCGGAGCTCGCCCAAGCTCCCGCCCATGGACATGCCGAGAACGCCTAACTCGGCCTCTTAGAAACTTCCAGGGTTCTACGATGATTTCGTTCTGTACTCCGCTCTCGTTGTCTGATGTCTTGTGTCATATTCATACAGCTTAAACAAATTCCACGAGCTATCTTGTATGCGAACTACATATATAATTGCACAATACTGCGCTTTCAGAGTTGTATCTCGGTGCTATAAATACATGTTTTCCATTAGGGTATCTAACAAACCACAGCTTAATCACAGAAATATGTTATGAACAGTCCCTGAACAGCAGGCGTCACCAGAAACAGCAAAAAAAAAAGAGGGGATTGTGCAGCTGAATGTGATGCCTTTATCCATCTCTAACGCAGATGCATACCCCAAAAACACACCATTCCCTGAGTTTAATAGGAAATCTAGGTAACGAAAGGAAGGCTTCTCGCACCTAAGCCTTGGCTTCTACAGGCTCAGCCTGCTGCGTCCCAGAGCTTATGGAATGCTTCGAGCTTCGATCCAAGGAATAAGCACCTTCAGAAGTGGGAAGGACATCTCGAGCGATCTCAACGTAATCATACTGCAAACTCTGTCAGCCACACTGTTCAAAAACAATGATCCAGCACAGAGATGGGGAAACATACGGCAAATTCACCAATCTCGGCATCGTCGATGCCCATGATCTCATCTTCCTCGGATGCGCGCAGGCTGAGACCGGGAATGAAGTTCATAATCAGAAGAATAATGCAGCTTCCAACGAAAGAATACGCGAATCCAGACACGGAGTCAGCCAGCTGATATCCGAGTTGGATATAGTTGTGGTTGATCCAGCCTCCTGGAATCACTGTGGACCCGTCGAGGCGAGCGATGTAGTCGCTGTATTCCAGTGTCAGCCATCCATACCCTGTGCAGTTGGAGAGGGTCAACCCAGAGATACTTACGCCGCAAACAAACCAGTTAGAAGATTACCAACAAGACCACCAATTGCATGGACGGCAAAGATATCCAGTGCATCGTCCACGCCCAAAAGATGCTTGATCTTGGTTGCGTAGTTGCATGCGGCACCACCCACAACGCCGAAGATCACGGCCGCCCACGCAGGGACATATCCGGAGCCCGGGGTGATCGCAACAAGGCCAGCAATCACACCAGAGCAGAAGCCAACAGTCGACCATTTCTTCTCGAGCCTGTAGTCAAGAAGACACCAGGTCACCCCGCCGACAGAAGCTGCCAGGTTGGTGACAACGGCTGCCATGACCGCACGGAGGTTGGCACTCAGGGCGGAACCAGCATTGAAACCAAACCATCCCACCCAGAGGAACACAGTTCCAATAACCACGTGGGTAACATTGTGCGGGCGATAGTTGAGCTCGTGGGTTCCATGACCGCGGCGCTTGCCCAGCATGAGGGAATACGCCAGAGCTGCAGAGCCAGAGGAAATATGGACAGGAGTGCCACCGGCGAAATCGAGCCCTCCCAGCTTGTACACCCAACCAGATGGATTCCAAGTCCAGCAGGCGATGGGGTCATAGATGATGGTCGACCACACGAACATGAACACCACACAAGGCAGCATACGACCACGTTCAGCGACGGCGCCGACAGCCAGAGCGACCCTTCATAAGAACGATTAGCAATCGACTATAGAGCCCGAACAATTGTCTCTCTCAACTTACGTGATTGCCGCAAACATGCCCTGGTAGATGGCGAACAAAAGGTCTGGGATCTTCGAGCTCCCCACGGACGGGGCGGCGAGAACGTCCTTGAATCCAAAGTTCCGGAGATCACCGATGTACTTGCCCGCCGTGTGCGAAAAGGCCAGGGAGTAACCCCAGAAGAACCACTGGAATGAGATGACGCCGACAGACATGATCGAAAGCCAAATGAGGGACAGAGCGGACTTGCGACGAGCGAGACCGGAGTAGAAAAACCTGGACTCTGTTAGATAAGTGTTTGACTTGGAGGGTTTGGAAACGGGGCAGCATTATGACTTACCCGACTCCAGGAATCATGAGCAGGACCAGAGCGGTGGCCACAATCATCCACGAAATATCGCCAGCCTATGCCGACAGTCAGCTACACCGGTGATGTCCACGGTGGCAGATGCCTGCGGAGCGCCGAATTGGGGAACATACATTGTAAAAGACATTGAGATCCTGGTTGAGGGGATCGCCACCGGTCCCGGTGGCTGATCCGTTGTACGGGACCAGGACTACGTAGTCGCCCGAGTCCGACATGATTGATTTCTCTACTCAAGACGGCCTCTGGCGAAGTGCGTGGAAGATGTGAAATCCCAACTCAGGGGTTATCACGACCCCTACGTCGTGTAAGACACCGAACCTGGAGGGGTGGAAGGAGGGACAACAATGCAGTGCCAGAGCAAAAGACGTATGCAGAGCTTCTTACTCGAATGAAAGTGAAAGAATGAAGGGTGCAAACGGAACGGTAGGGTCAATAGATATAATCCAACGCGGCTGACAACTTGGGTACCTATGCGAAACAAATCGGGCCTGCATAGCCTTAGGGAAATCGATCCACAGGATATAGAGCCAACGCCAAGAGAATGGAGAATAGAATTAACTCTGGAACAGATTGGCAAGATGTCCCGCAAGAGTGTCCACTAGGTTGCGTGCCAAATTTCCTTTCTATGTGACCCCCAAGCGCCACCAGGGCTATTAGTCGCGGCGACAGGATGGGGGTGGAGTCAGTCTACAGATTACGACGGCCAGGCACTGGAGATTTCATGCATTAAGGTCTCCAATAATGCCCGGTAGATCGGCTGCCATTATGAGTATCTCTACCAATCTAGATCTCCCCTTGTTTAATTGCAGCTGACATGTCCTCGAACAACTCGCTCTGCTACTGCTACTGCTACGTCGCAGAGGAATTGAGCATGCCCCTCGAGACAGCAGGCCCCAGACAAGCCAGGACCTGGGTCCTACTCTGCTTCGTCTTACTACAGGAGCAGGGATAAGTTCCATCCCACGAGACCCATGCGAAGGGTCCAGCTGCCCGGGTGGGATGGCCTCGAAGAATGACGGCAGGAGCCGCAGATATGAGACAGCAATGGGCGAATGAGAGCACGGAAAACGAAAGCTGACAAGGGATTGTCGAGTCATGGCGATGGGTGCCTGGCTGTGCATCCAACATCAATCTCGCCCGAGCTGGGTCTGCGGTTGATCTCTTATCTTGTCCTTATCTCTTGCGCGAGAGCCAATCAGCGGCCGCCATCTCTCTTCTGTCAATTCCTTCCCTCAAACGCATTATTTATTCTTATTACTACCTCTGTCCCTGGATCTTGTTATCCATTATCATTGTTTGCTTTTTCCTTTTCTGTTTGTCAAAACTCACGCATATGATGATTATCAGCCACCTGGTTGCCAGTGATACCGGCACGGATTCACTCGCTGTTTTTAGACTACGATATGAACGCTATTAATGCTCCCAGGCGCGCAGGATTATGTGATTCAGCTGTCTTTAATAGGGACACATGGGAGAGACAAGCTGCTTACAGCCTTACACTGCTCGATCTCTAACCTGCCCATAGCAATCCCAATTGTGGCAGAGGTGGAAGAGATCGGGAAACCGTGCTCCACAGTCGTTGATAAGCTCGTGTTGCAGTTATGGCAGGAGCACTCCATCAATTCCGTTTCTTGACAGTCAAGTTGTCGCCCAGACTTCTCCGCGGCATATTCCTATCTAGAGTTCCAGAATTATCGAGGAGCGCAGGCTCTGGAGATCAGTCTGGAGTATTAATTCTGAATGAGAGTCGCAAAGATAAGCATGACCGCTGTCATTGGCCGAGTCTAACTATAATTAGGGCGAGCGAGATAGCGGGCTTGGCGGATGACAGGAAGAAACAGCCGAGTCTGTCCGCCCAGATCTCGCCTGCTGACGAGATCCGGAATCCCACGTTGTTATTAATCGAGACTATTCTCGTGAGTAATGCACCATACTCCGTATATTACTCCGTATATCGCTCAGAAAATTGAGAGAAGGACACACCTTGCAGGGCTAAGTTATGTGAGTGCAGTGTGGTAGCAATCTGTTGCAAACCAAAACCGCCAAACGCATGGTGTAACTAGAATGCAAGGATACTGCTGCGATGAGCCTGACTGTTTTCAGCTTAAGAGCTCACCAAAACGCCCAGAGAGCATCATATAATACTTAGTACTAGAGCACCAGCTCGAATTCTCTTCATTAACTCTAGCATGCACTCTCTCCTTGGTTCTGAGACCTTCGTGAGTCAAACGCAGGAGTAATAGGTATCTACCCTGGAGTGACATGGGCAGACACTGAGATGAAGGAGCCAAAGCACGAGTATCACGGTATAATTCAAATATATACTGCAGTATGCAAGTCATTGCTTCATCTCCATTTATTTCCCCGCATCATTTGATCGAGCAGTCTCATTGGTTCTGCACATAGCAAACACCAGCTCTCATTCGTATTGCCCTGTGTGACAGAATTTCTACGCTGTTCGATCGAATACCTTACTGTACATTGTACTCGGCCGTACCTTGATCCGGCTCCAGCTTGGGAAACCGTTAATTAATTCCAGGGACCTCAGGCATGCGATCCTGTCCGAGGCCACCCTTCACACCGCCATCTCCCTGTCCGTTACTGTCATTGACCCATAAAAAGGAGTATTTTCCTCGTCAGTTTTAGAAGAATCACAGTCTGTTGTGCTGAGCCTTGGTGGAGTCTGGCGAATGTGGCTAGTTCGTCCGGGGAAAGTTACCGCCCGTGCACCGCCACAGCGTTGATGCTCCTTTGATAACAGCCCACCACGTATCGCCGGCCATGGCTACTCGACCTGACTACGGACGCTTATCCCAAGCCATGGAGGCCTCCGAGATCATTGCCAGCAACGACTCCGATGGCTCGGGGTCATCCGACGAGTACCAGCTGCCTCCGCCCTACGCCGTGCGGTCTGCCCCGGGTTTTGGCAGTGAGCTCGAGGGCCAGCCCATGCCGGCCAACCCTGCTTCCTCCCCTGCCCCGGCCAGCTCGATCAACAATGTCGCTGCTGGATATCCTTCGCCATGGTCTGGTGGCCCAACAGGGCGACCTCGCGGGGCCAGCATGGGGGGCAGCGCGCCGTTCGACAATTTGACTATCACGGATGGTGTAGTGGCAGATCGAGCAGAACTCCGGCCGCAGCGTCCGTCGGGGCCCGCCAGGACGCCGTCGAATACGTACGCCCCCCAACGACGACCTCCTCACTATATCAACATCCAGAATGATCCCCGGCATGCCTCCTCCGCGAAGCGAGGCCCCAGGCGCGACCCGAATGCCCAGTACCGCGCTCAGGAGAAGGCATACGTACAGCGTCTTCGCGCAAACCCTCAGACATGGTACCAACAATTCGGTGATGCTCAAGGAATGAGCGCCATTGACTCAGACGTGGACGACCCTTCGCCCTCATCGGAAGTGCCATTCGAAGACGATCAATATGATCCCGATATCCAGCTCTTTTTGGGTGAAAACGATAATCAGCCGACGATTGACGAGCTTAAAAACCCGAAGAACCAGGAACGGCTAGAATGGCATTCGATGTTAGCCTCAGTCTTGAAGGGTGATGTTGTCAAACAGGAGAAGCAACGTCTGATCGGGACAACCGAGTCGAGGCGTTCGAGCGCGTGGAACCACGAGATCTGGCTTGGCGTGAAAGCCAGGACATGCGGCCGGAGTATCACGATACAGAAGAAACTCATTGAGGATGCTCGAGCTGGTCTCGGTCCTATCATCGAGGACATCATCAATTTCCAAATCAAGGGCGAGAAGGAGATTGGGAAACCGCCTGCTGAGCAGGTCGAGGATATCGTGGCCAAGATCAGTAAATGCGAGTCTCTGTATCCGACCCGGAAGGAAATGGAAGCCGCCAACCCGAGGGCTGCCTCGCCCGAGTTTCAGGAGAGTTGTGATGCCGTAATTGCATGGCACAACACGACGCTGCTGATCAATACCGAGTTGGCCATCCTTCAAAGCTGGGTGGGCAACGACGAGCTGGACTTCACCAAACCAAGAGTCAAAAAATCCGGTACGGGTGCGGACCTTTCGGACGAGGGTTCGTTTTTGGACCGGATCATGAAGGAAGACGGCTTGAAGACATTACAAGGCGAGCACAACATGATCCACGGGATCGGCGAGGTTATCAATAAAGCAAAGAGCACCCTCATCGAGAATGCGGAGGCATTCTCCAAACGCCATCTACCGCCGTACATCGAGGAGTTACTGACCCTGATCAATTTCCCGTCACGACTGATCCAGGAGATCATTCGTGTCCGTTTATCATATGCGAAGAAAATGAAAGATCCCGCGCAGCAGTCTCCCATCCTGGTTGACCAGATGATCTCACAATTTCAAATCTTGATGAATGTGGCCGTGGACATCAAACAGCGTTATCTGGTTATCTCCAAGCCTGAGCCCGGTTGGGACCTTCCTCCCTGCATTGACGAGAACTTTGACTCGGTCGTGGTGGATGCAATGAAGTATTACTTCCGACTGCTCAATTGGAAATTGAATGCCAACAAGAACACCTTCAAGGAGGCCGAAATCTTGGAACAGGAGTGGGGATTCTCCAATGAAATTGGTCGCCAGTTGGAGGGCGGTGACATTGAAGTTGCTGAGCAGTTCAGGTAAGATTCTGAGATTCGGATCAAGTCATATATCATTGCTGATTTTTTTTTCTCTCTATAGTGCTCTCACTGCGAAGTCCCTGCAACGACTCATGATCCACTTCGAACGTGAATTGGCCACTCGCTCGGATGAAGACCCTGCGGACATGGATAAGCGCTACAAGAGTGTTCTAGATTCAACCAGAGTCCGGCAACGGAAGCTGTACCGATTTTCTCGCTTCCTTCGACAGTTGTTTGAAAACGCGACAGAGTATAACTTACCAGCAGAGATTGCAGATGATTTCTTTGAGGCCCTGTTGATCTCCGACCATTTCCTTATAACGTCGAATGATTCTATCGGACAGAAGGGCGTGTACCTGATCGCTCATCATGCGCTGTGGAACAAGCCTGCAGATATTCAGTCAATTCTCGGAACCTCTTTCCGTGAGGAGGACGCTCCTAAGGATCCCTCTCACTGCCCTTATATTCTAGTGATTCGCCCTGAGAGGCCACTCGCATGGGCTGGAAAAAGCATGCAAGTGGACGGACTAGAACATCCAACCGATGTCCGGCTTGGAAAGCTCCGACTGGTTGCGGATGGGACTCAGCAACGGCTGTCTAATGCCCGGCTAGAGTTAGCCCACCTGACTGACTTCCATCTCGACATAGCGATTGAGCAACGCGCCAACCTCGGGCGAGTCAACGCGGAATTGAACAAAATCAAGAAGATCTCCTTCAAGCTGTCCATGACCATTATGGATAGCGTTGCCGTCATCAGGCAACAGCTCAAACAGAAAGGCGTGGAGAATACGGAACTCATCCAGGCTTGTTACGCCTTCGCAACCGAATTTGGCAAACGATCGTCCAGCTACGTAGATGCAAACAGACGGGCAATGAACAGCGCTCGGTTGGTGGAGTTGGCTCTCGAATGGGTTTCATTCATCTGCGATGATTGTGATGCTGCTGACCGTAAAACTTTCAAGTGGGCAGTTGCCGCTCTGGAATTTGCCATGGCTATCACTTCGGGCAACCATCTCCTCTCAATGGACGATGATCAGTTCGCCCTTCTCAGAGTCAAGGTGGCCGGATGCATGTCGATTCTCATTTCGCACTTCGATATCATGGGCGCAAGATCGTCCCTGGCCGCCCAGGCGGAAAAGCAGCGGCTTGAGGAGTCACGAGGCGGTTCCAGAAAGCTTGGAGGTGGTCGAGTTCTCACCGACGAGGAAGCACAGAAGCTGGTTCGCGAACAGCGCCTGGCTCGAATTGCGGAAATTGAAGCATTGCGTGTCGAAGAGGACGCGAAGCGCCAGGCTTTGGGCAAGGTCTTGGAAGGGTCCAACGAAGCGGACCGGTCCCTGGCCGCCCTCTCGTCATCTGCTACCAACGTCACCCTGCGCTGGCAACAAGGCCAATTCATCGGCGGTGGGACATTCGGATCTGTGTACGCTGCCATCAATCTGGATAGCAACTATCTGATGGCCGTCAAGGAAATCCGCCTGCAGGATCCGCAGTTGATCCCCGTCATAGCCCAGCAGATCCAGGAGGAGATGCGTGTCCTGGAGGTACTTGACCACCCTAATATTGTGTCTTATTATGGCATCGAGGTGCATCGCGACAAGGTCTACATTTTCATGGAATACTGCTCAGGGGGTTCGCTTGCTGGTCTGCTTGAACACGGTCGAATAGAAGACGAGACGTTCATAATGGTCTATGCTCTCCAGTTGCTGGAGGGTCTTGCATATCTGCACCAGGCTGGAATCGTCCACCGCGATATCAAGCCCGAAAACATCCTACTTGATCACAATGGGGTGATTAAATACGTCGATTTCGGCGCAGCCAAGATCATTGCCCGCCAAGGCAAGACGGTGGCTAATGCGGATGCATTCGTCAATGCTGTTGGCCATAAGGATATCATGGGACCTAAGGAACCACATCGCAACCATCACAAGACCATGACGGGTACACCAATGTACATGTCCCCCGAAGTGATCCGAGGCGACGCGTCTAAGTTGGTCGAACGCCAAGGGGCGGTGGATATCTGGTCGCTAGGCTGCGTCATTCTTGAGATGGCCACCGGTCGTCGTCCTTGGTCGTCCCTTGATAACGAGTGGGCGATCATGTACAACATCGCGCAGGGCAATCAGCCGCAGCTTCCCACTCGCGACCAACTCAGCGACCTGGGGATCGATTTCCTCCGGCGTTGCTTCGAGCGAGACCCAATGAAGAGGCCAACCGCAGCCGAGCTCCTGCAACACGAGTGGATTGTGTCCATCAGAAACCAGGTCGTTGTCGAGCCGCAGACGCCTAGCAGTGAAGGCGGAAATGGAAGCGCCAGCAGCTCCGGCATGAACAGTCGACAAAACTCGAACGCATTTTTGTAGTGTAGTCACTCGCTTGAGCGGTGGCTCACTTTTTCTCATCATTTAGCTCTTTTTTATCTATAAAAAGTTCATGTGATACCCCGATTTTTCGTCTACTTCTACTTCACGATACTCGTCTATCTTATTTCTCTCCATTGACATCATTTCTACCCTTACGAGCTCTTTACCGCCTAAGTTTACGTGCCACGTGGGATGGTGTCGTGGCCATCCCTTTTGCCTTTTTTTTTCTTTCTTGATCTCTCAACGCCAGCTCCTCGTGGCGATTATGCTTTGCAAAAATTCCATTTGCAGGCTCTGTTAGTTACAAGATTTAATGTGACAAAGAAGGAATCTCATTCCATGACTTTTTTTTTCGGGACTATTTGAACTCTCCCGTCATCTCAATCTACGTCCTTTTTCCATGTCCGTCTTCCTCTTCCATCCCATCTACCGGGATGACCTGCACCTGCATCTAACCCTAACCAGTTTCTATATTCACATTTTACTGTATATATTAGAAATCGATCGATTGCTCAGCTTTGTTTCTGCTGACGACAGCGGTAGTGGTGGTGGTAGTGGCGGTAGTGGTAGTGGTAGTGGTAGTCGTACTGTCTGCATCATTGGGTCCGGATTTTTTAAGATTAACGGGAATGACCAATGGAGGGAGGAATTATGATAATAAAACATTATCATTATTATTTATTTATTATATTCGGTCTTTCCATCTCTCTACATTCTTGATAACAGTACACATATATAACAGTCTTAAATATACTACCTACTGCGGTAACTCTCGTTATTCGTACGGTATATATATACCGTCCAGAATGAAGATAAGCCGATTTACGTATAAGGAAGAGAACGAAGAAGAGGCTGAATCTCAGTTCGTCATAAAGCAGAATATGGATAGACGGACGATAAAGGTTTCCTTGGTTGTCACGACGCACAAAATATATGGCTAGGTACCTAAGTACTGGCAGTATGTTCCCATCACTGAAAAAAAAAGAAGAAGAGAAGAGAGGAAAATTACGAAAAAAAGCACATATAACCCTAAAAGCGCCACCTGGCTCCTGTCCTTCAAACAACGAAAACAAAACCAATCAAATCAAACCAAACCAGGCAATGTACTGCGCTGTACTGTAGTACCTAGCTAAGTAGGTAGGTAGGTAAGGTAGGTAGATATAAATAACCCAACACCCCAAATACAGATGGTGGCTGCGGAAGATAAATCAACTGCTCATAAAAAGAAAAGAGAAGAGAAGAGAAGAGAAGAAAGGGGGACAGAGCAGCAACACCACTGTATGCGTCGTATCCCATGCATAAACGAGCCGTCGTCACTCTGGGGAACTTCTGTTTATTCCCTGAGAGAAGCGTATCGTATCGTGTCGTGTCGTGTCGGAATAGAGGAATGAGTTAGGTCGGGACAAGGAAAAAATCACCACCTCGATGATGGATTCCCCCCCAACCAGTATGCACAAGATGGATGTAGAAAGCAGGTTTTCTCTGCAACGTGGCAAGAACTTCACGTTCTTGTGGATTGCAGGAAGGCCCGTCTCTCTTTCAGGAGCTCAACGGAATTCTATCGCCGGGCAGCAACCGTGGTCTTCGACGTGCTTTAGCTCCAGCTGTTGATACCTGCATTGTCGCATACAAGTCAGCATCAAAGCCGTTTCTCTCAAGAGAGGATGAGTGCAGCATACTTCTCACTCTTCGAATGAAAGTAGATCCCGCTTACGGTCCCCTCCACTTGATTGAAGCAGATGTAGTAAAAGCCCTCGAAACTGGCACCGGATATTGTCCGTACGCGATGGTCAGGGACTAGAAAGTACTCTTTCCATCTCATAAAGATATGCTCGCGCTGCGCAAAGTTCCTGTATGTGAAGTCCGGTTTCTTCGCCTGCTTCGCCAGTGGCCGCCACGCCGGAAACCTGGCCCAATGAAGCATATCCGTCTTTTCGTTTGCTCCCCATGACTCGTGCCGTGTCTGGAAGGTATGTTTCGTACCGATGATCTCCCCTTCGAAGTACGTCGTCAAGGTTGGATGGTCCTCCGTAAGACCTGGTAGCAAAGGAACATGCGTAAGCATTCATCGATATGAAGGTCATTTGTCCTTGATATCCACCAACCTTGTATGCGGAGATATCCACAGAGATATGACTCAGCCATATCAACATGCTTGATTTCCACATCCACATTGTATACCTGGCGGTCGGACTGCTGGGTGCCAACAAACTTGCTTCCGGATCGCAGAAAGGACGAAGTGTGGTTCGGGTAGAGCTGTTACGATTAGAAACTGGACATGAAACCTCGTCAAACAGATGACTTACCCGGCTATTTGAGAATTTGTAGCTGAGGGATGAAGTAGTAGAAGGCGCGGAATGCGCGGAAATCGAGGACGACGATTGGGACGTCGGGCTCGATTGTTCCTCCTTAGTTTCAGACGACGACGCACTGTCAGGACTCATGGACCCCATAATCACATCTTCGTCGGATTTGATCTTCTTCGTCGACGACTCGGCGATTGGAGTGGACGTCACATCGCTCGGTCGCCTCCCGGCGGTCTGCGCAGTAGCACTGGCGGGGGACACCGCACCGTCATTTACAGCGATATCATCGTCGATGGCATGCTCCTCCGAAGCAGCTGTCCGAGAGGACCCTCGTTCAATCTCTGGGGGACAAGTCGTATGTGCGGATATCTCTCCGGGTAATGTGCTCGTGGTCAGCTGTGGAGTGCTCTCACTCGGGGTCGGCATGGAGGCGGATCAAGAGAGATGTGACATCGGCGAAGGGAGAAAGGCGGAAAGCAAAACCACAGCACAAACCAAACGCACAATACCAAAGACACAGAAGAAAGAGAAGGGAAGGCCTGGTCTCAATGCAGACGTGACGTGCAACTGGAGACAGGGTATGCTGGTCACGATGGCACGGGACCTCGGGACTCACCTTACGAGCGAAACTGCCAGAACGGGACAAGGGCCAACCGACCGCCGTCAGCGATCGCGGGGAAAGCCAACAGAGACGAATGGGGCGCAATCACCGCCTACCGACCAACCATATTGCTACAAGAGCCTCTCTTTGTGGGGATTACGATGCTTGCACGACAAATCCCTCTGACATTGGGCAGACACCGTTGTAATGACAGATAATTATTACACCGTTGAACTGCTGGACACAGATGCGTACTATCCGACAAGATGTAGTTTTAACCCTTTGGTTGGCTCCGCATATCTCGTACTTTGCCACCGAAAAAAAAGACACAAACGCCAATTCCCAACAAACCAGGGCCGTTTATAAACTCCATCAGAACGTGTTCAGATAGGCTTGATCTGTAAAAAGGAAGCCTGGGTCAGACAGAATCCGAATACATATAGCTCGCGAAGATATTGGGTTACCTTGAAATGTAAAGATATCAGAGAAAAGACCAGCGCCTTCAGATCCTGGACGAGGTAGTAGAAGACACGCAGGCCTTCTGGATCGGCAGATTCAGTCACATCGACAAGGGATCCGATTTTGGCGGTCTGCGAGCGAGTCAGAATGCCAGCTCACCAAGACCATCCTCCAAACGTCTCATGGTAAATATAGTTACCTCGAATGAAATGTGTTCATTGCCCATGCGGATCTCCAACTCTTGCCGCCCGTCCTTATTTTTCTCCGGCCATTTCGAATCGTCTTCTCTGTTCGGAAGTTAGAAGAGTAACACAGGTCGCCCTGCAGCATCGGGGTGCTTACTTCATAATCTCGCTCTCCCTGATGATGCGCTTGATCTCTTGTATCATCAGAGAACTGACGCACACTATTTGTGGATTAGTCTGCACCGTACTTCCATGTCAGGACAGGTCGCATCGCGGTATCTTACTCTCTTTGCGAATCAGGGAGTCATTGCGGTAGTTGGAGTTGTTAGCGTACCGCGCATAGGCACTGCGGCCATCGCCAAGAGTGCGAAAATCGAATTCTAAAGCCATCCGTAAGCTACTGTATTGCGGAAGGCTGCGTCTCTGCTCCCACTCACCTAGGAATTCATGCCCGAACCGCCCAGAGTGACCTGAGCTGCGGGGCTGTCAGCAGCTGAGGAAATCTGGGCCATAGTGGAGGTCTCTTACTAGTAGCGGAGATAAAAAGGCTCACTGAGATCCGACGACATATTGGATATGTCCTCAAAAACACCAGCTGAGCAACTGCGGAGGCGAAGTTGATAGCTCGGGAGCTGCAATACATACTTTGGCGGGGAGTGGCACATGCGGCTCGCGTCTAGTCTGCTTAGTCATCCACACACTCCGGACAGGTTGCGCTGCCTCGCCGCGCAAATGGACAAGTTGACAGTCTGGTTTCCGCATTGTTGACAACCCCGCTGATGAACATAAGGCAGGTGAGGAGTGTTGGAATTCAGTGGGCAAATTCATTGATAATTCCTATATCCTAGGAGCTTGGTTCAGGTATTTCGTTCGTTTCCTGCACCTCGACGTGGCTGACAGCAAGCAGCTCCCGTACCCCGTACCCCCGTATCCTGCTCCCTTTACACCGGCCGGTTCAGTTCGACAGCTGCCAGACACCATGGCTTCGTTTCTGGACAATGCGTACAGCCTGGTCCACCAGGACAATACGGCTGATCAGCCGTCGCTGCAAGACCTCAAGTTGCAGCTGGAAAAGGGCACCGACGAGACCAAATTGGAGACCATGAAGAAGATTATCACAATCATGCTCAATGGCGATCCGATGCCTCAACTACTCATGCACATCATTCGCTTTGTTATGCCATCCAAGAGCAAGCCTCTGAAGAAGCTTCTGTATTTCTATTATGAGATCTGTCCCAAACATGACGCGAATGGAAAACTAAAACAAGAGATGATCCTGGTCTGGTAAGACTAATTCCTACTAACTTCTTCGCCACCATCGAGTCTCCTGACACAAGGACAGCAACGGAATCCGAAATGACCTGCAGCATCCGAATGAATACGTGCGCGGTAATACGCTTCGATTCCTCTGCAAACTCCGCGAACCAGAACTCATCGAACCTCTGCTCTCATCTGCCCGGTCGTGCCTCGAGCATCGTCACGCCTATGTACGGAAGAACGCAGTCTGGGCAGTAGCTTCGATATATCAACACTCTGAATCCCTAATACCTGATGCACCGGAGCTCCTCCATTCGTTCCTTTCGTCGGAGAGCGACCACACCTGCAAGCGCAACGCATTCGCGGCACTCATGTCCATCAGCCACCAGAAAGCCTTGGAGTATCTGAGCTCCACATTTGACAGCATACCGAATGCCGACGAGCTACTTCAGTTGGCAGAGCTCGAGTTTATCAGGAAAGATGCGGTGCAAAATGCCCAGAACAAGGTGAGTCCTGCGAATGGAATAGCAAAGTCGCATTAGTTGCTGAGAGCTTGGCAGGCGAGATACCTGCGGTTGATCTTTGATCTCCTCGATGCGTCGGCTAGCACTGTCGTTTACGAAGCTGCCACATCCCTTACTGCCCTCACCAGCAACCCCGTCGCTGTGAAGGCCGCGGCCTCGAAACTGATCGAACTCTGCATCAAGGAGGCCGACAACAATGTGAAACTTATTGTCCTGGATAGGGTTGACCAGCTGAGGATCAAAAACGAGGGTGTCTTGGATGATCTGACGATGGAGATTTTGCGTGTTCTGTCGAGCCCTGATATCGATGTTCGACGAAAAGCGCTGGGAATCGCTCTGGAGATGGTTTCTAGTAAGAATGTGGAGGAAATCGTGATGCTGCTGAAAAAGGAGCTTGCCAAGACCGTGGATGAGCAGTATGAGAAGGTACGTTTTGACCTGGCCATTCGCACGTATCGCATTGGTTGACTCGGGGGGCTATAGACTGGTGAATACCGGCAACTTCTCATCCAATCTATCCATCACTGTGCCATCAAGTTCTCGGAAATTGCTGCTAGTGTGGTTGACCTGCTGATGGACTTCATCGCCGACTTTAACAACAACTCCGCCGTTGATGTGATTTCTTTTGTGAAGGAGGTGGTGGAGAAATTCCCCAAGCTACGACCGTCCATCCTCGAACGCTTAGTATCCGCACTCGGCGAAGTACGGGCTGGCAAGGTCTACCGCGGTGTGCTCTGGGTCGTGGGCGAGTATTCTTTGGAGGCCAATGACATTCGCGAAGCCTGGAAGCGAATTAGAGCCAGCCTTGGAGAGATTCCAATCTTGGCTTCGGAAGAGCGACTACTGGACGAAGTTCAGGATGAGAATGCGGCTCCCACGGAGCAGGTCAATGGCCATGCTAAGCCAGCCGCTCCAACTGGATCGAGAAAGGTTCTCGCGGATGGAACGTACGCTACTGAGAGTGCCCTGACAAGTCAGGCGGCTGCGAAGCTCGAAGCTGTAAAGGCCGCTCAGAAGCCACCGTTGCGTCAGCTTATCCTGGATGGCGATTATTATTTGGCGACAGTGCTTTCGTCAACATTGACGAAGCTCGTTATGCGCCACGCCGAAGTTTCTCAAGATACAGCTCGTACGAACGCCCTTCGCGCGGAAGCAATGCTTATCATGATCTCTATTATTCGTGTTGGTCAGTCGCAGTTCGTCAAAGCTCCTATTGACGAAGACTCTGTGGACCGGATCATGACATGCGTGCGTTCGCTGGCCGAATTCTCCGAGAGGAAAGAACTGGAGACGACCTTCCTTGAGGATACACGGAAGGCGTTCCGAACGATCGTCCAGGCTGAGGAGAAGAAGCGGGCCGCCAAGGAGGCTGTGGAAAAAGCCAAGACTGCTGTGCAGATTGACGACGCTATCCCCATTCGACAGCTGGCCAAGAAGAACGTCGGGGAAGGCACCGACGAGATTGAGCTAGATCTGATCAAGGCGACGGGTGGTGATTCTACGTTTGAGGATCTGTCATCGAAGCTCAGCAGGGTTGTCCAGTTGACAGGTTTCTCCGACCCTGTCTACGCTGAAGCCTACGTGAAGGTGCACCAATTCGACATTGTTCTGGATGTCCTGCTGGTGAACCAGACGACAGAAACGTTGCAGAATCTGTCGGTCGAGTTTGCGACCTTGGGTGACCTTAAGGTTGTCGAACGACCGACAACCCAGAATCTCGGACCGCGCGACTTCCTGAATGTGCAGGCCACCGTTAAAGTTTCTTCCACGGACACTGGTGTGATCTTTGGCAATGTGGTCTATGACGGACCAAGTTCCACGGAGACCCACGTGGTCATCCTGAATGATGTGCACGCCGACATCATGGACTACATTCAGCCTGCTTACTGCACCGAGACTCAGTTCCGGACCATGTGGACCGAGTTCGAATGGGAGAACAAGGTCAACATCAACTCGAAGGCCAAGAGTCTCCGGGAGTTCCTCAAGCAGCTCATAGAGAGCACCAACATGACCTGCCTGACCCCTGAAGCGTCTCTTCAGGGCGATTGCCAGTTCTTGAGCGCCAACCTGTACGCTCGTAGTGTGTTCGGTAAGTTCTTCCGCGTTTCTAAATACTCCAAAGATGGTTTGCTAATCCTCACTACAGGCGAGGACGCGCTGGCCAACTTGAGCATTGAAAAGCAGGGCGAAGACGGACCCATCACTGGATTCGTGCGGATAAGAAGCCGCTCGCAAGGTCTTGCCCTGGCCTTGGGTTCTCTCAAGGGGCTCAAGGCGAATTCTGCATAGAGAGTATTGATAATGTCGGATGTCTGCTTCTTTCCTTGCCCCCCCTTGGCTGCTAGCGTTTCTCTTCTACCGCGATTCCATGTGTTACGTTCTGACTGGCTGAGAACGGTTTTTTTTTCTTGAATGGGAATGTTACATGTTTAATACTACTGCGACCTGGTTATATTCTGTGCCAGGGCACACAAAAAGAGTATACTGTCTAGATATGCCATGTGATATAAGCTTCAGTTTCTCGCTTGTTCCATACGTTCCACAGGGCTGTCGAAGTAGTTCCACAGGGTCCATAGCCTTACGTATACCAGAAGAAACCACTGCGGAGAATATGGGAGGCGTCTGTCACGTGTCGGAAATCTAACGCGTCGCTGGAAACCGTGTTGGACAGGATGGGATGATTGGCTCTGTGTAGATGCAAGCCATTGTCCCTCCCGCTTCGGAGTCTGCTCCATACGAGCCGATTTTTCCTTGCTGCGTTACGGTTATGCACGACTCCGTTAGATGTGAAACTGTGTGCACGTTCTTGGAAAGAGCCGTCTCCGGCTTGGCGATGATCCGAGAGCATCGCTCCTGTTTAGCTTTGCTAGAGGGCCGGCTCTATCCGGGGTTACCGAAATGGCAGCCTCAAGCGCTCGTATATTTATCTGTCGTCGGGTAACTATTAAATAATCGCTGCCTCCCCATGAACTGAGATCATTACATTCCTTTTGGCTCGCTTGGGGCCCCTAGCCAACGTTCCATCCCTTCGTTTTTGCCCACTCCAGAATGTTTGTGTTTACTCTTCGACAGCAGTATGTCTTCTGAGAACCTGACGGACGATCCGCATCAGTCCTCCTCCCCTTTGGTCGCTCAGGCTCAGGAGCCCGGAATGTTGGATCTCAATTCGTCGCTCAGGGTGGGAGAGGATGTTACTCTGATTCTAGGGGCCGATTCTCTCCTTATTGCGGGTATGATCCATTGAGCGCTTAGGAGAGCTTATCAGCCTCTTTCTCCCTTGTTGAATCTAGTCAAAAGATAATGGCCATTTACCAACCATGCTATCTATTGCAGATGAAAGTCGCGTGCATAAGGCGCGCTGCTGTGGTCTTATACCAACCAGTAATGCCCCTCGGTCCTGTTCCATCTCCTTTGTGTACGATAGATGTGTTAAGGCGGGGTTGAACGGCATGCGCTTACTGATGATCATAGAATCCAGAGGGTCTCGTGAAATTCCTTTCTACAACGTCCTCTCCGTGGATCTCTCCGAGACGAAGATCATTATCAAGTATGCGCGACCGATTTCGAAGCATGACATCTCAGCGGAATCCTTGCAATATGCTATCGATAATCATGTGCCGAGGTCGAAAGCGGAGGCATGGGTCGAACGACTGCTCAACCGCGCATATGGCGACGCGCAGCGGAATAAAAGGCTCAAGGTGCTGATCAATCCGTTTGGCGGGAAAGGTCACGCCGTTAAGTCGTATTATAACTATGCCGAACCGATTTTCGCAGCTGCAGGTTGCAAGCTCGACGTGGAAACGACACAGTACTCCGGTCATGCCACCGAAATTGTGGCGCAGATGGATGTCGATGCTTATGACGCGATTGTCTGCTGTTCCGGTGATGGCTTGCCACACGAAGTCTTCAACGGTTTAGCTAAGAAGCCCAATGCTACAGAGGTACTCTCGAAGGTAGCAGTAGCGCTTCTCCCCGGCGGTTCTGGGAACGCCATGGCTTGGAACTTGTGCGGTACTGGCAGCGTCAGCTTGGCGGCCCTTGCGGTTCTCAAGGGCATACGAACCCCACTAGACCTCGTTTCTATCACCCAAGGCGACACACGGAGGCTTTCTTTTCTCTCTCAGTCCTATGGGATGATTGCCGATTCAGATTTAGGGACCGAACACCTGCGGTGGATGGGGTCTGCTCGCTTCACATACGGCTTCATGGTACGTCTGCTGGGTAAAACCACATATCCGTGCGATTTGGCGTTTAAAGTCGAGATCGACAACAAGCAAGAGATCAAGGATCACTACCTCGCGTACAAGAATAAGAAACCTCAGGCGCGTCGTACCGGCGACGACGGCAATGGCGATCGACCTAGTGGTCTACCTCCGCTCAAATACGGTACTGTCAAGGATGACATACCGAAAGACTGGGAGGTAGTATCATCTGACACCATAGGAACCTTCTACGCGGGGAACATGGCTATCGTGAGCGCGAACACGAACTTTTTCCCGGCCTCGCTTCCGAGTGATGGATTAATGGATATGGTTACGATTGATGGAACGTTAAGTCTTCCGAAGGTCTTATCGATAATGTCGGCTGTTGACAAAGGCGATTTCTTCGACATCCCCGAGGTTACAGTCCGTAAGGTCTCTGCATACCGTCTGACGCCGAGACAGAGCCACGGTTTCATCAGTGTTGACGGGGAGAAAGTCCCGTTTGAACCTTTCCAGGTGGAAGTTCATCCGGGATTGGGCACAGTCCTGTCCAAGTCGGGGCATTTGTACGAGGCCCAGGGGCCGGTATAATAAGGCTGTCACTCTTTTTCATCGTATTCTTTGGTGTGTATTATATCATGATACCCTGCAGGCCGTCTGGGGATTGATTCCCCGGACCTACCTAGGAATATAACATCGCATTCGACAACGTTTCCTTAAACTTTTTTTGAATTTTATTCCTGTTTTGTACGGGGTATGAATAGGATGGATCGTATAAGCAGGAATGCGTAAAAAAAAAACAAAAAGGTTCTCTGTACAGTATGGAAATAAAAATGCAATGCAATGCAATGCAACCGAACACATAATTCCTGCCAGCAAACTCCACAAATACAGGATATAGGAAGAAAAACAAATGGTCTATTATGAGTTTGACTTAGTCGCCAAACCCGCCCCATTCTTCTTCCTCCTCGTCATCATCTTCGTCCTCCTCGTCAGCCGGCTTCGTCCTGAACCCCCATTCCACCAATCGCTCGTCGTCGAGGACCTCGCAGGCCCTGCGTCGGACGGTCTTGGTCGGACTTTCGGCCTTGAGTTTCTCGAATGGGCGAAGGAGGAGGTCGATGGGGACGTTGCATCGGTCTTTCAGTAGAGGTTTTGAGGGGCCGTTATTCGTCTCTTCATCGCCTGTTTCTTGGTCATTCTTTTCCTCCTTGTCATCATCAGTATCGATGACCTTGGCCAGCTCGTCGATCCAGATGTCGATGAGGTGATAGCGGAGACCGTCCGGGCCATGGGGCATTTCTATCTCGTCGTCGGGAGATGTCGTGTTCTTCTTTGGTTTCGTTTTGTTGTCTGTGGGATCGAAGTTGATCGGGCAGAGAGGGCCTTCTTCCAGGAGGGAGATGTAGGCTTCGAGTTCGGGCCATTCCTGTGTCTCTGACTCTTCTTGTTCCTGCGTATGGTCGTTCGTATCTGCATGCTGTCCCTCCTTGTCCTTCCTCCTCTTTTTCGTCGAGTCGGGACTTCGTTCTTCTGCCCCGCCTCGCTTCCTCTTTTTCGTCCCTTCTTCTCCTTCTCTTTCTCCAGCAGCAGCAAAAGTAACCTTCTTATTCTTGATCTTATTCTTGAGGAAAATCTCAAACGCAACCCCCACGTAGCACCGTATCAGAAACAGGTACTTATCCAGCCGCAGCCGGTCTATCGCATGGAACTCTCGACCGATGGTGATCCAGAACGCGCGAAGAAATCGCAGACGGGTTTCTTCCGGCAGGCTCGGGACGAGGGAGTAAGACAGGGCGCGCGCCAGGGCTTGTTGGGTGAGAGGGCGGTCGGAGTGGTAGAAGCCTGGCAGAAACAAAAGAAAAAAGATCAGTGTCTGCTCCTTCAATTCAATGTCTCTTATTCACGGCTGAAAAAAAAAAGGGGGGGTAGGGAGGCATACAGAAAAAAAGCCCCTTCCAGATCTTAAGCAGTTCGAGCAGCGACAGATCGCGTCGAGCGCGGAGGAAGAGGGTCAGCGATTCGAGCGCTTTGTCTCTCGTTTTGCGCTCTGCGTGAAGACAGACAGTCAGTCAGTCAAGTCGTTCGTCACTTATATATAACATTTATCAAATTCAATCTTTATGTATAGAGAGAATTGATGACTCACCACTCGAAGCCAATTCCTTCACAAACGGCGTCTTTTGGATCTGCGACGACTCGTCGGCGGTCGCCATGATGGATCGATCGAGCGATCACCTTTTTTTTCCCCTTTCCCTCTCTCTCTTCTTTTGTTGTAGTGTGTACTCAATGAAAATTAAATAAATAAAATAAAACAAAAAATATGAGAGCACAGAGTTAAAACCGGTTCTAATTTGACTGTGAAAAAAATTATGATCTCTCTATATCTAAGCTTCCAAGCTTTCTCTCCAAGTGCGGAACGGAACTTTTTTTTTGGTTTTACTTTTCCCGCATCTGCGCTCCGCGATTACTGGGGCTGTTTGCGTTGTTTGCTTGTCTTGACCTTATCATTTAAGATACTGTAGGTTAACTAGATTATTAGGGCAACCATTTGAGATAACTAATTGAAAACAAAAAAAAATATGAATGAATATCCTAAATAAAAAGATTTTATGCTGTAAAGAGTCTCCATTCCATTCCATTCGCTTGTGACTATGAAACTAAATTAAACTATGCTAAGCATTGAGTGTGTTATGATGTGGTCATCAAACAAATGTTTTTATTTTTTTTAATAAAAGTCTCTCAAGAGCAAAATCTCTTCGAGAATAGTATTATTATTTCCTCTCATGATTATCAATCATATCATGCTTGTCATGTCGTCTCGATGCTGGAATTATGTACTCCGTAGGGTGGGAATGAGTTGAGAAAAATAAGAAAAAAAAAGAAGAAGAAAAGAAGAGAAGTAAATAGACGTAGGCAGGCATTCATGCAGGCATCACTGCAGTTGCATGTGCCCGCCTCCTTGGAGCCACGACAACGACCAACCAGATCAGGACACGAAAATCAACGCCGTCAAATCGATGCGCTGCATCAGAACAGAAAAGGATGGCTCTGGACGGAGCGGAGAAGGAAAGGAAGATGCACTCGGTAAGGATAACGTCACAACAATGCAGAAAAACAGCAGCAATAACAACAGGGGTATTGTGCGAGATGACATGCAAAATAAAAACGATATTAAAAAAAAAATACAAATGTACTCAAACAGATGAACGAGATGGATTCTTCGTCCACCATCAACTGTGCAAAGGAAAAGACGAAAAAAAAAGTTTCAATGTCCTATGCTGACTTTGAGCCAGGACAATGCTCATAACTGCATGTCTGTGTCAGTCTTGTTCGAAGGTAGCCAGAGCAGACTCCTGGAAATACAGTGAGCACTGCCTGACTGTAGGCTCATGGTTGTCGTCATTCGGAAATGACCGCCGTCCTTCACCATCGGAGATGACTATTGAGAGTCACAACGTCGGTTGTCATGATGCAGAGGGCTGCGGCACCACTAGTGCATTGACGACATGTCCCTGTTTCCATCCTTGCTCCAGTAAGGGCTCGTGCTCCCGGAGCATCCGACCAAGATAAGCGATCCGGACCCGTTGTTTATTGGATATCTGTCGTAGAGTTAGCATCGTTCAGCGTCGGCGAGAGAAAGGGATAGATCATACCCCAGCTTCACTTTGGACTTTGCGAGCCAACAGTCCCACACTTTGCGTCTTGCCGATAGTCACTGTCACGTCAGGCCCGCCTCGATCACTCAACCGGGCTCGGACCTTGATCACATCGCGTTCGCTCATCTTGCCTTTCTCTTCTCGCCGTCGCTCCACATCCTCCGGGATGAGTTCCTCCTCGGACTCTTCGGCCATGGTCAATTTCCGATCGGATATGCCGTCGGGATCATAATCTGTGGTCGTCACTCCGTTTCCTCCGTCTGTCGTGCTGTCAGGGACTAGATTCTCGGGGTCACTGACAATGCACTGTGGCAACCGGTACAAGGCTCCGTTCTCATCATAGCAGCCTTCGCAGAGATCCCCTGTCGGCACGGTCACCCCGGCAGCGTCAATGATACTCTGCGCGGTGGCAATGTCGCCCTCGCGCATGAAGGAGATAGCTGCGCGCAGAGCTGCCCACACCTCCGGCCGGCCCGTGACTCTGGTATCGAAGAACTCTTCCCGCTCCCGGGCGAGTTGCGACGGGGTCCACGTGCGACGCTTGCTGCGCCAGACATGAGGACGGATGGGCTGATTGTAATGTTCGCTCAGCGGGAGCGTCGCTTGCTGCTGGAATCGTATCCGGCTCGAGTGAGATCGATGATGGGTAGTCCCGTCGTTAAGAGAGGCGGACGAAGGATGACGGCGGGAGGTGGGTTCGGAGTTGATGGCACGAGAGGAATCGGCATGACGCTCTTGCGTTATCCCAGCCGTGTCGTCACGGTCGCGCGCGAATAGAGATAAACAGCAGCCCTGTCATGACAGGAATAGAGTCAGCGAAAGACCATAACCATGCCCAGTGGGTGGATCGATGATCAGAGAAAGCGCAGGTGGGGGCAATCGGTGATCGCGGTGGTCGCTGAAAATCCGTCCAGACTGCTAAACACCGGGCGAGCTTACCATCTTGCATGATGTAGACTAGAAGAAGAGAGAGACGGAGAGCAAATTGGGGCTCCAGATCTCAGCAAAGGCACCCTTCGTCTCAACGAAGACGTGTAGGGGCGACGGGGAAGGGTCTTGGTTGTTGGGTCGGTCGTGCTATATTTGACCACAGCGCTAACCACGGAATCGTATTCTTAGTACAGCAGGGCGTTCGAGTTCCGGCAGATCTGAAGACAAGCGATAGGAACGATCAGCAGCTGGAGTCTGATCACTCGTCCGTCTTCAGCCTTCCTATTGACCCGAAGGACAGGAGGAGACAGCCAGGGAATCCAGCATCGTCGCCCGCATCATCAGCCGCAAACCACAACAACCATCAGAGGCGGTTAGTTCGCCCGTGTTGGTGGAGACGTCAAAAGGTGCGGGGTGAGAAAAAAGAGGAGATAGTGTCAATGCGACAAAGGCCCCAAGGCTCCGAGGATCTCGAACTAAAACACCGGCGTGCCTTGCTGTCAGGAGAGCAGAGCAGGAGACTAGCTAATGCCTAGGTAAGGTAACGAATGGCGGCCGCATTGTCCGACCACAGCTGATGTCAACCCACATCAGCAAAGCTTAAACAGCAGCCAGAAAGTTCCTATGTTTCCGGCCATGACAAAGGCAGGTTCCAGCGCCCAGAGGTACCTTTGGCCGCTGCATTGGCCAAGCATCTTGCGCGCAGGGAGCCTCTGGATGCATGGCATACGTTAGCCCCCCACCTGCCCGCCTGAGTCTGTACCATGAACTGCCATCAAGGTAATTAATGGCGAATCAAGTGAATGGGCATGGACAGGTAGGACCATCGCGTCACCCGCTGCAAACATGAGGGGCCAAGAACAGTGCAAGATGCAAGGCTTCATTTCTCCGTTGGGGGCGGTGCGATAAGATTGCTATTAGAGCTGGCTGGGGTTTCACTGCATTGCCGCACGTACCACTGCCCAGGAATGAGTTGCTAGGAACTGCGTAACATCTGGTGACACCGCCGCAGCCACTGTAGGCTGACTGTCTTCTGCTTGTTCTTTTACGCAGTCCGAGTTCTGTGACACATCACTTGCGGAGGAATTGTAGATTGTGCAGGCAGTTAGCCGCATCACCGTCCGATGGCTACAGAGAATTATATAGTAGTATCTACCAAGGCTTCAGTAAACCCCGCTGCCAAGCCTAGGCACGCTCTAGAAACCCCCCTAGCATTCCATGAGAAGCCAAGGGGCAAGTCCTTCTATATCTTACACGGCTGTAGCTCTCCTTGCTTTGCCAGAGAGGGAAGGTATGCAGTATACTTAGGTAAAGTTGGATGGTGAATACGATGGCTACGATCACAGGGTCCAGCGATGGTGGATTGTCCACACCTCCGCTTTATCTATATTCCTCTTTTTGGAATCGATTACAGATCCCGGTTTCTAGCATGACAATATATACATACAGTGAATATGTAGGCAACCGAGTAAATGTACAGCGCCCTACTAATCCTCCTCGTCACTCCCAAAGATCGCCTTAAAAACAGCCTCCCCAGGCCGTTCCGCTTCCAGAGCTTCATTCCGCTCCGGCTCGATGACGATCTGTTCTCGCGACTCTGCGAGTACGGGTTTGTCCGAGTCCGTGCCCGCAGGAACCGCTCGACTGCCCATGCCGGATTCCTGCACGAGTTGGTTCATCACGTCTTGAGACACGAGATCCAATCTGGAGCTACCGGCCGGGTGGGTCGCAGTCGAGGAGCGGGATCGGTCAGGACCTCCTTCTGGAAACTCTCCTGGATCGTGCTGGACATGAGCTGGCGGCTTCACGTTAAACCTCTTACAGAGCAAGCGAGAAGGATAGAATGAAAGCGTGCTGCGCGTCATTGGCCCAAACATGCCAATTTTAGCCGCCTCTTCCGCTGGGTCTTGAGGTTTGGCAGGTGGTCGAGTCAGCAGGTTGTCACTGGAAGTCGAGGCATCGGGCATATCCGACGCCTTGGTGGGCGCGGAGCTGGCAGACGTGAACCTCGACGCCATGATGCCCGAAATCGGTTTGAACACCTCGGCAGCCCTGGCAAACTCCTGCATCTCCGCGACCCATTCGTCCGTCGTCGATCCAGGTAAGCGGTCCGGCAGCCCGTCCCTCAGACCGGCTCGCACCTCCAGGAACGTTCGGTAACGAGCTCTCTTGCCCTCGTCCTCGGAGTATGGCATCCAGCCACCCACTGCTCGGTTCAAGGCTTGGATCGCAATGTCTTTATCCAACTTAGGAACGAGGTCCCACAGATTTTTACGCCTCTGGGCCTCTGACATCTCATATCCCTTAGGTGCCTTCTCGCCCAGGGCGGGCGGTAGATCCGTCCTGCCGGTCAGCTTGACGATTCTTTCCCGGGCTTCAGGTGTCATCCAGTCGAATATCGACTTCCCAGGCAACTGAGCCTCCCCCAAGAGTTCCGCCCGAGCCTTCGGATCGAGGGTGGACGCCTTGGCTGCGTCCGCAGTCGACTGGTAATTGGACACATCTCTCTCCGTCGAGGGACGTTTCGAAGATTTCCAGTCTTTTGGAATCTCGGGCGGTTCATACTTCTTCTCGGAGATGGATAAGCTCGATATGCTATCCGCTAGAACAAATCCATCCAGAGGCAAACGGCCATCGTGGCACTTTCGGAAGCCCGCAGCGTTCCTGGCCTGGGAAGCCTTCTTTGAAATAAACACCGGCTTATGGCTCAGAAGTGGATTCGAAGAGCCGGTTATCAGTCTTTTTTCTTCCGTCGGTTTGGGCTTTTTCTTTTTCTTATCGCCACCAATGGTCCGGTTGTAGGAGATTTTCGGTCCCATCTCATACGGGTCTTCTTCATCCGAGCCAGTATCATTCAGCACGCCGACTCCAAACCCTCCTCGACGAACTTCCTTGTTCTTGGGTTTCTTGCCCTCCAGGCGCTGACCAAAGAAGGGATCGGAAGCATCTTCGGAGTCCGAGTCCTTTCCGTTTTCTGACCGCAACCCGGAATCGAGTCGTGCTTCTCCCTCAAATCCAAGGCCCTTGTGGTCTAGCTTTCGAACAAAAGCAATCAGCGGGGGGTTTTCTGGAGCAAAAAGATGGGTTTCGGAAGTGTCATCGTCTCCAAGCGATCCATCATCAGCTAGATTGGCCTTTCGACGCACTTTCGGGCCGATGCCTTGACCTTCCTTCCAGCCCATCTTTTTCAGGAGCTTGACCCCCATCGTTTCGCCCTCGATTTTCAGGAGGTCCATGAGGCCACCCCGACCGGCCAGATACGATTGGGTCGATCCGAAGCCGGCAAAGTCCTCCGCGGTCTGCAGCTTCCTTGACTCTTCCGCTTCCCGGAGATCCTCTTCATCCATAAAATCTTCAGGACGTTGCTGTTTCACGTCCTTTGCACGATTCTGGCGCGAGGAAACAAAGGTCGAAGGCGTCCATCCTTCCTTCGATCCCACCGTGTTGAAGTACCTAGATGAGGCACGTTTAGTCTTTCTGTTCCCAGCTCACTGCGAAGTGTGTGCTCACCCGGCGCTGAATCCACCGGTGAAAGCGCCATGCAGGCGCTTTCGCCCCCGTTCATCGGTGACTTCCTGCTTCCAGATAGGCACGTAAGAACCATCGTCGCGAACGTTGGCATCCAACGGAGGGAGAGGGGTCCCGTAAAAGACGTATGGGGATTGCTGGGACTGGAGATCGGCCTCGAAGGCGGTTCGAGATCGTTTGCTAGCCATGGCGACGCATGTCCACGTTGAACGCCCTACGTTGCCTCACACGTAGTTCCACAGAGCACGTAGCAAAAGCTGGAGACAAAGCGAAACGGAGAGCGCGTGACGCAAGTAATCCACCAAGCTGGCTTGGAGAATGATCGATCAGAGGTATTGTGGGGGGCAAGGCATGTAACGCTTGTAATACTTGGGGCTGCGATTTCCCCAGCCTGCCCGGTCCGCCTTGAGCGGGATTCGTCTGCGACCAGGGTGCGTGTGAACTCGCAACGGGCGTGAGTCCCTCGTTCAGGATGCGAGACGACGATCAGCCATGGGGGACAGGTGATCCAGGCTGAAGGAGATAATGCTGACTGATGCTCCAGAAAACAGTCCTGGACGGTGGGTCTGGCAAGTCAGACGGGCGGGAGAATGACAGGCACCGCCACAGAATGGGGTTGCCACTGGCGCATGTGGCTGCTCAGGCCTGAGGAAGGACGACGGAGGGCTCTTTGTCCAATCCACAGGGCTGGACGGCTGACGGGATCATACGAAGAGTCATGGAAGGGCAGTGATATCACATCCTGCTTAGGCAGCTCTGCAGGTGCAGCCATTCGCATCCGGCAGCCCTTGATTCCGGCACGGCCAAGTATTTATAACTCCGCAGGCCCATGGGCTCCCACGGGTCCGCCAGGGACTCAGGCACTGCCGTGGCTGCTCCGTCCTTGCAACTCCACCTGCTTTCGACTCTCGTCTGGTCGTAAACGGAATCCTCCATAGTCATCTCGTCCAGACTCCAGAGTCGCTCCTGCCTCCTGCCGCCTTGGCGATCGCCGGGCGTTGCCGCATCCATCGACCGCGACTGCCTCGCCGGGGCTAGCGACTGCTCCGGCCGTGCCTTCCCTCCCTAACTAAGCATTACCCGCCTCGCCAGCCTTCGTTCCTTCTCGTTTCGCTCAGCCCAGCCTAACCACGCTTTCTTCCACCGCCGCCTCCAGGACGCTCCTCCCCCGTCCACGTCAACTCTCGAGTCCTCTCCGTTCGCTCGCCAGCCTTCGTCGACGGAGAGGCTCCAACAATACATGGAGGGCGCCCTGCGACTGCCTGCGTATTGGAAGGCTGCTCTCCGCTAACCCACTCCGTCCTCTCGACTCGCTCCGCACGGCGCTGCCCTGCGCCCGTCGGCTGTTACTCAACACGACCCCCTCCCCCCTTCAGAGGCCCCGACGTGTCCTGGCCCGAGCCTCTGGGTTGGGATCCTCTAGAACCTGGCGGTTGATTCCCCCAAGCCGCGCTGCTCCTCCATCGGCATGTCCACGGCTGCGTCATCCTCATCAGCGCCTCCGACGGTTGTTCGCAGCCTTTCCACTTCATCACGCCCTCAAGCGCAGCGTCCCCCGTCGTCCGATCTCCCCCACAGGGCTCGAAGCACCACCACTAGACCGCCTTCATCCTATTCCAACCACCACTCGTCTTCTCGATCTCGGTCCTATGACCGTCCTCCTCCCTCGAACCCCGCTGCGTTCGCCAACGTAGCTCGCCGGGACTTTGAGCCCTCCAACGCTGCCTGGACTTTGTCTTCCCGTCGGGAAAGCTCCAGAGATCGCTCTCAAGAGCGACACCCTTACCGGTCCGACTCCGTTCGCTCCCAGCATCATCGGGCCTCATCCAGACATCAACGGGACAGCATCGATATGGCGGCAGCGACGACGGCTCCTGCGGTCGCGGACGGCGCCGCAGCGCCAGCACAACCCGTCCCCGGTTCGCAACCGCCCGCTGCGAACCCCGCTCAGCCGAAGCGTCGAACTATGATCACTACTCCGACCGGTCAATGGGCCCTTGGGAAAACCATTGGAGCTGGAAGCATGGGGAAGGTCAAGATTGCCAAGAATCTGGAAACAGGGGAACAGGTAGGTTTTTCCTTGAGCCCGTGTCCATGATGTGTTTCGGACTCATGCCAAACTTCATACTTCCAGGTTGCTGTGAAGATTGTTCCGAGACAAGCAATCGACGAACATCGCAGTGGCCGAGACGCCGAACGAGCGGATCGCTCCAAGGAAATCCGGACTGCGAGAGAAGCGGCCATCGTTTCCCTCCTCGACCACCCGTATGTCTGCGGCATGCGGGATGTCGTCCGCACGACCTATCACTGGTATATGCTGTTTGAATACGTCAACGGAGGCCAGATGTTGGACTACATCATCTCTCACGGCAAGCTCAAGGAGAAGCAAGCCAGGAAATTTGCTCGTCAAATCGCCAGTGCCCTGGATTACTGTCACCGGAACAGCATCGTGCATCGGGACCTCAAAATCGAGAATATCTTGATCAGCAAAACTGGAGACATCAAGATCATCGATTTTGGGCTCAGCAATCTCTTTTCGCCTCGCAATCACTTGCGGACCTTCTGCGGCAGTCTGTACTTTGCTGCTCCGGAATTGTTGCAGGCAAGACAATATACTGGCCCCGAAGTCGATGTCTGGAGTTTCGGAATCGTCCTCTACGTCCTCGTCTGCGGCAAAGTCCCCTTCGACGACCAGAGCATGCCACAGCTCCATGCTAAGATCAAGAAGGGCGTGGTCGAATATCCTCAGGGGCTCACAGCAGGTTGGTCGCCATTCCTCTTCACGGTCTCTTGGCTTCTTTACTAACTAACCGCACAGAATGCCGCCATCTCATCTCACGCATGCTTGTCACAGACCCTAAGCAGCGAGCCACTCTAACAGAGGTCATGAATCACCCGTGGATGACCAAGGGATTCAACGGTCCCCCCGAAAACTACTTACCCAACAGAGAACCTCTCCAGCTGCCCTTGGACCCCGAAGTGATTGAGAAGATGACAGGTTTTGATTTTGGTCCCCCGGAATATATTACGGCGCAACTTACCAAAACTCTTGAATCGGAGGAGTATCAACAGGCCGTCAAGATGTATTCCCGAGAACAATCGACTTCCAACGCAGGAGGTGAGAAGAAGAGAGGAGTATTCGACTTCTACCGACGCCGGAACTCCTCCAGCAGAGATACTCTCTCAACCCCCTCTGCCGAGGCTGTGCAACTGGGGAACGACCCTTTGAATGCCTACAGCCCCTTGGTGTCAGTTTACTTCCTTGTCAAGGAGAAGCTGGACCGGGAAAGAGCAGCAAAGAACTCTGGGACGCTCGGTATCCATACACCCGGTGATACGGTCCTCAAGATGCCTGACCTACCGGCTCCCGAAGCGGCGCATACCAATCAGTACGAATTGCCTGGGGAGAAAGACACTGGTGGAAGAACTCGTCCACGTGCGAGAACGCATGGAGATGACGAGATCGGGGAGGGAATCAAGAAACTCCATCTCGGTTCCTCCGCCGCAGCTCCATCTCCTGCTGTTGCGGCCCCACAACCCGAAACGCCTGCGAAGAAAGAGAGCACTGCGATCGGTATGTTGAGGCGCTTCAGCACGAGAAGGATAAAAGACCGAGGTCGTGACAGTGACCGCGAGAAGGTCGTTTCCACTGCAACGCCAGCTTTGAATGTACAACCACCAGCCGACCTGGCTTCGCCCCCTCATCGGCACTTAAGCATGAGACGGACGCGGCGCGCAGAGCCGTCTCCTACAACGATCCATCCTTCGGAAAGTCAGCCACAGCATCAAGATCTCTTGCGAACTCCGGGATCGGCACCGCCGGCCTCGCAATCCAACAAGTTCTTGGAGAGATCCACGAGCGTGAATTCGGCAGACTACCGTTCCCGACGAGTGGCAAGAAGAGGCGGTTCCGATGCGATGGGATCCGGGAACGAACCCCCTCTCACGAGTGGCTCCGACCATTCCAGCATCAACGGACAGAAGGCCCAGCCAGGCGACTCTACAGGGGCGCAGGACTCCAAGCTCCCGTCTCGTGGTCACACGATGAGAACGAAGTCTCTGGGTCACGCGCGGCGCGAAAGCATTCAGGCTAGAAGAGCTCGGCGTGAGGAGGCCAAAGAAACCGCTGTTCCGGAAGCAGCAGATGATGGCGATCTTTCGGGCACGGGAACGGCTTTGGAGAGCGCGAACACTGGCGAAGACTTTGCCAAACCAGTCTATCTGAAAGGACTGTTCAGCGTTTCGACGACCAGCAGCAAGCCTCTCGCCTTCATCCGTGCCGATATCATCCGAGTTCTCAAGCAGCTTGGCGTTGAATACACGGAGATCAAAGGGGGATTCAGTTGTCGCCATGCTCCGAGCATCGATCTCGATAAGGTGGTCGACACGGGTCCACCAAGCCCTGACCGACAAGGGCAGGTTTCCAGTCACCGGCGCCGGATTAGTTTTGGAGGATTGCGCAGTCACGAGCGGGAAGAATCGAAGGACGAAACCAGGGCGGCGCATTCATCGAGGTTCACACGGAGGACCCAGGGACCGCCGGACCGTAGCTTTATCACCAACTCAGAGGGGTCGGACGAGTATGTTCCGCCTCGCGACAACGTTGTGGTCGGTGAGCGGGTGGTTGGCGAGACTACCACCAGGGTTCAGAGTGACACAGGAGAGAATCTGGTTCTCCGATTCGAGATCTTCATCGTCAAAGTGCCTCTGTTCTCGTTGCACGGTATCCAGTTCAAGAAAGTGGCGGGCGGCATGTGGCAGTATCGAGAGATGGCCAAGAGGATCTTGGACGAATTAAAGCTCTGATTGTGCATATTTAATTTTTTTTTCCTGCTACTGACGTGATATTTCTCTGCATTCCGTGATGATATTTGTCCTTGCTGTTCCTAACCTTGGTCCCCCCTTTTTTTTTCGGTTTTATATCTTGTCCGTGTCAAAATTTCACAGATTGCAGGCCTCATATTTTCTGCTGTACATTATAATGAACAGAGCTGCGACCTGGGAAAGTTGGTTTTCATTCCAGCGTTGTAAGGTTTCCTGTCATGGCATCTCAAATTCCGCCCGAACTTTTGCCGTTTCCCCCAAATCGCTACGTTGCCTCCTCGGGTCGGTGCAGAAATTGTCATGCTTGGTATGACGATCATCATGGAGCCCTATTTGTTCATTTTCGATTTAACTCTACACATCTAGCCTTGCTCCCCTTTTTATTCCCATAGTAAAGAAATTCTCGGTACAGTTGATAAATTAATACTATATCATATTGATGAAAGGTGTGTCTGATCCATTCGTGTTTGTGTTTCTTCCCGACTAGGTATATGGGATTTTCGGTAGGCGGGTTGGGCGGGTTGTCGAGTAGTAGCCTGTTGCCCTTGGGTAGTTTTTTTGAAAACGAACAGGCAAAAAAAAGCAGGTGGAAACAAAGGTCTTGCATTCAAGTGGTTCATTCAAGTGGGCTAGTATGTTATCACTTCCATGAGTTCGTAACTTCCCTTTCTGGCCAACATCTATCTAGTTGTCCATTCTCGACCACAATCGAGTCGGCATACCCCCTCTCAAAAGATAGCTTGTGAGCTATCCTCCAATTTCCGCTTTTGCTTCCAGCTTCATTTGTCTGATCGTCGCTATTCTGAGGTTCCACCACGGGGCTGGTCTTCTGGGCTAGACATGATGCGCTCGGTCTCAGTAAGCTGGCTCGACTGGGACGACTGTGAAGGAGGGTTGCTGGTTGGGATCGAGTCGAAGCTACCGGTCATGGCATTCTTGGGTACCTTAACTTTCACGATCCATTTTTGCTCCGGGGTGTTATTGTCGGCCACGGAGTCTTCGCAGGCTTTTCGAACAATGTAAAGGAAACACTCCCGAAGTGAGACCTTTTTCCGGTACTGGGAGGTCCTTGAAGTCATTTTCATCAAAGAGCTCCGAAGCAGTGGTCGAGAGGATCACGTCGGAATACAGTAGTCTTCAGGTCCGCTGTTCTTTGACCTGCATCAGGAAGATCGTCTCATTATATGTCGTGAGAAATCCGTACTTGAGTTTCCAGAGAAGCATGTACTGAGACAGCTGGCCTTGTTGTAGAGAGTGATGAGTCTTCAAGAAAGTGCGCCATCATTGGGGATGACGGGACTCACCAAGGTAGTGCCTGAAGTCCTTGTCCTGTAACTGTGCAAAGCTGATTGCATGTGCCCATGGTGTCTTCACCTCTCCAACAACAAGGGGCTGCCCAAGCCGATTAACAATTGCCCAGTCGGGGCACGTTTGATTCTGGGGGCTATCCCGTGAACTTGTGCGAAAATCGGTAAAGTGGACTGTCACCCAAGGACACTTTGACACACTGCTGTCATCACATGTCCAATGTTTTGGCCAAAACGGCCGCAGACAGTTGATTCATCACCACACAGAAGCTGCTCATTGTACAGATGCAGAGGTACTTGAGCAGGCGACCGAGGGGCATACGCCAGGACGACGTTGGCATTCCCTTTCACTTCCAGGAAGGATTTGCGAGCCTCGACCTCGAATTCACTCCAGTGTTTCCTTCCCGCCTTCAGCCAAACTTCCTTCAAGCTTGGACCAGTCTTTCCTCCCGGCTTTTCTTTCAGGTCCGGAAGGAGCTGTTGGATGAGATCATCTACCGTCAGACAGATCGGTTCCAAATTGTTCGTCATTGGAAGTGGAAGATTCAGAATTGATGGATTGGAGAGGGTGTGCTTATGAAGGTACAGTTCCCAGAGTCACCAGAGATATAAGGCTTTGTCGACAAGAAGGATGGAAAAAAAAACTCATCTCCACAGGACAATGGCAACAGTTTTATGTCTATTCGGGCCCATCTCCCACTGTATTCCATGGGAATGGGTGACAGATATCGGTGTGATATCTTCTGCAGGTAAGGTTGCCCTTGTGCCCTAGATGCATGACAAAGATGTTGTTTGTCACTGTCACTTATCTTCCGAGACCTGTTGGACCTTCTCAACCCCAAAACGAAAGCAGAGAGGTGGATACTGAGACTCAACGAATGGACCAGACTGCACAGGAATAACTGGATCGCTATAATGCAAGGCTATATATGCACCTTGTCTGGCCCAGTTCTCGAGATGATGCAAAGAGGTGGGGCAATTGCTGATACCTGAGTAGGTGGATTTTCTTTGCTTTCCTTCTTCTCCCCCTTGATCACATTGAATATTGCCCTAAATCCAGGACTCTCCATGTTTTTTTTTAATGCTGGATGCACCACAGTATATACCTTCCAGAATCCAGACATACTCTCTAACTGGATGAGAACAAAGACGTTCAAGTGAGTGAATCGGTGTCATCCAACAACATGCATACCACCTTCTTGTTGTATCTGGCCCAGATTTCAATGAAAAAAAGCGCTCTTTATGTCCCAGGAGACGCAATTTACCGTCAAGAATGATTGATCTTGGTCAGTGCACTATCTCTGCCAGTCCATATTTAAATGGCTATTTGTGCACAGCAGAAAGGAAAGATGCAGCTGCTATCCCTCATGTCTTTTGATGAACAGATGGTTCTTTCATCTAGCAAATTGTGAATCGAACCCCGTGCTTGTCAAAATTACATACCTACACCTAACTAGACAAGATGCCAATCAACCGTGACATCTGGGTTTACTCTTGGTTTAAGGAACATCAATAGATCGGCACTGATGTTTCATTTCCAACGCCTTCCCCCTCGGCCTGGAGGCTTGAGAAGAAGATCAGTGAGCATGCATCAGTGTATGAACAGAAACAATTGGCCCTAGAGAATGGATGTGTGGCCTCTGCAGTCTTCATCTGTTCTAGGGTGGATGAAAATAGACCGACCTCCAAAAACGAGTAAAATAGGGCATAGGTGGAGAGATTGATTTGCAGATATATATATTTCTACTGTACCTATAAATATGTCATTGGCAACAAAGAAAGGCGCCTTCTCAGCCCTGTGAGGTAGTAGTAGTAGTTATTTTTGACCCTTACTACTGCGCTATGTTGGTTGGGATGACACTGCCTACCTACTTCACAAATGGTGGTGCCTGGCACTGCCTGCGGCTCGCCCTTGGCACTTCTTCCCCCACAACCCCACACATATGCCAAGTTGCAATTCACAGCCCCATGATATATCATCAATAATGATCAGCAGGTATAATGTGAGCAGAGCAATAATAGTGGAAGAGTTGATAATCACTGCTACAGTGCTATTTAAAAGACAGCACTGCCTCAGGCATTGAGGGGGTTGAGGACTGTACCAACAAAAACTAAGTTAACTACCTACTGAGGTGGGATTCGCGATTCCTTTCTTGTCTGCGTCTCTGTTGAAAAAAAAAAGACTGTCGAGATTATCGACCCGACTCTCGTAAGTAATTACATATCTGAAAAGTAGACTCCAATCCCATTGCAAAGTCCGTATCATTGTGACATTGTCATTCACGAATCACATAGTAGAATACAGACGTTCGTACTGATGTTGTATTATTAGGGTGGATACACTCCCACCAGTGTACTGATATTCGCCTAATTCCTCGGCTGCACCCCGCCCCCCCCCCTTCCCTCCCCACCGAAAAACTGACTCCGATGCACACCCCCCTTTAGGGGTAAAATACCTGTTTTGACATCCCCTCTATTATAAAGAAAATACATTCGCACAATTGTAATGCTTATGTCAGCACCCGTGCTTAACTAACTAACTAGTCAGCTCCTGCTGTGGCCATTATGTAAGCTCTGTGGCTGTTCTCTGCTTGCAATGACACCCCTAAAAGGCTTCATATAGAACCCCTACAGGCTTCACACTGGAACCCCTATAGGCTCATGCTGGAACCCCTATAGGCTCATGCTGGAACCCCTATAGGCTTCCCTATGGGCTTCAAACTGGCACCCTATAGGCATTATATAGGCTTACATTACCTAGACGAGCGGAGCGAGTCGTTAAAGGCTTGTCGTAAAGGAAAAATAACCAAAATTTTCTAAGTCCCTATAAAGTGCCCGTAAAGCCCTATAGCAAAGCCCCCATAGAGCCCATAGCGAAGCCTCTGTGAAGCCTATAGTAAAGCCCCTGCGAATCCCATAGGGCTCTACGTAACTAGTATTATAGGTCTTATATAAGCTTTATAATAAGCTTTATAATGAGCCTTATAGGGAGCTTTATAGGGAGCTTTATGGGAAGCTTGGGAAACAGTTAGGGGAGGCATAGGGGAGGCTTTAATTAAAACTTAGGGAGGCTTAGGGAAGGCTTTAATTAAAGCTTAGGGACGCTTTAGTTAAAGCTTAGGGGAGGCCTTAAATTAAACGGAATTTTTTGAGTGTTCTCTTTTACCATACAAAACGGGTGGGGAGTCGAAACTAAACCGAAAAGGGAGGGGGGTGCAGCCGACGGGAGGAATTAGGCTACTGATATTTCACCGGCCTGCAGGCCGATGAAACCTTACTTTAACTGTACTAGTTTGTCGACCTAGCTCAGCCTCGGCACCAAGAGCACCTGCCACCCACTTTTTTCATGCAACCTACTAAGGAAAAAAATTCTAAATACATTTTGTATACCTAGTAGTGATAGAACTATTCTTATCTTAAAAGAATTAATAAAGCCTATAATAATAAAGTCTTTACAAGGCAATTAGAACTTATAGTAAAGTTAGGAGTAGGCAAAATGAATCATGATAAGATCATGTGTTTTGGTTTCTTGGCGCCAAGTTAGGTCAGCAAACTAGTTTGGTAGGTCGACTGACATTTAAAGTAAGGTGCAGGCCGATGAAATATCCACGCTGTGACAGTCAGGGACCGAAGGCTAGTCGGTCAGAGTCATGACGCACAGACTGATGTACTCCGTAGTAGCCGAAAGTATTAAAACCCTTCGAGGGGCACTGAATCCTTCATGTACCTCGTCCTCAACGATCTCTACCGCATCTTCCTGAAGGCCAATAGATGTTGCAGACCACACTGTACCCTGGCAAGCCCCTTTGTTGCACACTCCAGGGTAGCGCAGATATCTCCAGAAAGAAGTCCAGCCTTCAGGCCAGGGATCAGTTCCGTCCCACAGCCAGCTCTCTTAGTTTGCTGTTTCGCCTTTGTTCTTCTTATTATTTTCCATCTTCCCTATCACCCGTGCAGCCATGCTTGCTGCCTAAGTTGCAGTTCGACTCATGCGCCTACTTTGGGCTGCTCGACGCCTTTATATAGTTTCCTGGAAGTTGGAACCCCACGCGGGCGATGATACTTTGTTCTATTTATAGAACGCCGCGCTGACGGACAGCCAATGAACGTTTTCCTATTTCAAATCACTCCTCTATTATTGGCTAGAGTAGTCAACTGCATTAATAAGACAATCTATCCATCCTCCAGCATCTCTATAAATTAACAAGAGAATATATAACTCTTGGATTTATGCCTCGACATGAACACACTTATATGGCTGGCAATAGTGCAATGGGGCCAAAAATTTGCACGCTGATGCTGGTTGACTAGCCAACTCACCCCTTGCTATGGCCGACCGGACAGACCAATTGCGCCATTATATGAAAAACAACCCACCTCCCATGCGATATAGCGCATCTACCAAAACAACAACGCAGATTGAGCAGAACCAGCAACGCGTCGCAGATGTCGATTTAAAGGCTGATTCGGGTCGAAGACATTGACTTATTACAGGGCGCACCCAAATAATCACCGAATGATGGAAATGAGCCCGAAACAAGTCATATATGTGCTCAAGGCTCAACAGCGACAATTTGGGATTTAAATTCACGATCAGAGACCATATTATCTGCCAACTGGTGAAACAAATTCCTATGGGAACTGTCAGAGCATTGGGGGTCATAGTTGACCATAGAACACGATTTTGGTTCTAAGACAAAACAAGGTAAGTTTAAATCCTCAAATAAATTTAATAAATTATTTATTTCACATTGATCCAGTAAATATGGCATAAAATTGAATATGATACAATTGTACACTTCTAGAAGTGAATATTAAATATTGATAGGAATATGATGACTAATATTATGGTAGCTGACTAATCAGTCTTAGCTTGGTAGATTAAAACCACCCTTAGTCCCTCCTGACAATAACCTCAACAACTCTCCACTTCAACTTACCCAAGCCGCCATGATCCCGCCCCCAGCGGAGGCTGCAGAGCGGCCATTGCAAAAGATGAAAGAGCAGGAGGTGATAGATCTCACTCAGGACTCGGATCCCGACGATCAGGTACGTCCATTTCATTCTACCGCGTTTGGTGGTCCCCTTTATCTCCAGTCTGCAGAACCAGCCAGAGCCTATGAACCGTGACAGCCACGCAACACCACAGAAATTTATGAATCTACCTTTATATTTCTATGTACCATGGCCTGTACAAATATTCTATTATGTTTTTATGTTTAAAACAGGCCTGGTTGCCCATCTATGGGAGCATGACTCCCCTGGGTATCTGGGGTTTGTTTTCTATCTGTTGGGCAGCGGCCCGTCTCGTGGTTCGCTCCTCGGAAATGCACCAATCACAAACTGACGTTGCTGGATTGAACCAGGCACAAGAAACAATCAACCTACTCTCGCTTTTTACCAAGAGACCTGCGGCAGAATCTCGCAAACGCAAGGCTGAGCATAATTCAGACAATGTATCCAGCTCCAGCGCCCGGTCGGTCAAGGCCCGCAGTGAAACTCCTGGCCATGAAATCAAGCTTGAGGACCGTCCATCTTTCAGCGTGGTTGTCCCACCTTTACCTGCCAAATCTGGGAACCATGATAGAGGCCTTGATTCACTATCGCTATCCAAGCAGTCTACTTCAGTGAATACCAGCGAGAGGGAAACAAGTGAAGACACACGCAGTAGCGACACTTCTACTAGTATCCAACCAACTGGACTATCCACAAAGTTCTACCCTACCGATGCCTATGAGACTCGTGCTCGGCGAGGTGCCTATCCTCGTGCCAAAAAAGTGAACCGCCAAGATATTCCTCCCTTAATGCCCCTGAAAACTTCTCCAGTCAAGATGAGTCCCAGCAAGCCGCTCTCCAAACGCCGTCACCTACGGCAAACTCTGGAAGACAAGCTTGCTGCTATCAAGGGACCTCCCGTGACCTTAGCAGACAAAGGCAGCAATGCCGGTCTGGCATCGAACTTCGAATTCATCAGCTCGTACAAGCTCCAGAAGGGAGTGGAGCGGGTGGATGATTCGTTCAACGCTGGATGTGATTGTGGGCCTATGTGTAATCCGAAAAAATGCACCTGTCTCTCTCAGGAGCTTGACTCCGAAGACCTTATGATCCCCTACCGGAGACTAGAAAATGGGCTACTCGTTCTCTCGCGTGACTTCCTCAAGAAAACTTCCATGATCTACGAATGTTCGTCTCACTGCAGCTGCAATAAGGACTGCTGGAATCGAGTGGTGCAGCACGGCAGGACTATCCGGCTTGAAATATTCCACACAGGAAGTCGGGGTTTTGGTAAGTTAGTTTATTATACTGTCACTATTATATTGTTTTAGTTTTGTTCCTTGTCACTTTAATTTCTACTTCTAGTTTATTCTGTTTTCATGGTTATGATATATAGTGCCCATGATAATCTTATCAAAGCTAACCACTATCAGGTCTTCGTTCCCCGGATCCAATCCGTGCTGGGCAATTCATCGACTGCTACCTTGGCGAGGTCATTACCAAAGAGGAGGCTGATCTGCGAGAGGAAGCTGCCGGACCGACGAGTCCATCATACCTCTTCTCTTTAGACTTTCTTCCTAATGAAGACAGTGACGATGAAGACAACTACTATGTCGTTGATGGCTATCGACTCGGCTCTCCGACCCGATTTATGAATCATTCCTGCAACCCTAACTGCAAGATGTTCCCTGTCTCGACGAACCATGGCGACCCGCGTCTGTATGACCTGGCCTTTTTCTCCTTGCGTGACATCCCTCCAATGACGGAGCTCACCTTTGACTACAACCCCGGCTGGAAAGGGGACAAGCGAGTCGACCCGAACGCTGTCAAATGTCTTTGCGGCGAGCCTAACTGTCGTGGTCAACTGTGGCCCAATCAGCGCAAGAGTACCAAGGAGGACTGATCGCAAGCTACCATTCTCAGCCGGACCGGGTCTAGTTACTAGAAAGAATGTGTTGGATTCAACAACATTCTGACCGCTGACATTGCAGCATTGATTCTATTTTACATCAACATAAACGGAGGTCTGATCGGTCTCCGATCCTGCATGCTCTATCCAGGCTTCTCCTTGCAACTGCCAACAACCGACAGCCAATATCCAGCTCGGCATGAGACGCCATGTTAGAACTTCCTTGATCCTTATCTTATTCTAACTTTCTACTGTCAATAAGATACCCCAGGTGCTGTTGACTTCTATGATACATTGTCGTTTTTTTTTTGTGGGGCTTTGCGAATAGAGCAAAGAAAATATTTGCAAGAGAAAACAAGCCGGCGTTCAGGGTTCTGTCAGCATTATTGAAGCAAGCATGGCGACAAGTGGGAATGGCGCATGGGAATGGAGATTAGAGTTTGGCGTTTTACTTTCCTTTTCTTGACAATTCTTGTTTCCTTTTCTGGGATGTCCCACACTCTCACTCTTATCTGGGAGAGAGTTCAAAGGACATATCTCTCTTCTAATTCCAAGCTTAATCATCACAAGATTCACAGCATCAGCCTTTGCAAGCACTTCTCATGTGAGCGCGTAGGGGTTGGTCCGAAGGCTCAGGAACTAGACTACAACTCCTATGAGCCAATAGGAGGGTTCAGTAGAGTGTGACAGGATAGTAGAGAAGCAATAGGGAAACAACAGAGTGGTATTTAGAGTAGCATTTAATCACTAACTAGAGCTATATGAGAAGCAGACTGACTACTAAGGTCCTAAAGGACTCAGCTGTGACGGATCCAATTCCAGGCAATAGAGCAGTTTCTTATCACTAGGAGCGATCTAAATTACAAGAGACTAGGCTGGGAGGAGAGGAGAAGAAGGAAGGGAGCCAGGTCGCTAGCGAGGCGATTTATGCAAGTATTCTGCCGTACCTATACCTCACCGCTTTTCTCACCGCTCACGTGACGACAGGCAAGTTGAATCGTCACATCACCCCCCCCCTCCAAAATAGAGCCTGCCCTCAGGCGATGGTAAGGTCAAATTTTGTCCAGACCAATCAGAGACCTCATTAGTTGCTGCAGACCCCCTACCATAATTGGGAGGTTGTTTGCTATATTCCCGCTGCGCCACCTGATTGGTCGAGCCTAAATTCAAAGATCCTCTTCA